CACAAAAAAGCACAACAGAGACCCTGGACTGTTGAGCAACTAAAGTTGTCAATCAAACAAGATTTGTGAAGAGTTTAAATTTGTGTGCGATCCCCTTCATCTAACAAAAGTCCTCAACAGCTAAATATTTTTGAAGACCAAAGATCATCTTTCCGTACTTTACTGTGCTGTGAGGTATCTTAAGTGGGTTTTACTTCCACAGATCTGCATGGAAAATAATAATAGCTGCACTGCTATAAATATTAAACATGTTCAGTATTTACAATTAGATGTTTCGCCGTGTGTGGGGATCCCAGAGGACAGCCGCGCTCACACTCTGTGGATTATCACAAAGAGAGAAATGAAAGCCAATCAGGAAGGAGGCTAACTGAGGGAGGAAGTGCAACAAACACAGCCATGACAACGACAGAAACACTGAATAAAATTAAGTTAAATTTACATCAGAAACAGAGGATTTCCTTATTGATTTGTGGAAACGACACAATATGTCCTACAAAACATACCACGGTCTAAGTAATAGGGAAGAGAGCTGCACTACATGGGTGTAGTACAAAACTGTCTATTTATGGTATTTATGGTAACTCCAAACCTATCGAATGTGAGCACTTCAGAACACACAATAATAAAACCGATATAGTGTATTTCCTAGAAAGACACATACAGACAAACTTTCTCTTTCAGAGCACAAGTAAATTATTTTGCTGCTGGGAAAGCAAACAAAGCCAATCTCTTCACACTCTGCATTCCTGTGATGTCCTGTTAAGACACCAACACACTGACTAATTATCAGAGGCATTAACCAAATCAGCTCATCCTGTTATCATACCTTTGTTGCCAAAATACTCATTACACAAGGAGTCATTCATCAAGCTCTAAACTCTGCTGTTCACACTGTTGGTGGGGGAAAGTGCTCTCTGCGGAGACACACAGAGATAAAGCACCACTTAAGCTTTTTAATACTCTTCATGACCGTTTATCTTTCAATATAAAAAAGACCTTTGTCTATTGAAAGAGTTGGTTCCCATGAAAATGGATTTTGGAGACTAAATCGTTTCATGGGGCGAGATTAATGCCACTGTTTTCCTTTACGGCCTTTAAATGTGAGCTTTTGTCCACAACATTATAATAAAAGTATTAACATTGAAACTTTATTTATATTTCAGAGCTACTACAACTTTGGGCACACTGGGGGATGAATATGACTGAACTTAATCATATAATTCAGTATAAACAGATACATGTATAGACGTTTTTTTTTTGTGAAAAGACTGTATTTTTCAGTGTGGGTGTGAATAATGACAGCAGTTATGTGAACACTGCACGTCACTGAAGCAGTGAGTCACTGTTATTTTCAGACTATGTTTCTGACATTTTCACACTTCAACACTTCAAACACGCAACACTCAAAAATGGAGGTTGAGTGAGCAAAAATGCAAGTTTTGCTGGGACATTTTTGGGATGTGATACTGTTCAAACAAATCTATAAATAATAACACGGTTTTTATTTCTCCTTTCAAAGCTATTGTGACTACAACCCTACACTGTTATTGTGCATGTGTGTTACACTGAGTGTGCGCTGCCCTTGCTGTGTGAATATCAAACTGTGATAGCGGCCCACAATACATCACTGTCACACCACAGACTGCTCCAGGTAATCTATTTGTCCCGGTAAAATATGGTCTAATTTGTTCCACTTTTCTTGCAAGCACAGCAGAAAATAGAAACCATTTGAGCTGCATCTTATGTATATGTGGTATTTTCTGGTAGTTTAGGGTGAAAGCGGGGAGCCTTTCTGTATCTTTGATTTTGGCCCTGTGCTGCAAAAATATTTATTTAATTATTCGGATGCATTTGGCGTTTTTCCAAAGCGTAACATTTTTACAACATATAATTTTAAATCTTTAGGGAAAAAAATTAGGAATTTGAGTTTCATGGTTAAAGCAAATCTGCAAAAGGCAGTGGTTCTTTAAATTCTCCCCAAAAGGCGGCTCTTGAATAGTCAAAGGAACTGTGAGGAACTCACATGTTGTTGTGCTGATTCTGGTGACTCTACGGACAAAGCTGGATGTATTTTTCCAGAATACGTTTCCCATTAAGTCTATCACCTTCTGTTGTACAGCTTTGGCTCTTGCCAAAGCGTGCATTTGTTATAGAAGCAAATGAATAAAAAGCATATCTTCTTCTTAACACTAGGTTTTGGGATGCAGAGTAAGTAGGTAATATATAGATTTGTATGTAAAATTATCTACTGTAATGTAACAGCAACAAAATTTTATGAATCTGCTCACAAAAGCTGGCAAGATGTATTGGTTTAATGTTAGCATTCACAGCCTGCTAGCCCATAATTTCCACCATGTTTTCAGTCGTATATATGTTACCAGCATTCATAGATCTGTACATTAACATATTCTACCCCTTGTTCTCTGATAGAAAATACCTACATCCAAGCCAGAGCCAGAGTGGCCAGTTTTGTCTGAAAATGGATGAATCTGCCTGTCTTTATCCTGAACCAACTGAGATAAACTAAATGCATATTACTAACATTCACTTGCCACTTTATTAGGCACACCCCTGTAGTACCTCTCAGAACTGCTATAATTCTTCGTAGTATACTTTCAACGAGGTGTTGGAGACATTCTTCCCACATCCAAAGTTGCTCTATTGGACTGGGATCTGGTGACTGTGAAGGCTACACAGGAGTACCATGAATTCATAAAAATTTTAGCTTTGTGGCATGGTGCTTTGTCCTGCTGGACGTAGCCATCAGAAGATAGGTACACCGGGGTTATAAAGGGATGGTCAGCAACAACACCTGCATAGACTGTGGTGTTTAAACAGTATTGAGTTGCTATTAAGGGGCCCAAAGTGTGCCATGGAAATATCCCACACACACCAGCCTGAACCATTGATACGAAGCAGGGTGGATCCATGCTTTTAAATTCTGACTCATCTGAATGTTGCAGCTGAAATCCAGATTCGTTCAACCAGGCAAAGTCCAATTTTGGTGTGCCTGTTTGAATTAAAGCCTCAGTTTCTTTCTCTCATCTTGAACCAGTCTGCCCATTCTCCTCTGACCTCTAACATCAACAAGGCATTTTCATCCACACAACTGCTGCGCACTGGATATTTTCTCTTTTTTGGACCATCCTCTGTCAACTCTTGAGATATGATGGTTGTTTGTGAAAATCCCAGTAGATCAGCAGTTTCTAAAATTTTCAGACCAGTCCATTTGGCACTAACAACTAACAAGCCACCTTTGAAGTTACTTAAATCCCACTTCTTCTCCATGCTGATGTTTGGTTTGAACATGTCTAGATGCCTAAATATGTTGAGTTCCAGCCATGTGATTGGCTGATTAGCTTTTTGTGTTAACAAGCAATTGAACAAGTGTACCTGGTATGGATGGATCACCCACTTCACAACACCTTAATGGACCAAAGGGCGAATGGTGGTGGACGGCTCCTCTCTCTTCGCTGCAGGACAGAGAGATTCAGAAGATCTTTTGTACCAACAACCATCAGACTGTACAACTCTTCTGTAAATAGTAGAACACTTGTAGTCTAGACATGACAAATGAGACAATAAACAATTAAATTTCCCTTCAGGGATAAATAAAGTTCTTAATATCATAGCAGGTGAGTGTATAACTATGTTTTAGCAGAATAATGTTACTCCAATCCCCTCTATGTTAATACTAAATGAAGCAACTCCTTTGAAACTGAATTACCGGAAATAGTCTGTTGGCTAGTTACCAGCAGTCATGCTCCTCTGAAATCCACCAAAAACGTTCAGTTTATTTAACCCTACTTTGAGGTAGATTCAGGTCCAAAATATCATAAAGGAGTTTGATGGTATGTGGAATATTATAGAAAATCTCATAGGAGTACATGGACTTCTAGTTGACTCATACTCAAGTTTAAATAAGACATTAACTCTTTTGTCCTCAAAGCATGCACACACCAACACAAACATAAATTTGTGCTTGTGACCATTTTTTTTCTTTTACCTCTGGCAAAGTCCTCACTGTAGAGTTTATCCATCTACAACAATCCCCCGACTGAAAACACATGCCTTTAAGCTAATTCTGCTTCAGCATTAATCATGAGAACAAAACATTATGTAAAAAGAAAACTATGTAAAGCTAAAAAAAAACTAACAACAAATATAACTAACAACTTCAAAGCACATTGAAACAAAGCCACATTGGACTGAGTGCTGAATGTTTACTCAGGAAGATCCACGGGCACTACAGTTTACTATAAAGAACTGAACAATCTTGTCATTTTACTATTTACGTTTTCTACATGAATTTAAAAAAATCCTTACTGTACCTTTAAAAAAGTTCCAATCGTTGATTCAGGACAAATGTGGTCAACCCTCTGGCAGATAGTTTGACATTTCTGAAATTATTCTTTAATGTAGACAGGGGTAAATCCGACTCCAAAGTCCATGAGAAACTTTTTCTGGAAACAGTTGGAGTATAACATAAATGAATTCCTTTAAATTTTACTCAATTTCAAGTTAGTCATGTTTCCCAACAGACAGTATCCTAAATCTGTAAGAATTGGTGTATTTGCAGAGTTAGTCGTCATAAATCAAGTGAATCCTTAATCACTTTAAGTTTGACAAAACTTTAATATTCTTTGGTCATTTCACAAGTATCGTTGCATGTGTCTGAACTGTTGTCGTGACGTCAATCATCTATAGTCTCTGACTCTATCCAAACATCCTCACGCTCACTGTCATCATCATGCTTCAGTGTCCTCTTATCTACCCTTATATAACTTTGTGATTTGCAGCTTTACTCACGGATGAGCTTCAGCATTAATTTAAAGACTCTGAGAGTCCTGCGTCATTACCAATACATCTCCTTATTTTTGTTTCTGATTTGCATATGGGTTCAGAAGTGCAGCTTTGAATGTGTTTTTGATTCTTCTTAAGTAAGCTCTGTCATCTGCGACTCTAGCAAAGAAGTAATCGCCCTGAGTGGACACAGTCAGATGATGGAAGCGAGCACTGCAGTCCTCTTAATGGCTCTTTATGATGTTCTAGGTCAGCAGTGCATTAGAGGAGCGTTTCCTTATGCAATGACCTTCTCAACCACAGAAATGTTCAGCAAAACTTCAACAGCTCAAACAAGAGAGAAAGAGAGAGAGGAAACTATGTGTGAGAACATTACGTTTCCCCATGAACCAGAAAGTTTGTGCAACTTTTCTTGTCAAATCAGGATCCAAATTTTGCCAAAAGACACATTTTGCTTCATCCAAACATCCGGACAGCAGACAGATGGACAGCACAAGGCTGTGCTGAGCTGCATCCATCCATCCTCAGGAGTCCTATCACTGGACATGTTTGGGAAACAAATCAATCAGTGTCAATTAGAGCTGCATTCAAAGCCAGCCACATCCTGGTAGTAAGACGCTCCTTCTGCACTTAACAGCAGGCAATGCAATTATGCTGCAAAAGCCAGCAAAGTGCTCAGTGCTCAGGGAGGATGAACTGGTGCATATAAAAGGCTCTCTCTGTCTTTTATCTGCAGCTCTCTCAGGTGCCCTCCCTTTTTCCCTGAGCATCCCCCTGTTTCACTGCTCTCATGTAGTGATCTGTAACATAGTTTGGGATATCATTCGACATAAGTGCACTGATCTGATCCTCAAAGCCCTCACTTTTTCCCTGTTCCTCTCATTGATTTCTGAGAGAGAGAGAGAGAGCGTGTGCAGTCGCTTCCTCTCTGGCTGTCCTCTGTGGGAAGGTGAGAATGCTGCTTTACAGTCTGAAACTGACTCCTAGATGTGGGAGCCTAATCACATTTGACTTGCAGTGTGAATTACAGAAGCAGATACTCTCTCCCACTTCCATGCTACATTTGATACTTCATTTGCATATACACAACACTGTGGTTGTGTGTGTGTAAAAGCCTCCAGGAAATGAATAATCAGACAAAGAGCGCACAGAGGAAAGAGCTCCCAGACCTGTGATCACATGCCAGAAACAGACATGTGTTGTTTAATTCTTTACTGCATATTTCATCATAATCTGAGGAGACCGATCAACTGCTGCCAACAGTATTGATCGAGGATACAAATTATTACACTGGATGGTATTTGTAACATGTATTTATCCTCTAAGAGAGGTGTTTATGGTTGTCTGTGAGAAAGGGCAAGCTTCTTTATTTAAGATATTTCATAAAAGGCTTTGACGTGCATTATATAAAGCATGAGAAATACAGCAGAAAAGGGCATTTACATGTGAATGAGTCTGTTTTTGGGAAGAATTGGTGCAAATTACAGAGCGGTTTCATCATCGTCATTGTGAGGAGGGATTCTTGGAGGGTCACAAACACAACTCCTCCAGAAACTCCCACTTTTTCTTGGTCTTTCTTTATTCATGTTTGGTTCCTCCACAGCTTCAACCATTACACTTGAGGATCTGTGTAAGGGGTGATGTATTATTAACTGGTTATGCAAAATGTAGTCCCTTCAAGGTGTGACATGATACTGGTTTGAAATGAAAGGCCTCTTTTTTCAGCCTGTCACGATCTGATTTTGCATAACTGCTGGCCAACAGTACAGTTTCACACTTATCACCTGGCTCCCAACAGGATATACAAACAAAATGACACTATGTGTTTTTCTGAGGATAGTTCATCATTTAAAAATGTTATTATTATATAATTGAACTGCTTAATGAAGTAGTCCTTCAGTTTCAGTGGTTGGTACCACACAATGGCCATGGTTTTCTGATCAGCCTATACTTGAAGAATGTATTAACAATGAAGAGTCAAAATATTAGCATTTTTCTGTTGGCAGAGCAGAATATAACAGCATCATCTGTATAAAATGTGTTATTTTCACCAACAACAGTCTTTTAACAACACATGCTCATACTTTGTTGCGGTTCATGGCTGCTTTCTTCAATTTTTTGATGTCTCTTTCACAAATCGTCTTGGCTTTTTTAACACCCTGTTCTTAATTCCTACAGTTTTTAACCCCTCATCCTCTTTTTTGCTGGTTTTTGTTCAATCATTGTACACCAATCCAAAGTTTTATGCTCTGAAAGTCCATTAAGAGTCAGAATGTCCTCCTCAGAGTCGACAGCTGCTTTAAGAAAGTAAGGTTTTTGTCATGAAGCGAGACCATAAACGCTCCTTTCTGGAGATTGATTTATTATGTGATGTGTGATCTTGTTGCCCTTAGCTTCTTCTTCCCTGCTCAGAACTGAAAATCATTTTTTCTGGGGTTTTTCTAAATCAGATTCAAGTGTTTTACACAGCTGTGTGATTAGGAAGAAAGCTGGGGCATAAATCAAATCTATTTTATTGCTTTCAAAGCTGGGACATCATTGTTGGATTGTCACATGCAAAACTCTTGAAAATACAGGATTATTGTTTCCTGGAGCAGCTTAATCTTTCTGTGCTTTTTCATTATGTTGTGTTTTATTCCTTTTTTATTTTTGCTGTTCAGTCTTCATGTTGATGGATGACTTTTATTTCAGCATTGTTTCAGAGCATACATCAGTATCAATGATCTCATCTTTCGCCTGTGCGCTTGCTGCTCTTGTGTGTCTGCTCCCTGTGATCCCAGTCATGACCCGTTTCTGTGGCAACCTGATTTTGAAAATAGCTCCCCTCTAACGGCTTTGCTGCTGCTGTCGCAAGTTGAGCAGGCAGCAGCAGGAGCAGCAGGAGCAGCAGCCCACTCCTGATGCATGACTCATTCATTGCTCATTATCATCCCACTCTCATTTCATCCTCCTCTCATATCCGATGGAGATGGTAGTGTGGGGGGCGGGGTGCAGGCTACTATAAAGCCGGTGTTTCCGTGCTGCGATTGGCTGGTGGGGAATCCATTTAATCTGCAGCTACTACTACGAGGTCCTCCCCCCCTCTTTCTTCTACTCCTCCCCCTCACTCTGCCTGCCCTGACAGCATCCACACACAACAGAGTGTGTGTGTCTGTTCCAGGGAGAATATCAGCTCTGCACAGGGAGGAGAGGATTAGCTCCAGCACTCAGCTCATCTGCATACACGTTCCCAGAGAAGCACATGAGCACCCAACGCTGCTCCTCTTTTGTATAAAACCTGGCACTGCTATCTCAGATGCTCCACTTGATCTGCTGTCACTGCTGAGAGAGGATTTAAAAGGGACCACTCTTGTTTTTGTCTCTTTTTTCTTCTTATGTTTTTCACATCTTATTCTTAAAATTTTAAACCACTGCCTGAGATGTCTCTAAGTTTTTGGGACAATGAAAGTAATATCCCTTGACTTAGATTTGCTCTGAGCATCAGAGAGTTTTCTTGCTATTTTTTTAGAGGACTTTTTCCCCTCTGAGGTTTGGTCTGGGAGACTGCAGCACCAGGATGCCATCTAGAGAGTCCTACGAGGTTCACAAAGAAGAGAAGTCCCTGGTGCAAAAGGCCAAGCGAGAGGCCAATCAGGAGGATATTCTGGCTGCAGCTCTGGGGATGAGGATGGGGCCACAGAAACCTCCAGCCACTTTCTGGCAGCCGCTTAAACTCTTCGCCTATTCACAGCTCACCTCACTGGTGCGCAGAGCTTCACTGAAGGAGAGCGAGCGGGCGCCCAGATCTGAGAAAGTCCACAACTTCAAGGTAAGAACTTAATAACTCCTGCTCTGTTTTTTTTTTCTCTTTCTAAATCAGTACTTTAATTTCATCATGTGTGGCCTGAGGGCTCTTGTGGGAAATGAAAAGAGGAGGAGGGAAGGGGTGCTACAGTGTGGGAGAGAGAGGGGATGAAAAACAGAGCTGTTTTAGTCCATCCAGTGAGCCTTTATCAAAAGAAAATCTGTTGGGTGGTCTGTGGAGCACTGCTGTTAGTTTGAGCAGCAGATGGAGAGATTAGGCGGATGGAGAGGGGAAACAGTGGAGGAGTGTTTCCCTGTTTGGCTGCTGCTCTTTCTGCTAGTTTAGCTGGTTAATGAAGGAGAGCAGCAGGTGAAAAAAATATGATACTTATGAAACTCTTTCAGCTGTTTTTATGCCTTCACTACTACAGATTTAACCACTTAAAGAATATAAACAGATTATAGTACATGTGTTTGTACGACAACATGATAAAAATGGCATTTTAAATCTACAAAAACAGCTAGTCTCTAAAGTGAGCCTTTCAGACACTCAGACGGTTCACAGTTATTAATTAAAATACAGTTTGACCTATTTATTCAGAAGCCCAGCCTTTCAAGTTAATTAATCCTGCAGTTCATGTTTCTACCAACTGTTCTCTTGACATGTAAACAGGCAGTATGTTTACATGTAAAAGACAGATTAATTATATCATACATGTTGATTACAGTTTCATTTGACCTCACAGACATATAGAGCCTTCTTACATGTTCCCAAATGATATTCTGTCAGGATGGATTAAATTCAGGTTGTATGTGGTTAAACAACAGAAAAAAAAGTCCATCATTTTGAGGTGGGAGAGTTGAAATTTTCAATCTTTTCAGGGAACTCCAGACTAAAATCAGATTAACTGGTGCATCCAATTTCTGATTGATTGGTATTTCAAAAGCAATATGAACATCTTGGTGTAAATCATCAAACAGTATGTAGTCTGAGAGGGATGAATTCATGTGTGTCAAACAGGACTCCTGAGTTGCTGTAAACATGAACAGTAACACCAGGTGGCATCCCTCCAGGTGATTAGTGTTGCCATAATATGAGTGCTGCTGCTGTGTCTCTCCTCTCTGATTGGCTGAGCTGTTGTTACCTGGTGGGATGTGCGGGGAATCCCTTTCCTGTCTCCATAACGAATCTCCCTGACAACTTGCACCTTCACCCGAGTGAAAGTGTCAAATCTGTGTCGTGCCATGATGGCTGCACCCCTCTTAGAGCTGTCTCTCTGTGGATGTGTTTTTGAACAACAACCCTCCTCCTCCACACACTCCTAATCCTCCTCCTACACCTCATTTAAGATGGCAGCACCCACTGGTCTCCTGGACAGCTAGAAAAAGAAGACCCCCTCCTTTCTCTTTCTGAGGTGCCATTGCTTTTCCTCTTCATCACTAATATAAGTCACCGTCTCTCTTTCTCTCTTTCTGCTGCAGGTTCACACCTTCAGGGGGCCGCACTGGTGCGAACACTGTGCCAGCTTCATGTGGGGACTGATGGCTCAGGGAGTCAAATGTGCAGGTACACACTCTCTTATATAAACCCCTGCAAACAAAGTGAGCATCCTCCTATCTGGGTTACTTGGTTTTGAGTACATCTGGAGCAGGATTATTAAAGTTTAATCCACAATCCCAACAGTGGTTTGTGGATTAGAGGGTTGTATAACACATTGAAATAAGGGCTGCATTGCAATGTGACAAACGTTTAACACCATTTAAATACCCGATTATTGACCTCTTTATTCCTCACTTTGCTGTGGGAGTGGAATAGAGGAATGAGGTCCATCACAATCACTGTTGCCAGAATATTAAAAAATCCAAATCTTCTCTAATCTTTTGGGGAATTATGACTAGATATTTTTTGTCTAGCTCTGGGCTTGTTTCTTTTTTTTATTTTGTTGTCAATGCAAGTGAAACAAAGGGTAGCTCTGTTTCCACTTTCATGGTTTTAATGGATGAACATTTGCTTCATTTGGACTAAGCATGCAAGAGTCGGCTCAAAAAACAAAAATAGTCTGTTCAAGGCTCGGTTATTTTTCTCCAGTGCTGCAACTCACTCCACATTTAGAGTCTATTTTGTACAATATTCCCCTGCAATCAAAGTATATGATGGCTGTACCATACACATATTCAGTTGTGTTGTAGTCAGGTTATTGCTTCTGTTACATTTTCCTCATTTCTTGTCAAAATCTCAGATTAAATTACTGTTTCACTGCAGTTGTAGTCAGAAATCCTTCCACATCCCAGAATGGAGCGCTAATACAGCCTAGTGCGCGTCTTTGATGTTTTATTGATGAAACAAAGTGTGTCACACAAAACTGCGCAAGCTCTGCCATCAATTATTAATGCCTTGATTTCAGAAGCTGACAACAATAGACAGAAAACGCACATAATATTGGAGCCAATCTTTATAAACTCATATCCTGCCATTCCTTCAGACTCGACCACAGCGAGCAGAATCTAGGGCAGAGAAGTCTCACATGATGCTCACATTTGCATACCAAAAAGAAAAAAATCTCCTCCCACCCCCTTTTTTTTCCCCTTTTTTGTATGTGTGAACCGGTTTTGGCTGAGCGCCAGGAAGCCAGCCTCTGCTTGTGCTTGTTGTGCCACATTTCCTCATCAGAGTACGCCCCCCACAGCCTCGTCCCATCATGCCCGTGAAGGAAAACAAAGCTGGCATGTCTCTTTAATGAGGAGCAGAGCTGGGAGCGTGAGGAAAGAGCTCCATTTCCACACACATTAAAATTCAGTGGCTTCAACCGAGGAGCTGGGTCAAGCAGCTCAACCCTTCTTTAACTGGGATACTTAGAGGTGAAACTCAACCATCGAACAAATACAAGTGCCGCTTTTTTGTCTTTCAAATCCAGCCTGAAAGAAACTGGTTTGAACTGGAAACTCTGGAGATGATGTGCTGATAAGAAATTAACATCCAGCCACCATTAATCGTCCCCTCAGAGCTCTTCAGCCAAAACTGATCGGCATCCTCCTCGCCATAGCAACAGAGACAGAGCTGATGATGCACTAGAGCAACATCCCCCGTCTCCAGGCTCCAGGGGGTCCCATGGGCCCCTTTTTCACCCTCACCCGCCCCACATGGGACCTCAGAGGGACACCAGGAGCTCAGCAGCAGACCTGTGTGTGATGACAGGCCCTGCTCTATTACACCGCCTGTCTCATATCCTTAAGAGAATCATCTCTTTAAGTAATTACATTTCTGCATCAATGCATGGAAAAGCAGGCGCGGCGAATTTCTCCAGGGACCCATATTAATCTCAAACGTCTGAGGTTCCCCAGAAGCCTGGATTCTACATTTTTAGAGGTGCTTTTTGTATTTAGAATAAAAAAAAAACATCCTTATGCAGAATCAGGATGTTATTCCTTCTGCTGTTTGGATTTTAAGGCACATGGTTTTGTCAAAAAAAGAAAAAACCCTCAGAACTTGGAGACGACTCAAAAGATCTAAGAGCTTGAAGAGCTGCCCCATTTTAGTCTGGGAAAGTAGGTCTAGTGTAGCCCGCAGCGCCTCAATTGCTGCTTCCACAGCCATTGTGTGTGAGCTTTGGATTTGGAGGAGAATAGAGCACACATCAGCTCCAACTCTCCCTCCTCCAGGCCACAGCGTTTTTCTCTGCTCCTCTAATTCCCTGCATGCGTCTCTGTTATAAAGCCGAGCTGCAGTCTCGCTCTCCACGGGCTCCTCTGCTCCTTGACAAGGTGAAACCCGCCCTCAAACAGCTGTGCCTCGGGCCCGTCTGCTCTGACCGGAAACTAAAACTGACATCAGGACTAATATGCAGTTTGAACACCCAGTGAGGAACATCTACATCTGAAAACGTCCAAACCAAAAATCTGTTTCACTTTGAATCGACGAGCTGTCTTTGTTTGATTATACAGAGGCATATTTTTAATCATTTAAACATGACATAGTTCATCATGGTTTCATCTCACTGTTTTTAATAAGGAAAGGGCTGTTTAAAAGGTGACTTTGGACCTGTCCTCTGCTGAAGGTGACTGTAGAGGAGACAGAGGGGCTCTCCTGTGGTCCTGTGACATTCAGAGGCCAAATATTGATCAAGGGAATTAACCCTCTTCTGCCAGCCAAAACACACAGGAACCCAGCCAACCAAATCCGAATGAACCCGATGATGGTTGTGAATTAACATAAAAGTCCTCCGTTCAGCAATAAAAAGACTAACCCATGAGGAATAACTCACCCAGGGTTGATTTTGGAGAGAATCTTTCATTTGAGTCACTGCTCTTTGTTCTGTTTAACAACTGACTGCATTGTGTGTCTCTCTTCTGTAGATTGTGGTTTGAATGTCCACAAACAGTGCTCACCTCTGGTCCCCAACGACTGCAAACCAGACCTACGACACATCCGTAAAGTGTACAGCTGCGACCTCACGACCCTGGTGAAGGCCTACAACACAGCGCGGCCCATGGTGGTGGACATGTGCATACGAGAGATCGAGTCCAGAGGTTTGTTTAGGACATCTGTCTGTGCTTATGTCAAAGTGTTTAGGTATCATCTCTATGGGACTACACCCAAACAGTCTGCTGGAGTAAGATGGATAAGGGGATACTGTGTGAAGGATTTTAGCTAAAGTGCTGCAAACTAAACAAGAGGAAGAATTATGGAGGCCAAGTCAAGACAAATTGATAAAAACCTAACAAGCCACATCATACGTAAATGTGAAATTTGGTCAAATCTGGTAACCTAAAATTGACAGTGACTCACAGCTATGGATTGATAATAGTCTGAGTATATAAGGTGTGATTTCAGAGGATTATTTTTGCAATTAGAAGCTTTTCTTAAAAAACTCCTCTTGATAGAACAGTTATCGACTTCAAACCATCACTCGTTGTTGTTTCAATGTCAAATTCTCTCTCAGGTTTGGTAGGTTTTGTCTGATTTGGTGAATTTCACTGACCCAAACAGAAGGACTCAATTTTATCTCAGATTTTAAAGCTCCTATGAGGAGTTTTTGATGTTTATGAAATAGACTGAAATTTATACATATACGCCTCTTCATGATATCCAAATGCAAGCAAGACCATCATGGACAAGACTTTTGATTTTTATGTTGTAATTTTTAATCCCTGAAACTGGTGTCAGGGGGTCGGTGTTGGCTGAACAGCTGCAGAAACAGCTCCCTTTTTACAATTTGCAGGTACAATTTAGCCAGTAGATGATACATTTGACAGTAAAAAGTTATCAGAATGAGATGTTTTTTGTCAGCAGTCATTACTTAAGATTAGAGGACAAGATAAGCAAAGACTCCTTAGTCCAAAATGGACACAAATCAAAAGTTCCTCACAGGAGCTTTAACATAACTAAAACTGATCAAAATATTCTGAGCAACTCTGATTTCAACTTTCAAATGATACTATGGACCTAATGATTGATTAACGATGGATAAACTTATATCTAAATAACAATCTATTCAGTCAATGATGAAGTGTCAATATCCAAGTCTCTCTCTGCTTTACAAAGACATCTGAGGTCAAAGGTTGCACACTCTTGCAGGACTTCATTGCTAGCATAACCTTTAAACACACCCAGGCTGCATGTCTTGCAGAGGAGTCCCTTTAAATGCGATTCAACACTTCTTTTCTTTACTTATGATCCCTGTTTTAAAACACCTTTCCTCTAATTGTATTGAAAGTGCAGCATTCAGAGTCTGATTACAGCACTAACCGAGTTAATGATTTCTGGGTGGTGATGACTGAGAGGAGTGATGAGTGTGCTGCTGGTAATTGTATGTGTGTAATGAGGAATACATTACTCTGTTTCCTGCTGCCTTATTTGATTGCATTTCAGTTAAATCATTCAGCCTTGTAGGAAACTCATTGCTCCTTCATTGTGTGCCCTCTAAAACGTGTCTGTGGCTAAGTTTGATTTATGTCTTTATTATTTTGCCCACTGATGCGGAAAACTATTTGCATCTGCCCGTGTTGTTCCACTGTGTGACATTGTGGACATTTTATCCTTAATTTCTTATGCATATTTAAGAGCATTTAATGGCATTTTCTAAACTACCCAGGGCGATGTATGCAGGTGAATTTTTCAGCATTACTCTTGACAGCCATGGTGATGACAGAAACGTTGTTTATTTCCTGTTTGTTCCTCAAGGACTGAAGTCTGAAGGCCTCTACCGGATATCTGGATTCAGCGACTCTGTGGAGGAAGTCAAGACGGCCTTCGACAAAGGTGTGTGATCCTTTTTGTTCTGCATGTGTTATACAGATTCCTGCCAGCTATAAACACAGTGATTGACATTCAGTGTTTTCATAGATTTACTTGAGGCTCATATGACATTTGAAATTAATGAAAAAGTGACACATTTGAGGAGGATTACAGTCCATCTGGGAGGGCAGATCTCATCCTGACAAGTCGCTCTCACGCAGTGTGGACAGACAGGGAGGGACCTCAGGGGATACTAACCATGGTTGTATTCTCACTGCCTTAAACATAGCCACTGTATGAAAAAAACCTCCTCACTGAGTTGAGATTCAGGAGTAGACTTATTGAGAATGAGCCTGTCTTGGCCCAGTGCAGTGTGAATTTTAACTGTAAGAAAAAAGCCTGCAGCAGTGGACCAAACTCCGAGCCAGATCGGCATGTGGGAGATCATCCATGACAGAGTGTCATTCCAGCTCACAGCTCTGTGATGTTCAGTCTGCCAGCACAAGTAGGCCATGGCCTCTCTGCGAAGCATGCAGAACTGAAGGAAAGTCAGACTTAAACAGGCCAGGCGGATGATAGCAGCCACTTTGCAAAATACAGAGCAGGAGAAGTTTGTTTTACACCCGGGGACAAAAATCCCTTCATTCATATTCTCCTTTTTTACTCTATAAAAACTCTATTTTTTCCTCTTCTTCTCTGTTTTATACAACCACACAGATGGAGAGAAGACAGACATCTCAGTGAACGCCTATGAAGACATCAATATCATCACGGGTGCTCTCAAACTGTACCTGAGGGATTTGCCCGTCCCTGTCATCTCCTACGACGCTTACCCAAGGTTCATCGAGGCTGCAAGTGAGTTGTAACTTGACAAATTAGTCAGTCTAACACACACCTGTTTCATTCAGTGTATATACTGTAAGACTGTAAACACCCATGATTATGGTTCATAGTCTTTGAATCTTGTGTTTTCTTCAGTTCATCTGGAAAGTGCTTTGTGTAGATGACAAGAGTACTAGCTTAGAAACGCCTGTTCATGCTGGAATCCATGTCAGTCAGTATTGAGTGTCTTAACGTGAAAAAAAGCTAATTGGGTCCTTTGTTGGAGTCGCACATGTTCAGTTTAAGCCCTGTTCACTTTTTGTACCTTCTTTAAAATGTTGGTTTGATTGAGACAAAGTGAAACCTCCTCATGAATTAGTTCAGAAAAACACTAAAATGAATCAAACTTCTCATTCAAAACTCTCATCTCCAAAAGCATACAAACAGCCTCAGACTACCTATCAGACCAATGGCTTTTATGACCCTGCTGGAAAATGACTGCACTCATTCTTGGTGGTTTTTGTCTCGGTCAAAGAGTGCATTATGTCCTCTCTAATGCACTCTGTTTCCTCTGTTATTGTCCAGAGCTCACAGATCCAGAGAAGAAACTTGAAGCTTTCCGTGAGACTCTAGCTCTGCTGCCGCCATCGCACAGTGAAACTTTGAAGTACCTCATGGCGCACTTAAAAAGGTGAGGCACGGTGTGGTTTTAGGAAGGGGGTTGACATTTCGTTTTTATGTTTTCAATCTTCAAATTCAATCTTGTAATTTTGCTTTGGGCGGGCATGTCATCATTTCGAGTTATCTCTCTGTAGAGCACTCGTAATACTTTGGGGCGTCTAAGATTCATCCTCTTTAGCCTTCTTTTACCCCAATAACATTTTGTTTCCACATTTCAGTCATGTTATATTTCTCTTGTTTCCAGGGTGACACAGAACGAGGAATTCAACCTGATGAACGCCGAGAACCTCGCCATCATTTTCGGTCCAACCCTCATGCGTGCACCAAACCAGGACGCCATAACAGCATTGAATGACATCCGCTACCAGAGACAGGTGGTGGAGCTGCTCATTAAAAAGGAAGACGTACTCTTCTAAACCCAGATCAGGACTTTTATAGAACAGCTGTCTAATTAATCTTTCGTGTAAAGACTTGAATGACCGTTTGTAAGACGTTTATTGATACATTTTTTTAAATGCCCTGCGTATGGACTAGTGCTGCCCTAACATCTCTCCTCCCCCCTGTGTTGGGTGTGGGCAGTGGACTTCACACTTGTACGTACTCTCTGTCTCCCCATTTTTGTCGGGGGATTTTCAGAAGCTGACGGGCCAGCATGCATGGTGCGAGGTCTTTGTTGCTTTGTAGTCGTAACCCAGCATGTGTTCAGATCGTGTAGCGCTGTGATTTTTTGCTCTTCGTCTGTTCTCTGCTAGCTGTAGTCCACATTCCAAGCTGCTTGCTGTGCAGTAATTTTTTTTTTCTCTTTCAGTGAAACTTTGTATAGCTGGATGTAAAAATAAGCTACTGATTTTTCTGGGGTACTTTTTATGATGCCTTTCTGATGTATTTTTTTATCTCCTCGACTGTTTTTATGTAACCTGAAGTAGTTGAATGAGCCTTTCCTGTTAATGTGTACACACACTGGTGCATCTGCCTGATCTTAACTTTCTATTGTGTTATAAACAACGTTATTTGTGAGTTTAATTTTGTACTGTACTGTTTTTGTACACACCCTGTGCATGATCACTTTAATTTATTAAACCTTACTCTGGCCAACAAAGTACCTGAAGAGTGTGCTGAATTCATGCAGACAGTGCGTAAAAAGAAGACAAAGTCAGGGGGTTAAGGTAGCTTCACATTTAGTAGCGAGGGATTAGCTAATGCTAATTTACGGAGTTAGCTTTGTTAACAGGCAGCACCCGTAATTTAGTGACAAAAATCATAATTCAGATGCTAATTTTTGGTTTATTAAAACATGCATTAATGAAATACACAAACTAAACGTTTCAAATGTAGCTCCTAATATCTCGCCGCGATACTTCATCTATTTCAAGGTAACCCTGCCCTAAAGCGTTTCATGCTCTAATATCTGCTTCGATTTAGCGAATGCTTAATTCGCGAACAATAAAGTTACCACAGTTACAACAATGAATGACTAAAGAAAACAACTGGGGCAATGACTGAAGGAAGAAGTAGGATCATTTCTGCGTGATATTTACAGAATAAATATTCTTCAGCCCCCTGCTGGTCGGTTAAAAGAATGCAGGTTTATGTCTCACTTTTCTTACCTAAGATTTAACCAAATCTTAGAGGAAGTAGAAACTAAATTAGTAAACATGAGTCCAACACCCCCCCAGTTTTGGCTCTGCTTTTGGCCTTAACCATTACGAAGCATCCGTCTCCTTGGCTTCACTTCTTCACCTCTTCATTCACTCTAACCACCTCTGTTGTCCTTTCAGTGTGAAAGAGATTGTGGTTTAAACTGTGACTTGAAATGACCCTCCAGGATTTTTGAGTATAAACAAAAATACAAAATTACAAGACCTATTAAAAATACCCGTCCCATTTTAGAAAAAAAACTGGAGCATCTCCTCTTTAGTTTTAAATGTTAAAGTTTTGATGCAATTGTTACTTGGTGGTTTGCAACATTCACACATTTCATCTGCCCAGAGATTGTGGCATTAGTATGATAGAACTGTAATGCTGCCTCTGGATTGACATTCTGCCTACAGACTGAATCTAGTCATTATCAACAACCCCCCACTCTTTATAGTATCCCTATTGTCCCCTTAGTGGAATAAATACATTTGAGGTTGAAGAGAAAACATTCATTTAGTGGCCAAAGCTGTGGTTTGTTATCTAGTGCCGTCAGTCTCCATTGTCCCACATAGCAATAAAAACAAGCAGCTTACATAAGCCATCATGAAAATGGACAATGTACTTTAAATTTGGGCCAGTCTCCTCCACACCACCCCACTGCGACTGCAGCACCAGATGTGTATTGATACGCAGCTGTAAATAGTCCCTCAAAACCCTCTCTGTTTAGAGTGCGGTTTGCTTCACACTGCAACACCCAGATTTTATTGAAAATTATTCAGCCTCTTGAAGAGATAAAAGTCAATACTGTATATGTGACCTCTTTTTCACTTCTTTCTTTAGCTAATGAGCTTGAAGCTGACTGCCACACACAAGATAATGAGGTCAGGAATTATAAAGAGACAGACAGACAGACACATTGTTGGTTTGGGCATTTCTACACAGTTTGTTGGCATGAAGGAAAAAGCAATAATAGCTACCATACCCTTGGAATAATGACCAAAAATATAAACAATCATTGTGCGTGTTGTTGTGTTGGCAGATGGGACTAATTGTCCTCTGCTCTGCATAGATAGACAGACAGGTCGTGCCTTAAAGCACCACACCATGTGACTTCATACTCAGCCCTCTAACGACACATCAGTCACAGCGATTCTGTGTGAGATTAAAACCAAACACACAACACCTAGGGCAACACCACTCCTGCACTTGAGAGACTGTTAATTACTGGGAATACGTGCAAACAATGTCACATTGAATTTATGCATTTGAGTTTTAATTACCCACAGGTTATGTCTTTCAGAGTAATTTCGTAGAACCAGCCATGCACAGCCGATGGGGACTCATTACGCGATCATTGTGTCACACTGTTGAGGAAAAGGCAGCCTGTAGAAGTTATTCGAATAGTGTCCTCATTGCAGGGTTCAAGTCAAGTTAGATATTTTCTCCAAGCATGTACATATGAGTTATCAGTGAATTTATTATTGACAGACATTTAATGTGATGTTACCTCAGTGTTGGGCTCAAGTTTATGAATTTAAAATTTCTTCAAAAAGCATCTGGGAAGCAATCATAGCTGACATTTTTATCTCAGTTTCTGTGACTGCATCACATTGAGCTAATACAAGCCAAATCCCGACCTGTCTCTTCTGATTGTATGGCAAAATTGGATTTTCATCCAAGCGTTTAGCCTCCCCCACCATCATAAGCTGTTTTAAAGACATCCTATCTTCATCTACATTTGTCATTGGCTGTGAAGGGAGGTAAACCGCGCCAGTGAGGCTATCAAGCCCTCCATCTTCCAGTCAGATAACAGCGAGCAGGAGTAATGTCTGCAGATGTATTGTGCGCTGGATGTGCCTCATTCACAGTAATGAGAGTAAATTTGAAAGGCTGTGATCCATGAGATAAGTGACCTTTCTCTGTTGACTGGATGGTGATGCTTTTCTCCCTGCAAACAGCTGACCTGAATACATTTTCAGATGTTGAAATCAGGAGGAAATAACCGGTTCATCCATGTGAAGTATTTGAAATAGAAACACTCATTCTGCTTAATTGTCTATAATGATTAAATGTAAACAAAGAGGTTTTTTAATTAAAAAAAAAGAAAGATAAGTGAACCAAAACTTTCCTCTAAAGGGGCGAACTGCTTTAAAATGTACACAATATTATATGCTTAATAATTATACTTGACTATCCTTTTTAGTGTTATTTTCAGGGTTATTTGTTAGCTTACCTTTATGTTTGTGCTTTTATCCAAATACAAATGTTAAAAATATTGCTAAACATGAACCCTAATCTCTCCTTTGAAAACTCTAATCCTCTTAATCTTCATCGAAGCATAAACACCCAGTATGTTGTCCAGTATTTAGCCAGCTCCTGCCAATATTACATGAAGGCTTTCATTCAGACTCACTGAACATTTAATCACTAACAGAGCAGATATAAACACAGAGCTCACTGTCCTCCAGAGACTGGCATTGTGCTGCGTGTCTTCAAAGTGTTGTAATCAACACTGGACAGAGCACCGAAAGAGTCCGGCTGAGCAGATACAATACTGGCTTGTCTCTTGTAACATGACAGACTTGGAGAAAAGCAAAGTGGTGCTCACATGGTGTACACTCAGGTGGCCGGAGTGATTGGGGAGAGGGAAAGAGAGAAAGGGGGGGAGGGTTGAGACAAATCTCTCTTAATTCAGACATTGCCAAAATGGTCATTTGTCCTTAAGTGAGATGAATGAGGCCTGTGGTTGAGTGACTAGCTGATTGAACGGATAGGGGATGTGAGGAAATTGAGTTGCCTGACCCATCACAGGCCTGACAGGGTGGGGTACTACAGAGCTAGAAAGGGACACATGGGTGTAGCACCTGGCCTTTCTTTTTGAATGTCTGAATAAGATTTTGTTTTATTTTAAGACCTAACGACCAAAAATATATATATATATATATTACTAAGAGGTACTCACACTGTGAATATAACTAAAACACACGCTACAGCAAACACACAATTATGTGGCACATCATTAATCACCAACTGAAAAGTGCACAAAAAAAATAATAATAATAATGATAATTAAATCAAAATCAGAAAAAAAAACTATGAATTCAGAGACAATGGTTTAGCTGTACTCAAAAGAAATCCTGAAACGCAGATCCATCCTACATTGGAACAAAATTAGTAACACAAAAATAGCTAGCAGCAGCCTGCCAGCTATACTGTTAGCCTGAGGCAGACAGCCTAAAGTTAGCTTCTTTCAGCCAATGACACACAAACTAACAGTGTCAGTCATTCTTATTATTTTTGTCCTCTTCAACATCAGCATTTACCTCCATTCAGAGAAAACAACGTCCTCAACCTTCACACAGACTAGCATCCTCACTTCTCCTGGACTAGGTACTATGGCAACAAGCAATCAAATGTATAATATAAAAACTGATTAGTCAAATTCACTTCAACAAAGGTCATTATTGTCATTATTTGCATCAGTTACATATCATTATAGGAAATAAATGTAAATAGATGTTTGTATCCTGCCATATACATATGGTAAATAAGAGTCAACATCACCTTTTGTAATTATGCATAATCATACACACAAATTTGTCTTTATATGTAGATATATTTCATAGCCTGTATATATGTGGAAATGTTTCTAGCTTAAAAAAGTATTGCTCTGATTTTTTTTTGTTTGTTTTTGTCACAATATCCAATGAGCCACCAGTATTCTGACAGGTTCAGATTTTGCCTGTAAATTAATTTTTCTTTGTTGTTTGTAATCTAAAACTATTATTTACAAGCTTAAACATGGATTGGATTAACTTTCTTTCTTTCTTTCTTCTTTATTTATCTCAAACTTAAAGAACAACAAAGAAATAACTAGAAACAAAAACACTGAACAAAATAATACATATGTACACCAAACAACTGTACATGTCAAAGATAAATTAACAAAACACACGTTTGTCAAAAATAAACAGTTTGAAAAGGAGGAGAGTGAAGCAAAAAGCTTATCTCGTCCTGCCCCTTCCTTGGAAACTAGAGTTTTAAAAAAAGAAAAAATCTATTTGTAGAAATTACAAAGATCTGTATGAATACATACATTTTATACACAAAGACACCTGCTCAACACTCAATAGGTTACTTGTTTTAATTACTTGCATAGTATAATGATAATCAGTGTTATAATATTCAGAATAAATATTAGTTTTATGCAATCAAGTATATCTAGTATAAAACCATATTTTTTGTAAATTTACTTATATGAATCTTTTAATCTCTAACATTTGATTCAAATATTTTTATGTTATTAGATATTTTTAGAGTGATATCCAGGCGGTTCCAGAGTTAAATACCACAAACAGAAATGCACATACTTTTCAGCGTTGTTTGGACAATCGGACAAATAAATTTATGTTCCCCCCTCAGATTATGGCCCCCCTCTTTTGAACATCTTTTGAAGGTTACCAGGTAACTTACTTTGTGATGCTTTGTACAGCACTTGAGCAATTTTAAGTCATTAAATTTTAACAATTTTGATTTTAGGAACAGAGGGCTGGTGTGAGCTCTGTATCCAGCGTGAATTATGATCCGGATAACTCTTTTTTGTAATGTGCATATCGTTTGTAGATTGGTCTTGTATGTGTTTCCCCAGATTTCAACACATTAAGAGAGGTATGGCAGGATCATTGAGCAGTAGAGTGAGCGTAATGATTTTTGTGGTAATAAATACTTGGTTTTGTTGATGATTCCAATACTTGTTGAAATTTTTGAACACAAATATTTTATGTATGGTTTCCAGCAGAGCTTATGATCAATCAGAATGCCCAAAAATTTACTTTCATAGACCCTTTTAGTCTCAGTTTAAGTTTAGATCCATAAAGGATCGAACATGCAGCGTGTCCCCCAAACCCAACCCTCATGTTGATTTTTCCATTGAGGGTACAGATATAGACATGACTGTAAAAATAGGGATCAGTGTGGAAACACCTTTTGATTTTTAAAGCCCTGTGCAGGCTTCTCATGGGTATACATGAATAAAAAAATAAACACACATTTCCAGGTATAATTAACAGCTTCATCGCTAATATATGACAAATGTGGAGCAGTAAGCCCGTGTCTTGGGTTTGCACCTCGAGGTTGTGTGTGGCCAAGTTCACGATGGGATATTTCAGTAGTGGATTACTCTGGCATGTTGATCTTATAACAGATGACAGAGAATGTTGCCCTCTCAAATGACAAGCATTGGCAGCCACTCACTCACATCCGCTGTCAGACAATAACAACGAGGGTGCCGGTGGAGAGCTGGAGGTTGTACACCGAGTAATTTGCCAGTGCTCAAAGAATGCTTTAGGTGGGTCAGACCTTTTTAAACTTCCAGTGGTCAACGGGTAACGTGTTGGAAGTGGATCCTGGTTTTAGATGTCTGCATTTATTGGCAAGAATGAACCCTGTATTTTTAATCCTTCAGCTGGTCCTTCTAGCAGGTAAGAACTTGTTTCAAACTAAAACATTTTTAATGCATGTGGCACCAGTGAAACCAAAGTTTTTCTAATGTTTTTGTCTGTTAAAGCATAATAAAGTTAAGATGAGTGAAAAAAGTTACTAAGCTGCCTCTTTCATGGATATATTTGTTAAATCTGCTCAGTGATTAGTTTGATTCATCTAACAAAAAAACTAACTTGCACGTTTTTATTTACTGTTCTTTACCGGCTTCTTGATTGACAGGGGCATGTGCACTCTTTCCATAGGTCTCCTCAACCTTTGCCTCTCTGTCTCTGCATGTAATCACCTGCATGGTCATATTAGGCTGACTTCTTAGTCTCCTGATCTGAAAGTCCAGAGTCCAACATGTTGCTGCAAAATGACCTTCATTTCAAGGTCCTCTAAAAAATGAAAGGGGATCCTGCCCTGGCTTGTGACAGATATGTGGTCGAAAGATTATGAGAACATCTCTATTAGCAAGTTCAAAGCAGTGGCCGGGATCTTGAAATGAATTGCTAAACTTGGATCCCAAAGTGAGAATACACAAATACATTTGTACAGAACATTTGTGCTACACATGTGCACCAGACTTGAGAGCATGTGTTTGAAAGTGTTTTGTACTACCCATCCTAGAAAGTCCAAACATACATAACTGATGATTAACTATGCATGTAAAAAATTAAAAAATTAAAAAAATGTAAAGATCCTGAGAACAACTTTCAGTTTGCATTTAGGCGCCCCTGTGGTAAACAGCTGACGCCCCTTCTTGATGAATCTGTCCTCTACATGTGTACACATTATTTATCATTTAGAAATTTAATCCTGTTGTATTTTAACAGTCAAAACTCTCACTATATTAAGAGACAAACAGACAGTTGTAGTCACAGTAGTATTTACAAGTAGTGGTTACAAGCATATCAAGTATACAGATTTGATCTATCTTGACACTGATGTTCTTGTTTGCTTTTATGGCTCACACAGAGGCATCAACATTAATTTAAAGTCTGTTTTTTAACCAACAAAAACCTCCACACAGGAGTTTTCATACTAACAGCACACGATGTAGAGCAGGGTAGGTTTCAGCCTACTTACATACGTCAAAATTAACAAACACATGCACATACATTCACAAACATCTTGAACACATGCCACTTGTCACGTCTATTTTGGACCCATATTAAATGATCTCACTGAGTATCAGGTGTTCTTGAGGCAACATTTTGTTTTGACACAGCGTAAGAGGGTAATGATTTTCAAGCGCACTAAAGAGGCACTCTGAGGTGGAGAGAGAGAAGATATTACACTATCTTATCTAAATAACCATGAGTCTGTTTCCTGTGTCTTATTCTAGGCACCGCCTGGGCCTCCTTAGATGAAACACGTCTGGTCAAAACCCTCTTCACCGGGTACAACAAGGTTGTCCGCCCTGTCACTCACTTCAAGGACCCGGTGGTTGTGACTGTGGGCCTCCAGCTCATCCAGCTCATCAGCGTGGTGAGGTCTCATGTCACATACAATGTCACTCATCTGTATTAAGATTCACTGTCATCAGCTGTCTAAACATATTTCTCTGCACCCACAGGATGAGGTCAACCAAATCGTCAGCAGCAATGTACGACTGAAACAGGTTGGAAACATACGCTCCTCTTTCCACCATACACCCTGTGAGCCTCAAACTGTGATGATAGAAATAATCAGGCAGGAAGAGTGAAAAACATCCTCATGTGTCTTCTAGATGCAAGGGAATAAATGACTTACATTAAAAAATAACATCACAGGGCTGAAAAATTAAGTGAAATCAGTGAATATTTGATTATTGAGGAGTAGAATTCAATATATGCGTATAAAACGCAGGATGTTTCTCAGTGACAGGACAGCTGGGACAAGTGAGCTTAAGAAAATAAGAAAGTCTTCAATCCTGATCTTGAATGTGTTCATTTTGTTCAGCTCTCTCTGTACCAAAAGGATTTACTCTTTGTTTAAACATGTTTATTTTTACCCACAAAGGCTTTGGTTTTAAAGTGTCGTAATTAAATACTTTAAAACCTCATCAAAAAGGTTTTAACAGATAAATAAAAACCATGCTTTCACTTTGAAGATGTACCATCTCAGTCAGCTGTTTTACTTATGTTTTTGCTTTTCCCCCATATTACATCCATTTATAATAGTTGTCATCATTGACTTGTTTCCATGGTGGTCTTTGTCTGTTTTTCTCAGCAATGGAAAGATGTGAACTTGCAGTGGAACCCGGAGGATTACGGCGGTATCAGAAAGATCAGAGTTCCCTCCACTGACATTTGGCGCCCTGATCTAGTCCTCTACAACAAGTACGTTATCGGGCTATATTTAATCCCTGTCATGACTCTTTTCTCTCGGAGACCTTTTTTTTTCATTACCTCAGCTCTGAGTGACCTAAATTATCCAGACTTATAGAAACAATCAGCACACCTGTCAGTGATGTTTGGGATCACACTTTCCCATATTCCAGTGAGGAACGTGTGAAAGCTCGGATTTCATTAGGCTAAATCTGGACCCTGTATTGTCCCCCCTTCTCCCACCATATGCTGCTTCTGACACACTGCTGTTTTTCCCTGACAACCATCCCCGCTGCCACAACAACTTGTGCCAAGCTCAGCGCTGGTTGGCTGCGCTGTGCCTATCCTCAGGCACTGATGTCCCCCTGCGTTAATATTTAACTTAATTTCTCCCACGCTGATGTCGCCTGTTTGTCTCTGCCCGCAGTGCTGATGGTGACTTTGCCATCGTTCATGAGACCAAAGTGTTGCTGGAGTACACAGGGATGATCACATGGAACCCACCCGCCATCTTTAAGAGCTACTGTGAAATCATCGTGCTGCATTTCCCCTTTGACCTCCAGAACTGCAGTATGAAGCTGGGGACCTGGACGTACGATGGCAACCTGGTGGTCGTCAATCCTGTAATTCAATTCAAGCCAATCATATACACACTTTTTAGAAAAACATACTTGCAGCATCCCCTTTAAAATTATGTGTTTTTTTACATCTTGGAAACTATATATTTTCTAAACCTTTGGAGAATCACAAATTAACTTTTTAGTATTCAAAAAATGACAACCTCAAATTAAGTCACTAATTATAATTATCTTAAGATAACCCATTAAATATTTCTTTTAAACCAAATAACTTGAAATATATCTTAATTATGCACACATAGACCCATATCTCATATATGAACTACACTGTGATTCAAAGTGTGCTAGCGTGCTATGTAGCAACAATATAATATTATAACAAAACTACTTCTGTTGGTTAAAGCAAACAAGAAGCAGACTAGCTAGCCAAACAAAAACCTAGCTAGAACTTGGTTACATTATTTTTGTATAAACCATCAAGTAATATAGACGACCAGATTCTTTCTGAGGGTAATATGTGGTCAACAGCTCAAGTTCAAACAACCATTTAAGATGCGATTTCTGGTTTGTCAGAAACAAAGATGTAAGGGCAACATAGCTACATGTTTTCTGGGCAGTTTTGATGAATTGTTTATTCACTAGGAGCACTAACTTCCTGTTTTTTGCCTGATCTCCTTTTGTACAGCGACCTTGGGTTACCTATAAGGCGCTATATAAAACTAAGTTATTATTATTATTATTAATACATGATAATAATCATGGGTCATTTGCAATACTTATTTCTTTAATGAGAACTGACAAAATACTGACTGTCTGTTGGTTAAAGCAAACAAGAAGCAGACTAGCTAGCCAAACAAAAACCTAGCTAGAACTGGGTTACATTATTTTTGTATAAACCATCAAGTAATATAGACGACCAGATTCTTTCTGAGGGTAATATGTGGTCAACAGCTCAAGTTCAAACAACCATTTAAGATGCGATTTCTGGTTTGTCAGAAACAAAGATGTAAGGGCAACATAGCTACATGTTTTCTGGGCAGTTTTGATGAATTGTTTATTCACTAGGAGCACTAATTTCCTGTTTTTTTTTTTTTTTTTATATACGCTAACAAAGTAGGATGATATAAAAGAGTTGCAGTCTGCCAGCCTTTAGACAGGGCTAAGATAGCTGCTCCTCCATACTTTCAGGCTTTACTTTACTGTAACTTTACTGACCTAATTTTTTTGAGACATTGCTTCTTTTCTACTACACAAACTTTTTGATTACCTGTACAACTTGGACAAAAGCTCTGCAATGTCTCTGCATGATACTTGGCTGCTGAACTAGGTCAGAGTGATACCATAAGCGCTACTGTGCAACATTTCTCATATCTTTTTATTTGGGTACCTCCAAACAAAATTACACATTCAGTGTCCCATCTGCTTTCTAAAGTTGATGTCCAGTAATCAGGTATTGGGTCAATTCAGATGGTAAGATGTGTCTACCAGGTTTAGACAAGGGTCTGTTCAGACATTACAGTACAATGACTGCTGATCAATCTTTCATAACCCTGTATATTTCTTCTTCTCAATAGGACAGTGACCGCCCTGATCTGAGTAACTTTATGGAGAGTGGAGAATGGGTGATGAAGGATTTCCGTGGCTGGAAACACTGGGTGTACTACGCTTGCTGCCCTGATACCCCTTACCTGGACATCACCTACCATTTCCTCATGCTGAGGCTTCCTCTGTATTTCATTGTCAACGTCATCATACCCTGCATGCTCTTCTCCTTCCTGACTGGACTGGTCTTCTACCTCCCGACAGATTCAGGCAAGATGATGCTCAGTCTGCAGTTTGTCTTTTCCCTTGGATATAAGCAGAAAGAATCTGTTAATACTGACAGTACATAAAGAAACAAATCAGGTAACTGACAGACAAATAGACTGCTTAACAGAGAAACCTCTACCACAATAGCCAAACCATTTGATAATGGTAAATGATTCAATGCTTAACAGTGGGCCTGCCCTGATTATTCTGGCACAGACAAACAAAACCTTCAAGTAAATAGGATAGTCCACTGTAGCTCCTAGACAACAGGGGGACTGTACAAACGAGCCGAGAGTTACTTGGAGATAAAACTAGGATAGGACCTGACAGAGATGTAGGCAGACACAGACTCCAGGTAAATATTAGAGGCCGTTGTGGGTCCTACAGAGAAAAAAACATACAGTACACAAGTCTGCAGAACTTGCCGAGTGTGGAAATTAACTCAATTTAACTTGCCCTGCAGATTAAATTAGCTCTCTGACTGTTAAAACAGTTATATATACAGGGGTATTTAAGTGAAATCAATACATCACCAGCTAGTAAAAGCATTGTAACGAACAAAAAAGTACATTTTCAGCGACAGTGCATTTTGTCTGATTATAACAAAGAAGACTTGGAAAGATACAAGCACGTGTTTGACCCTGTTACACCTCAAAGCAGCTGCTACATTCACTCTTTGTGCTTAGCTCTGCTGTCTTATTTTCAGCATGCAGTATGTGTTCAGCCAGGCATTTATCTTGTTATTGAACCCAGGGAGAAAACAAGTGACCTCAGTTATACTGTAGCATTTCCTTAGTATCTATCATAGCTTGCTTTAAAATAGCTTTGAAACAGTCTAAGGAGAAGTTATTTTCACACTGCATATCCAACATACGGCACATGCAAAAGCAAAAAATTAGATGACTGAATTTCAAAAACCCAGATGTGAGATCAGCACTCTCATGTTGGAAATATCCTTGCCCCTAATTCCTCTTGTCAGTCTGAAGTGTCCCTACATTGCCAGCTACAGGAACTATGTTGCTTGTGTGCACATCTGGCCGTGTTCCCAGTGTGTGGGTCTGCCTCATTACCCAGGGTCCCTCTGTGCTGTCATGTCTGAAAGCAGGCCTTTGCTTTAATGTATAATACATCAGTTGATCCCTGTTTCTGATATGACTGCTGACAGGAAAGTGTGGAGGAGAAGCTGGTGCCAAAAGACGCTCTCTCCGGGATAACTGCTCTCTTACTGAGCAACAAAAACAACATGTCTTGCATTTTCCTTCTGAAATGGTGTCAGAATCTGTTTACGTGTGCTATTGTTGGTTTTGGATACGACATGAAAAACAGACTTTTTCTCTCTGAATGAGATTTTTCTTCACGGGTAAACTGCTTTGGTGGTGTTGTGTAAATGTTGTTGTGGGTTGGTGATTGGAAGCAGAGTATTTTGGTCGCTGAAACAGCTCACCTTTGAGTCAGTGTAATAAGATTGTAATTTGGTGGGTACCATGACCTGATTTAGGAACATATTTGACCATCTTTTACATAACATTTAGACCAAACAGGGTAAACGGTGCTCTCACAACTGTTACTTAATATTACAACACAAAGCCTTCAACAAAGGAACAGCCTGGTATCATGGTTGCATAATAAATGGAGGCTTTCCTAAATTGCACAACAAATCTTATTATGTTCTATGTCCTCTCCAGGCTGGGAATTACTGATCTATGTGTTGACTGATCACAAATGTCCCTTACAAAGCAGCTGCCCACTGTAAAACACTCTGAGTCTTGTGGTAGGTTTCAAACAAATGTCTAAAAAGTCAGTAAGAGTGTTTTTGTGTCACTCAGGTGAAAAGATGACCCTCAGCATCTCCGTCTTGCTGTCTCTCACTGTGTTCCTGCTGGTCATTGTTGAGCTGATCCCTTCTACCTCCAGCGCTGTACCTCTCATTGGGAAGTACATGCTCTTTACTATGGTCTTTGTCATTGCCTCCATTATCATCACCGTCATTGTCATCAACACCCACCACCGCTCACCAAGCACTCATACCATGCCAGACTGGGTCCGCAAGGTGAGTGAAAATCACAGATTAAATCCTGTTTTCTGACCTTACAGCCTTTCTACTTTATCTGCGTTACACTTCCATCTAGTGGTAGAAGTTGAAAAATAAATTCTGACAAATCAAACCATCCAAATGTTTTACATGCAGTACACTGACGAATCTTTTGTCTCTATTTGACAGGTTTTTATTGAAACCATTCCCAATATCATGTTCTTCTCAACAATGAAACGTCCAGGAAAGGAAAAGCAGACCAAGACTATCTACGGTGCTGATTTTGACATCTCAGACATCTCTGGAAACCAAACCATTCCTGTTCCCTACCAGTCACCCATGACCCAGAACCCTGACGTCCGCAGTGCCATTGAAGGAGTCAAGTACATCGCAGAAACTATGAAATCAGATGAAGAATCCAACAATGTAATCTTCCTTGCACTTGCACACAACATATCTCTTTTGTGTTTAATTAATGAGCCTTTATGTGACACGTTGTCTCTGTTTTTTTCCCAGGCTGCAGAGGAGTGGAAGTTTGTGGCCATGGTGCTGGATCATATTCTGCTGTGTGTGTTCATGGCTGTGTGTCTTATCGGCACATTAGGAGTGTTTGCAGGTCGTCTCATTGAACTTAGTATGCTTTAAGGACACATGCTTTACCTGCTTCTTCTTAGTTTGAGGTGCAGTTTCTGCATGTTGAAGTCTTGATTTGTTTGACGTTTGAGGAATGATCCTGTTTATACAAGATGACAAATCTGTGTTATGTTTTCTGACAGAAAGGGTTGTTTTCCTTTTTTTAAGGGATATTTGGATGAAATTAAAAAGGAAATTGTTCAGCAAAATAAAAATGTCTGACTTGTTTACAGTGAACAACCAATGTTACTGAATCAGAGCCACAGACTTATATTCATACATGCTAATCTTCGACTGTCTGGTGTCTATGGCTTTAAAAACAGACATGTACTGTTGCTATTTTTAAACCCCATCTTATAAAAGTTGGACAGTGTAAATGGTTCCACTTTTGGCTTTTTTCATAATTGCCCCTGATTTGATAAGACATATGATATCTCTATGAAGAGCACTTTTCTGTCATATTCATGGCTTTCTCATAGGTCTGAAGTTTCCACTGCACCAAAACCAGATGTGCATTAATAACAGTGCAAATGTTCTGCTTTATCATTATAAACTCTGGCATACTTTATCTTTTTTCTTGTCACTAATTGTCGGACAGCTTTTGCCAAATCTTTTGCAAACAAGTCACAGAAAAAAAAGTAAAAGTAAATAAGATATTTGAAGAGTGTAAGGTGTATTTAAATGACATGGTTCCAAAAAGACAATGTATAACTTCAGGTGTCATCAAAAAGAAGATATGAACAAATCAACCTGTTTTCTACCACACCTGGAAAACGACTACAAGCATGTTCATGCAGGAGAAGAAAGGAGAGGTGGAGTCTATGAGAAGATGATCAGCTGACTTATGACCTCCTGTACCCAACTAGATTAGTTGAGCAATTTTACTCACAGAAGGTTAATTCTCAGACTGCCTGATCTGATCATTTGGTACAGTCTGAGGGGCTGACAGGATCTAGAGGGTCCCAGCATAGAGCTCTCAGAAATGAATTCATACAAGAAAGAGAGCAATTTATTCAAAAACATAGCTGATCTTATATAAGATATGAGATAGACAGTCATTATTATGATATCAAATGTCATGGTTTTTAAAAACAGACATTTAAAACCCTGGTCCACGCCTTCATCACCTCAAGGTTAGATTACTGCAACAGCCTCCTGTACGGTCTACCCTCCAAACTCCTCAACAAACTACAGATAGTCCAGAATTCTGCCGCACGCCTCCTTACCCACACCCGCTCACAAGACCACATCACCCCTGTCCTCCTCCGTCTACACTGGCTCCCCATCAAGCAACGCATCACATTCAAGATCCTCCTTCTCACCCACAAAGCCCTTCATCATCAAGCCCCTTCTTATCTCACCGACCTGCTCCAGCCTCATGCACCCACCCATAACCTCCGATCCTCCTCTGCCCATCTCCTCACCCCAAAGTCACGGCCCAAGCACTGAACCTGGGGGGATCGGGCATTCTCCACAGCTGCCCCTACCCCCTGGAACTCCCTACCACCCTCCATCAGACACTGCCCTGACCCCACTACTTTCAAATCCCTTTTAAAAACTCACTTCTTTAAAATTGCTCTTAATATTTAACTGTTTTATTTTACTGTTCTCATGTCTCTGTTTTATTATCTTGGGTTTTATGTTCTATGTAAAGCGTCTTTGAGTGTTTTTAAAAGCGCTGTACAAATAAAATGAATTATTATTATTATTAAAACATTGTCATAAATATGACAGCTACCACACACACAAATGTCTTTTTGATCACATAGTCTTATTTTTTGTGTCCCCACATTTTCCCTGTAAATCTGGCTTTATCTCATATCTGATCATCTTATCTAATTATTCATACAAATGTAACTTACCAAGGCAATATCTTCATCATGAAGGAGAAGTTTCCCTCTTCTGTTTCCCAGTATTGTGTTTTTATTTCAGTCGGTCCTCTGTGTTTCACTTGGTCTTACCCTGTAGAAGAAATCAAAAGTTTCTCTCTATAGTTCAGCTAATCACTCTTGTGGAGACCCGGATAATGGATGGGGGGCGTTGACTCAATAAAAAGGCTTAGAGCCACTGTGCCAAAGCTTGACTGGCACATTGAATAAGAGAGGGCATGAGAGCACTTAGAGGTGAGTGAAAGAAATGGCTGTCCAATATGAAGGGTTTTAAAACTACCGTAGACTTTCTTAAATAAGTATTCTGTTTCCATTTCTGAGTTATTTATGATTATTTAGCGTTCAGGTGGATCTGTTATCCTGCTATTTCAGCAGCAGACCATTTAACACCTGTAACTGTTTCTAACAGACAGCAAAGCAGGTATGGAGGCAGCCTGCTGACATCAACTTGAACTTTTCTTATGAGAAGAGAGATCTGGACTCTTCTGCTCCTCCAGACACCATGTCCATCGACAAGCTCTTTCCAGCTCTCCTGAAGTGTTTTGGGATAATAATCGCTGGATACATCACAGGCAGAGCTGGATTTATCACTCCTGTACAAACGAAAGGATTGGGGAACTATGTATCCATGTTTGCCCTTCCAGGACTGCTCTTCAAGAACATGGTCCTGCTGGACTTTGATAATGTCATCTGGCCTTTCCTGTGGAGCATCCTCATAGCCAAAGTATGTCTGTTTTTCCTTGTGTGTTTGGTCACGCTGGTAGCCGCCAGTCCAGAAAAACGCCTCAGCAAGGCTGGGATTTTCTCTATTTTCGTCACCCAAAGCAATGATTTGGCTTTGGGATATCCCATAGGTAAGTGAAATACCTGTAATCCTATTATACTGCTCAAACAAGTGGATTAAGAAACAAAATCACCTCTGATCCTACGATGCTTAGCACCTGTGGTTTGGACCAAAAGACTGCACATGAAATACTGTATGAGTTCACTGATAGATTTATCTCTGGAAAAGAGTTTTACAGATTCATTTTGCACAGACTTTGGCTGACAGCCATTAAGACTGTTACAAATAAACAGGACCCATTCACGCAAGATTTAATAAACACAAATTATGCAACTTTCAAAGGAAGTGGACGATTTAATCCAATTGTTATTATTCATTCCAGCACACTTCTCAGCATCAGTGTGGTATTACTGAATGGACCACATGCAGTATTGATAACTGTAGCCATCTGCTGTATTGCACTAAAGTTAGCAATAATGTTATGATCATTCTATGTCCATAATAAAACATCAACACACTAGCAGTATTTCATCAAACTAGACAAGATTAGATACATGATAGTTAGTCACAATAGTGCATGAGGGCACATCTATCCATACTCTCACATTCACATGTTAGCAACAACATATATTAAGTAAGTTTAAAGCAAGAATATTAAAGAAAATGGACACAGAGTTTCGTGGCCTTTAGCTGATTTATCATTTTACTTGAACTTTTCAAAATTGAAATTTAGCTCACATTCAATAAACCACTGATGACACAGTCAAAATTCAGTAGAGTTTTTCCTCTTATTCAAGCCTTGAAAACTTCAGTTCCAGTGTCTTTGTCTCCCATAACCTTTAAAAATGAAATCATCACTGTCTTTGTTCTTTTGTTTAATGTCTGTGTTTGCAACATTGTTCAGTGTGTTTCACATTTCTGTCTGTGTCGGACTACTACTTTAAGAGCTTTTGAATTGCACATCTATAGTTGTTTTCTACTAAATTAGTATGGCTCAGGATCTTGGTGTACAATGGTTTTACCGTTACACTGTGTGAAATATTAATTGAGTGCAATTATTTTCCAACAAATCAGATGCTGAGTATGCTTCACGGCTTATTGAGATGTCTGTCTTCGTCTTTATCCACAGTCGAGGCCCTGTACAAGAGCACATACCCACAGTACCTCCAGTACATCTACCTGGTCGCACCTGTGTCCCTGATCTTTCTAAATCCCATCGGTTTTTGCCTCTGTGAGATAGAGAAGTGGAAGAATCAGGGAGAGCACCGGAAGAGCAAACTTTTGACCATGGTACTTGTAGTTTTCAAGGTCCTAAAGAACCCCATAGTATTCATGGTAATTGTCGGCCTCATCGCCCACTTTGCCCTGCACAGCACCATCCCTGCATTCATGGCTGACTTTGTGAACAGCTTGGCTAGCTCTTTTGAGGGGACTGCTCTCTTCTACTTGGGACTATGCATGGTGGGCCAGTTGAGAAAAATAACCCGGTCCACATTTATGTCTATGACGTTACTTCTAACAGTTAAACTGTGAGTACAAAAGAAGCTTTTTACTTCACCTCAATACAATTTTCTTCTGCAAGTTTCTCAGTTTTATTAGGTCTATTATGAAGAAAAATCCTGAGTCAGTAGGTTAGTACTTTGTCAAGTGCTCCTGTTATGCTGTCTTATGGTTTGTGAGTTAGGTCTTTGTCCAACCTGAAGGCTAATGTTATGGTTCATGTTTCATTAGCAACTCTCAAATAATGAACCTCTGATGTGACTTTCAGGTTGCTGATGCCGCTGATCTGTAAGGACTTGGTGGATCTGCTGGACAATACCAACACCAGTGCTTTGAACCACTCAAGCCTCTCCAATTATGCTTTTCTATATGGGGTGTTTCCAACTGCACCAAGTGTGGCCATTTACGCTGTCTATTACAATGCAGAGCTTGAAGTCGTGAGTTTTTTTACATCTCTTTATTACTGTGTTATATTGAGTACTACACTTTCCTTTGAAACTCCCTCTACATGATTCTTTTACTTTGCTTCCTCAAAGGTAACCTCTGGGATGGTGATCAGCACTTTCCTCGCAGCACCAATAATGTACGTGTCTGCCTGGTTACTGTCAGTCCGTGAAATGGATCTTACAATTGTGCTGAATTTACTGCAGAGTGTTACCATTAACTTCAGCATACTGAGTCTAGTTTTGCTGGTGAGTCTTATGGCGTAACTGTAGTCCAAGGTTACTCAAGTAGTAATCGATAGATTTGTTGAGTGTTAAATAATCTGTTACTATGTGTTTGTTTTGTCTGACAGATATGGACGTTTGCTATTGTTTTATTGAGCAGGAAGGTCGAAAGACTTCCTCATATGTTTACATTCAACCTGTTCTTGGCACAGGTGAGCACACTTCCTCATACTTTAAATCTCAACTCACAAATCTGTCTTTCGGTGAAGTTTCTCAGCTGTATATGTATGATATACTGTATGTTGTCTCTAGTTTATCACTTGTACAGCGGTGATCCTGTGGCACCTCACAGTCACAGTAAACAATGGCATCGCGCAGGTTTTGATTTTCACATTACTATGCACCTCACTCTACAGCACTTATGTGTGGCCAGGTATGGATGAACGAACCAGTCACAGTAAACTTACATCAAAATGAATTAATAACTCTTGAAATTTAATGCTTGACTGCTATTTTATGATACCTACTTTGTCTTTCTAGCTCTGATAGCACTCTCACTGGTGCTCATAAAGAAACATGGGGATCTAATGGTCTCACCAGGCCTGTTTGTCCTTGCAGGCTGGGGGTAAGCTTCTAAAGTAATTTAAAAATAAAGAAATAAGAACAGAACTATGACATTTTGTCAGGTCCATTTAAAATTAATGCAAAACAATGCACCTGCCTTAAAAGCTCTTGTGAGGAACTTTTTGTTGGTCTCCCTTTTGGTGCCCTCCTGTGGCCAAAGTAGTCTTTGTTTATCTTATCCCCTACGTGCCTATAGTGTGTTCTGGAAATCTCATCCTGCTGCCTTTTGACAGTAAATTTTATCATTCATTTTGAATATTTTACCCCCTAACACTGCATTTAGGCTTTAAAAGTTACATCAAAGTCATCAGTCTTGTTTCTAATGGTCTTGATTGTTATTGTTTATCATTAAAAGGCAACAATATGAATTTAAGTTTGTTTCATATATGTCAAAAAACTCCTCACTGGAGTAAAGCAGAAATTAGGTGTAAGGACACTTACACCTGATACGACCTCAAATTTTAGGCCCATGGGTGTCCCCAGTTTTCTGTCAAAGACATCAGGTATGTCACTGTGAGGTTAGCACCTCTGCCTAGTCCTTACACACCTGGTACTATCATGCCAGGCCGGTTGACCTGTGGTGGTGATGACACCTCCAAGAAGAGAGACATCTTCCCTCTATAAGTGTGCTGCATCTTCAGATTACTCCAAATAAACACACTTCTTGCTTTCATTATACAAAGGGGATGGTCCAGTGAGATCTCAGAGTCCCCCTGTGACTTTAAGTTATCTTTTAAACATTCAGTAAATGTCAGACTTACTGAATGATGACTGACAAGCTTATCCTGAAGACTGACCTCCAATTGTTTTGCTCTTCAGGGAGCCTACATTCAGCATATCATGCACCAAACTGAGCACAATGAATTAACCAATAAATGTGATGAACCAAGAAAATATCTTAAATAGACATATCTGTAGACAAAGATGTTGTCATAGACATATTGACCACATTGTACTTGAAGCCAGAGAAATGGCCCTAGCTATTCACTTAGGTAGTAAATGTATAATGGTTTAAAATTAATTAATTATCAACTTTATTTATAACATGTCCAATAAAATAAAACAGTAGTTACAGAAAAAACTAACAACAAAAGAGAGAAGTCAATAAACTGTATCAGCAAACTCTAAAAGAAATATTCTGCACATGTGAAAGGGAGGATGTCTCTCACCGCGTTGCAGTCTTGGCGCAGTCACAGCTCCAGGCCAGTGGATCTAGTATTGTGGTGTTGGGCAGAGAGATGCTTTCAGAAAAGTGAGATTCAAGGGGAATGTCTGAAATGAGAGCTGGGGTTGACAGAATTGAGGTTGTGTTATGAGGCTGCTGCTAAATTAATGAAACATGAATCTCCAAACTAACTATAATCCATCATCTTTTTACTCACAGGATTCCAGCCTTTGTAACTGCTGTGTTGCTATTTTCTGGGGACATAACACCTTTCACAATTGACTCCTCATCCATCTATGGCAAACAACAGGTAATAACAGGAGTGAAAATTACTCTCAAGTTTCCAGATAGTGACATTTAAGGACTATTTGTTTGAATTATTCAGTATTCAATAAGTCTGTCTTTTCTATAACAGTTAATCTGCACTACAGTAGTAGCTTCTCTCAGTATACTGCTGGGAGGAGGCTCTCTTCTATGGCTAAGTAAAGGGAGCAGGACTCCCAAAGAATATATCCAAGAAGGAGGCACTGCAGATTATCTCGTGACTGAGACTGAATCAGGAAGTATGACTAAAGCTATGCCTGCCCACCCACAAGGAGAGCCCAACAAAGGTAGTCTTCTTTAACAAATCTTTTTCTACACGTCATTTAAAGAGGTCATTTAATGATAATAGTCACAGCACATGAACATACAGGAGTTATTCAAACATCTGAAGCAGCCAGATATCTCACATTTTAGCAGCAATGTTCTCTAACTTGGCCTAGCAGTTAGAAAACATACTGAGGTTGTATTGCGTGTTGCAGAGGTCACTGTTGAGTCAACTAAGCCATGATCTTTGCTCCATATTATCCTCACATGAAAGAAAAGATAATATTTAAGAAATATAATCGCTTTTCTTTTTCTGTAAGAACAAAAGCTGCCATATTTTTGAATGCAGTGACTTACTAAAGCAGCTGATAATGGAAAATTTGTATAATCCAGATTATAACTATTTAGACTTGCTTTTCTGCACAAAATTGGAACAGGATGTGATTTTTTTTTTTTTTGTGTGTGTAATTTATAGAATGGAAAAAAAAGAAAAAAAGTCATCCCCGACTAATTCAAACTAAACTAACTCTTAAGTTATTTAAATAAAGAATATAACATAATCACAGCAACTTTTGTCTGATGATTTTCATCAGAAAAATAAAGATAAAAAATGGAAGAAGCTATTGTAATTACAAAAAGAAATGCAAGCCTGTAGCAGAAGTGAAACATTAATTTAAAACATGATCAAAATGAGAATTCAAGAATATAATGTGGTAAATTGTCATAACACCAGTTATCTACTAATTGTATGCTAAAGGCAAAGTATGTAAAAATGAGAATATTTGATCAAATCTAACATCCAGATCTGATTCTGAAATGCTCCCTTGCTCCCCACTATGGTTGGTGAAGCAATGGTGGCCTTTAAGGAAAAGAGGCTCCTGTGATGCATGATAAGCATGACACTCCATTTGTTAAGATTTTAACCATCAATAACACCTGTCAATACAAGTTCCTTTGCACACAAACACTCTCTTCTTCTTTAAAATGGCTTTAAAACGTGCTGCTAGAATCTCAAAGCTGGTGACACAATGTAAATTAAACCCAAACCAAGCAAGCTTTACTGAATGAATAATTTTCACAATGTAAAACAATGTTTTCAATCTTCACTCTGCTGTAACCTACAGATCAGAATGAGCAGATGTTCTTCTTCAAAGACTACCTGCTTCTTCATGCTGATGAGCTTCAGCAGGACGGAGATAGACAAGAGGCCCGTCATGAGATCTTGTGTCTCTTCCTAACTGTCAACCTGCTTGCTGTGAGTAAAATAACACCTCTCATTTCTACAATAATATGAAGTCACTTTCTACTGTTTGCATTGTTGTGTTTGGTGCATTATAATCCTGATCAGATATAAATGGGCAGAGCTGTGTGAATTCCAGCTGGGGTCTACATCAACGGAAAACTTGTCCATCCCTCCTATTATCCTAAATTTTACTAACAAGTTTTTCCCTTGGGGTCAATCTGACCCCAAGAGTAAAAAAATAAAACAGTTTTATTTGGATTACATTTTTCTTGTATTTGAGGTAAGAAGGTGAACTGTGTAAAATAACATTAAAAAAATAATGTAAAAATAACATTTTTTTTCTATTTCAAACATATAATCCCTCTTCTTTATCTTTATGACAGAACGTATGCAGCTGCTTGTGGTTGCTCCTTTACTGTGCTCCTGGTAGGCTGTACTTGGAGCTGCAGTTTTTTTGTGCTGTGGCTAACTATGGACAGGTTGGTAATTAAAAATTACAATTATCACCATGATTTCCCACATTTTTGTCACATAGTGTGAGTGTCTTTACATGTTTTTTTGTTTTTTTTGTTTTCAGGGTCTTCTCTCTTTTCTTGTGTTTGGTCTGGACAAGCACTTGGTAGTGCTGCTTTATAAGTGGTATGAATTCTTTTTTGTGCAATACAAGTATTTCTCTACATAAATAGGTCTGTTTACTCATTTACTCAACATACTACTGTGTATTTAGATTGTGTTTATTACAGGTAATTTTTAACAACATGCTGTTTCTATTGATGATAGGCTGGGGAAAAAAGACTTCAGGGTGCCTTGTATGTCAACAATAAAGGGATGGGATGCTACTATGGCATTCATGAAGAGAAAACCTGACAAGCCCTCTGCAAAAGAAATACCAGTGAGTAGCTCTCCAGGACAGAACGGACGAAACGGCAGCACCCTTGTGAGTAAAGATCCAAAGCAGAGTGAAGGGGAAAAAACTCCACTGACTGTTTCAACCAAAGATTCACCAGGAAGAGGAAAAAAAGAGGGAAAAGAGTTAATAATCCATTACCTGTCTCGTACATCTTCAATACCTGATCGACCACCAGCCAAGGAGGAGGCAAAACCCAATGGAAGTGAGACACAACACCAAGAGAAGGACACAAAGGGGAAAAAGAGGTTAAAAACTAAATATTTTTCTTTTTAAAGTTAGGTTTGACAGTAAATGTTAAATCAGCAGATGTAAAAGACTAAATATGGTTTTGTTTCATGTTTTTTTTTTTTTCACAATTTTTTTTTGGCCTGGTAAATAAGGAAGTGTGTTTGCAGATGGAGATATAAAATTCAGGTTATTGAAATAGTGATGGTTCAATGATAAATGTAATAATCCCACTTTAAATTTTCTTCTACAATCTAAGTGTTGTATTACAAAATAAGAATTAAATACTTATAAAAGTAGATTTAGTCTTTGCAGCAGTTTTATCCTTCACCTGGCCATGATTGTGTTATCTTTCATTTGGCCTACAGTGTGTGGGTCTGCCTCAATACTCAGAGTCCCTTTGTGCTGAATGGAGAGGCCTTTGCTTTCATGTATAATCCATTACTTGATGTTTTTATTTCAGATATAACAGCTGACAGGAAAGTGTGGAAAAGAAGTCTGTCTCAGGGGTTACTGCTTTCTTTTCTGAACAGTGTTGTGCCATTGTTTTTTTTTTTGAACAACAACTATAAATGTGGCTTAATCTTTTAATGTGATTTTCTTGTATTCAGTGAACAGTGCAGTTATTGTGTTGTGGAAATAGTAGCTGTAGTCTTCTTACCAGTGCAGACATTTGGCATGTGAATGAGAAACGGCCCCCCCTGGTGGTGTTGTAATAAAACTCCTATTTGTGGGTGTCTTGGTTCAGATTTGGGTTATTTTACTGTCCTTTAAAGAAATAAATCACTGTTTATTCACTCTTACCATCTTACCATCTGTGTAGTGGACACTAGAGGGTTGAATTTTGGGATACCTATCCTTTTGTATTGACCCTTTTCCCAGTTTAATGTTTCATCCATTTTGAACAATGCTGGTGATGAAAGAGGTATTTTTTTATGGTGTTTTAGCATTTTACAGGCAATATTACCGTAGCTACACAATAGACATTGTCGTGACCATGTTTTGCCCAAGGTTCTTTCTGCTTCAGTTTATTAAGCGAAGAACCCTCTAATTTACAGGCTGGGGAGAATCTAGTCCAAATTTTGACTGGCTAGAAATATCTTAAAGTAGCATCATAAAGCATGTAATAGGTTTTGAGTTAATAAAAAAACAGAAGCAGGGCTGAAGTTGCTTCCTAAATAATGTCAGTGCACATTGAAGAAATGAGCAAAGATCTTTCCTCTGTACTCTATCGCCATCATGTGGTTATTGGCCTGTTCAGTTTGATTTAATCAAATCAAACTGGCTTGGTGTACATATGTTTCTGACTGAAAGTATCCCAAAGTTATTCTCAGAGCAGAACTGTGTTTGTTCCCAAGCTGGTGTTCATGGTGTTTGATCGTATTCTGCAGTGTTTGTTTATGTTTATACTTCACACATAAGGAGTGTTCAATGCAATTAACATTCTCTGAAGACCTGTGCTTCATGTCCAACCTGTTGAACTTCTCTGAGGAACTCTTTGTCACTAACTGAGATATATATAGCTGTTGTGACATCTCTGTGTATTACCCAGCAGCACTTAAAGGAGCCCTTTGTCTCTTTTCTAGAGTTTGGAGAATGTCCTTAGATGTTCTGTATTCACGGCCATGCACTGTCAGTCTGGTTTGACTTTTTTGAATGACTCTAAAAAGTGCAGAAATTATTCTGGGTTTTTTTTGTATACTCTCTGTCGTGAAAGGCTGAATCTATGATGGTTAGAGTGCAGTCCCATCAAGTTTGATACAGAAGTTACCATGTTATGATGTAGGGATGTTTTTTTTCTGTCAACCTTCTATTTGACTTTCAAATACAAATGCAAATATTGTGCCTTTGTAAAATTATCTCTGGCCCATGTCCATGTAGATTCTCACTCATCCAGGTCATGGTTTTTAAGTAAGACAAATATCTGCTCCTCACACTAGCATTAATCAGAACTGAAGAAACTTTTTGGATAAGAGGCGAAACATCTTCTCAACTCTACACAGTCCAGTTGCCTGATTTTGGAGTCTTCAAGACTATCTCTGACCCATGTTTTTACCTGGTTACCTATCCATCTCTTTTTAACCAAATTTGATGTGAATGTTTGTATGACCCAACATCACAAAACACTACTTACCATAGAAGGTTTAATAGCTCACTGTTTTACAAGTGCAAATTACAGGAGCAAGTATATAGTTCAACATACAGGCATGTGCAGATCTGTGGCATGAGTGACGCGACTGCATCACTTCCAGTCACCCATGAGACTTGAAAAGAGATCACATTAACACAGAAAGAGCGAGCAGAGCATGTACACAGACAGGAAAGATGAGCAAATATTGAAGGGAAAGCATACAAACAAAAGAGAAAACAAGATCAACAAGAGGACAGAAGAACCATCATGGGAAAAGAGGTCATGGCTTACAGTGTTTTTTATACTGCAAGAAAAACAAACAGAAACATCAGGTTATGTGTACCCAGGCCTATAAAATCCTCCTGTTCCAAACTTTGTTTAGCTGGTTTCCATTTAGTACTAGACTTTGGGGTTTGATTATGAATGTACTGAGCCTGCAGGCACAGGCTGTGCACAAAAGCTGAGGGGTCATGGACCTGGTCATCTGCTTAGTGTCAGTGTTATTATTTCTTGTTTTAAAGTTAATAAAAACAACACTTGAACACCACACAGAGATGCAGAAAGCTCAAAAATTAAAGCAAAACAACTACAAACACCACCAAGTGACCAATGGCATAGCAGTGGTTTAACAGTATGACACATAACACTACTTTTCTACACTCAAAGACAGTACATGCCTTTATTGAAGAGAAATTATAAACAGGAGTCTGTTTTCAGTTGTTAAAATAGAATGTGGATTTGCATATTGAGAAAGGCTATATCTGCAATTAAAAAATATAGTTTAAGCTGAGCTTTGGTGTTAGAAGATCCTTCATTAAAAGTCAAATAAAAAGTTCAGATAGTTGATAAATCATAATGAGATAGACAGACATTTAACAAATTATAGCAATGTGATTTCAGTCATGGTTGTGAGACAAAGCAAGTTCAATAGCTGTAAAAATATCAGAAGTATTACAGAAAATTATGAATTTTTAACATTCACATTCTGCTTTTTATGTAAGCCTAAAATTCAAACGTTTGTCTCATACTTCTGTCACCAGACATCCCACTAAATTATTTCTTGTGATCAATTTTTTATTGATTTTTTTACAGATCCACAATACAACACAAACAGTACAGATAACTAAAGAAAACAATACACTATAACAAAACAACAATAATAAATAAATCACATAGTTCTTCCCTGACTCAGAAATCACATAGTCAAATATCAGTCCATGTAAAGCATCTCTATCCCACTAAATCCTACTAAATTAATGTTTCTTTTTCCCCCCAAAATACTTACAGTTTATTTTAAAATATTGTCCTTCTATCTTAGCCTATTGATCCTCTTCTCTCGATTATATCTTTAATGTCATAATTTGATATTTATCTGAATTGTTTTGACAGCCCGTTTGGTCTCATACAAACAATACAACTGTATCTTCATCTTTTATATCCCAATCTTGACATTGTATCTCATAAATATGCCTGTTATCAACAAAGTTGGAATTCGTAGCTCAGAACTATTGGATTTCCACTCTTTAAACTTGGTCTTCTCAGGATTTTTCTCCTTTTTCACGCTGACAGCCTCTTTTATAACTTGAGTTATCTCTAATTCGTTCATTATGTGTCATTGTTCTCTGTTACAGCATTATGAAGACTGAGCACGCGCTAAATGTAGATAAGTCAGCCCCGCCCCCTCTCTCTTCGTATAACCTGATTGGTTTAAAGGTTGTTGACAAACGGCTGCTTATGAAAGTTCCTGGGTGGGAACTGTAGTAATTCCCGTGTAATGCGGAATGTTACCAGTCACCCAGGACTGACATGACCGGTATAGTAATATTTCATGGTAAAGTTTCATCGAGTGTTCACTGAGCCCATGTGACTGTGTGGGGATACTGCGTAGGTCGTGTTTCTCCACTTCCACACTGAGATTTAGCTCGCTGGCTAACAGCTACTGAAGCTGAACTACACATGGTACAAGAGAGGAGGACACAACTGCTGTCAGAGGTGAGGTGAGGTGAGGGGCACTCTCCACACATTTCACGTGTATCAAAGTTGAATACTGGCTTCATGATGGCAGATTGTGGTGAAGTGTTATTATAGAAGTCCTGAAAGTCATGTGAAGTAGTTTTTGGTGACCTGCACGTTGTCTGCGTTGTGATGGGATCCACCGTCTTATCTAACTCTGGTGATCGTATCTGACTGTGTCCAGCAGTGACATGAATATGTCAGCAAACCAGGCATGACAGCAGCCCGCTGATACTGGAGGGACGATCAGCATGATGGAGGCTCCGGCCAGAATCACCAACTTCAACTTCTCACAGAAGGGGGAAGACCTGGACCCCTCTGACGATGCCTCAGGCACCATGTCCATTGACAAGCTCTTCCCGGCTCTCTTGGAGTGTTTTGGGATAACACTGTGTGGATACATCGCAGGGAGGGCAAACATCATCACATCCACTCAAGCCAAAGGACTGGGAAATTTTGTGTCCAAGTTTGCCCTTCCAGCACTGCTATTCAAGAACATGGTCCTGCTGGACTTTGCTAATGTCATCTGGCCTTTCCTGTGGAGCATCCTCATAGCCAAAGTGTGTGTGTTTTTTCTTGTGTGTATTCTCACACTGATAGTTTCCAGTCCTGACAAACGCTTCAGCAAGGCTGGGATTTTCTCAATCTTCGCCACCCAAAGCAATGATTTTGCTTTGGGATATCCCATAGGTAAGTGTAATACCTATAAGCCTACCGCACACATTCACAGCAGCAAAGTAAGTTTTCACATTCATCAGATCACAGTATAATTACCCATTTGTTGCAGTACAAACACAAACAAAATTACTGCTTTAACCTTCCTTTTCAACATTGTACTCCTGCAAAATAAATTCCCACAGTGAGAATGTTGGATGCACAAAACAGTCATTATTTTCTACTAAAGCTGGAGGATTTGCAGAAATATAAACAAAATTCTTCTGTAAAGGAAATATACACAGTACAGTCACAGTTGCCAATGAAATATGTGATGTATAGTTACTGTGGATTTACAATATAACTACAGGTTTCTTGTACAGACATAAAAACATTAGACAGTCTTTACTGGCTGTTGTCTTAAAAATGAACAAGCCTCCCAAGCAAGTTTGAGCAAATTACAATCAACAGCTTAATTTTATTTGTAGGCTTTTTACAGGTCAAATTGAAACACCAACACGGTGATGAAAAGCACTTAACCAAACAGTAATACAACACAACTCATAACACTAATTCACTCAGGCGTGTAAGTCTGTTTCTCATGCACACACACACACAGCTGCAGGTATATATGTGAGACAAGATAAATGCAAGGCTATCTAAGCAATATGTGTTATATCTCTGTGATTTAGTGCATTGTTCCACTTTTACAAAGAACACCAGCATCCAAAGGGCACTTCAAAGAATAGAGTACAGTACAGTCTGTGACAGATAATATTGCTTTCTTGTGCAGTTCATAGACTTGTCAAAACAAAGCAGTGCAATGGAGAAGGAGCCGAGCCCTTCAAAAACAAATTTGAGAATCTGCTTGTTAGCTCAAGTTTTCTCAAATGGTGCGATTCCCAAAGAGTTTTTGTTTCACTTAAGGGACTAAATCAACAGTGTCAGTATCCATTAAATCCACAAACTATCAGAAGTTAAATTCTCACCCTGCAGCAGTGTAAAGAGATTACTCAGCCTAGAAAAAATACAGAATTTTATTTAAACCCAAAGCTAAGATCAAGACATTTATTAAGTTTTTTCAACCTTTTTCATTATGTGTTTGGGTTTTTAATTTATGTCTTGTTTGATTGTCTTTGTTTGCTGCATCGTCAACAGTCAGATTCACAGAAGTTGTTGATAATAAGCCACTTTTCTTGATTTTCATTCACAGTTGAGGCCCTGTACAAGAGCACATACCCAGAGTACCTCCAGTACATCTACCTGGTCGCACCTGTGTCCCTGATGTTACTAAATCCTATTGGCTTTGCCTTCTGTGAGATCCAGAAGTGGAAGAGCAAGGGACAGCCCCAACAAAGCAAAGTCCTCATAATGGGACTTGTAGTTTTGCAGGTCCTGAAGAACCCCATGGTATTCATGGTTGTCATCGGCCTTGTTGCCCACTTTGTCCTGCACCAGAAGATTCCTGCATTCATGGCCCAGTTTGTGGATGGTTTGGCGAACTCATTTGGAGGTGCAGCTCTCTTCTACTTGGGACTGTCCATGGTGGGCCAGTTAAGAAAAATGACCCGATCCACAGGCGTGACACTGATATTACTTCTTACAGCTAAACTGTGAGTGGAAAATCTCTCATTGTATGATTTCTTTCCAAGGTGATAAAGTGTTATCAGATCACATGTTTTCCATGACTATGCATGTTGTAGGAGTGAACCTGGTCAGCAGCTCAGTACTTTTTCAAGTGCTCCTGACATGTTGTTTTGACAGTGACTCAGGCCTTTTTTTAGACCACAAGCCTTTTACCTAAAGACCGACAAATATAGGTGGTTGTAGAAGGTTAACAGCAAGTGTGTTACAACAATTTTGAAAGTGCTGCAATTCCGCACTGTCAACTGATCTGATAGTGATCTTGTAATGTGACTTTCAGGTTGCTGATGCCGCTGATCTGTAAGGACTTGGTGGATCTGTTGGACAATACCAACACCAGTGCTTTGAACCACTCAAGCCTCTCCAACTATGCTTTTCTTTATGGAGTGTTTCCAACTGCACCAAGTGTGGCCATTTACGCTGTCTATTACAACGCAGAGCTTGAAGTTGTGAGTTTTTTACATCAAGTTGCCAACCTCTTAATTGCCATTTATCCTCAAAGTAGCATTTTTTATTTACCTGTGAAATTAAGATTTATCAATTTTCTAACCTTACAGGTAACCTCTGGGATGGTGATCAGCACTTTTCTCTCAGCTCCTATAATGTACGTGTCTGCCTGGTTACTCACAATCCCTTGGATGGATCCTCAGCCTTTGATGAACTCGCTGCAGAATGTCACCTTTGACATTAGCATAGTGAGCTTAGTTGCACTGGTAAGTCGTAAAAACACGCCACAGTGACACGCTGCATGTTAGCTCATTTTTGGCTCATCTGTAGTGACTGTTTTAAATCGTTAACTTTCTCAGTGCATGAAAACTGAGATCAGAGCCAAACAATAAAACCGGTTTGACCGTCAATACTGCAATACTAATATTACACACCTCCGCTCCAGCTTGCATTTATATAATTTTGGTGCAGTAAAGGAAGATTACAAAATAAACAATTCAAATTTGGACATACTGATTAAATGAACTGAAATAGCTGTTAGAAATTACAGATCTCAGATCAGCCATTTAGAGGATGTCTGGGTGAACAGATGCTTTTCTGGTTGGTAGATCTACATCCTCTTTTAACCTCACTTTAGCGTACATTTTAGGGAACCTGAAACTAGTGGCTTCAAAACTTAAAACAGAGATGAAACATGGTTAGGCATGTCTACTTTCAATGGCAGTCTGCTGTATTATATACTTTATTAATGTTTTTACCCATGACTGGATGACGTCTGAGCGATGTCAAACATAAGCTGAAGTTAATGTGTTCCTTCTGACAGGTGTGGACAATTGCTGTCATGTTCTTAAGCAAGAAATTTAAAAGGCTACCTCATATTTTTACTGTCAACCTTTTCTTTGCACAGGTGAGTACACTTTCACATCCCCTCGAAACAGACACAATAAGTCGGTCTGCTAATGAAACCTTCCATCACTAAACTCCTGTTTTAATGTTGTCTGTAGCTTGTTACTTGTATTGGGATGATCATGTGGAACTTTGTGGTCAAAGAGGACAACTTTGTTGGGCAGGTCCTGACTTTCACGCTTCTATGTGCCTCACTTTACAGCACCTACGTATGGCCAGGTATGCTTTGAATGTAAAAAAAAATCCTCCCCTCACTTTAACCCCATGTCATACTGCATACATTTTTCCCTGTGAGCTTTGAAATCTTGAGTCTAATAACTCATTCCTTTCTGCAAATGTTGATGTTTCAGGTTTGATTGCCCTCTCTCTTGTGCTCATGAAGCAGTATGAGGATCTGAAAGTTCCGTCTGGCATGTTGATCCTTGCAGGCTGGGGGTGAGTCACTTTGAAGGAGAATCAACACAGAAATGAAACTAAATCTTTTGACTGGTAAACTCAAACCTGTAGCTAAACCAGAGTGCCTGCAGTAAAATAAAGTTTCACGTGTTGACAGGGAAACTTCCACTGTGGTTTAATATAAATATCCCAATAGACATAAAGAGTTCCTGTTTCATAAATATGCACCTTAATTTCAGTAAATTGGTACATGTTTGACAGCCTTCATTGTTTATTTTCAGGGTTCCAGTTGTAGCAACTGCTGTGTTGCTAATATCTGGAGAAACCACGCCTGACACAATAGACTCATCATTCTTTTTTGGCAAAACACAGGTAACAGCATCAGAGGAAATCATTCTGTGGTTCCCTGCCTTATAAAGTGTCTTTTTAAAGCCATTTTAAATTGTTTCTACTGCATGTCTGTATGTGTTTTCTTTTACAGATTATCTGCACCTCAGTAATTGCAGGCCTCAGCATACTGTTAGGAGGGGGCTCACTTGTGTGTCTTAGTAGAGGCAGCTGGGCCCAGAATGATAATATCCAAGACGAAAACTCTACAGAGGTTCTTGTGAGTGAAGTTGTAACAGAAGATGAGAATCCGTTTGAGCCTGTGAATCCATCAGGGGAGCTTGACAGAGGTACTTTTTAAATGAAGGTTATTTTTATTCAACATTTTGTTTGAGGATGTATTTTTTGATGACACTAAATAAAGAAGTGGTATTACTGCACTTCAGTTATTTAAGACACACCGCGTGATTACCTCTGGAACACACAGAAGCTGTTTTGACAACTATTCGATGTGTCAAGTGTCAAAGCTCAAGTTGGAAACAGAGGAAGGAGCAGTATTTAAAAAAACACAAGGTCAACTGTTTCTTAGTTGTTAAAACTGAAGTGTCAAATAGTCAATGCAGCCTATGTCTGTTGTTCATCCCCTGTGTGGATTATCTCCAATTACACAAGCAGACAAAAAGCTAACACAGTTACAAAACCAAAAAGTAAACAGAGGTGGTGAAACATGAGCTTAAAATGGGATTTCATCATCTTTGAACATTAAATTTCAGGATCCTTTTCGTTTCAGTTCCTTATCAAAAGTAAGCTGTAAAAACAAAATCATGCCTTCTGATGTAATGATGCTATAAAAACACGGGACTTTGACTTCCAATTCAGCCTCAGGCTACAGTTTATGTACAAGAAAGTAGAAGAAAGGAGTGCAGTGCTGTGAGGTAGATACAAACTAGAGGAGTAAGTGTGAGGAGGAAACACCCCAGACAATAAATGATTTTGTAACTTACAGAATTAACACCACGACTAAGACTTCCCATTGTACTCCCTGTAATCATACCATGACAGGTTTTGTTTGTGATAACTGGGGTGTTGTAGGGAATCAGATAAATCTTGAATTATAATTACTCATTGAGAAAAAGGTTGAAAAGCTTGCTGTTAAGTCAACAGTTGCATGTTTTATGTCCATTCGAAAACAATGTCATGTGCAGCTATTAGTCTTAGTATTTATCTTAGCTTTTATTAGATAAGCCGTTTGCTTCTGCTTCTCGCTCTTTGCTCGTTACATCTCTGATAAGGGGATTATTTTAAAAATAGGGTCAAGAATCATTCACTATCATCACTCTGTTATCAGCCTGCCTCACATGTGACTGTGCAGCGGCCCAGCCCATGCCCGACATGATAATCAGCGCAAGCATAAACAACACGGCGACAAGACTCACAGGTATGAACTTATTGAAAGGTTCCAGTGACTAACATAAACAACAACAAAAAAAAAAAACACTGTCATGTGATCTTTACGTTTCTTCAAAATCAGAGTTTTCATAATGTTCTCTGCTGCCACCTTCAGGTCAGTGTGAGAACAGCTGTGTTTCCACAGACTGCCTGCTGGTTCAGGCAGAGGAGCTCCAACAGGTCGCAGATAGACAAGTGGCTCGTCATGTGATCTTATGTCTGCTCTTGACTGTCAGCTTGCTCGCTGTGAGTAAACTACCACCTTTCACTTCTACAGCGACGTGAAGTCCGCCTGCATTATTATAGTTAGTGCATCACGGGCCTAATCAGATATAAATGGCTAGACTGTGTCATTTCCAGCCCCTGTCATTGGAAGTGGAAAGAAATTCATTCATAAAACTAAAAAAAAATCATCATGCTTGTATTGATATCAGTGCTAGAGGATCAGACATGCTAAGTGAGCATTAAAGTGAATACCAATCACTCTTAATCAATCAAAGCAGATAGTTAAAAGGTTTAAAATAAGGTTGTAAAACCATAACTGTGTAAGAATGGTCCTACATGCTCTCCCCGTGAACATTTTAAAAATGAAACCTCCTCTTATTTCCTGTTCGACAGAATTTGTCCAGCTGCTTGTGGCTGCTCCTCAACAGTGTTCCTGGTCGACTGTACTTAGAGCTGCAGTTTTTCTGTGCTGTGACCAACTTCGGTCAGGTAGGTCGTCCCACTACTGCAGAAAGACGCTGCATTTGTTGTTGCATAGTAATATTGTACTAATCTGTACTCTGTTTTCAGGGTTTTCTCTCATTTGCTCTGTTTGGTCTGGATAAGCACTTGATCATACTGCCATTTAAAAAGAGGTAAAGAAGTTCTACGAAACAACATTACACTCTCTGTTCTGTGTGTGTACTGTGGTTGTAACATGCACACACTGCAGTGAGCACAAAACAAAATCCTGTCCATTTGTAAGTCTTTGTTTTCTGTGGATGGTGGTTAGATTCAACAGCCTGTGGAACAGAAGAAAACAAGAAGAGCAGCCACAGACTGACCTATCTGAAGACATCAGGATGACTTGCACCCAGTTCACTAAATACCACAAAAACCAGTGTGTCCATGACATAGTCAAAAAGAGAAGGTGAGCTCACAGACTCTTGCTCAGTGTTGCTCTGGTCAAATGTCCTATATATATATATATATATGTTTTTCCTGACCCATAGAGAAATAACACCTGTGGTCATACACATAATACTCATAATTTATCAAATGTTTTAACAACTCATCCCCTGGAGTTTTACTGCAGTGGGCTCTGACTTTTCTTTGTTTTTTTTCTCTGTGCGAACCCCGACAAGCCGCTTCAGACTTTTGAGTGAATGTCTCCTTTAACTTCCAGGTGTGGGAAGAGGACCATGGTAGAGTGTTTTCTTGGCTGTGAACTTGTGGAGTGGCTCCAGCAGGTGGGCTTGGCTCGGGATGCTGGTGAGGCAGTGCTGTACGGAACAAACCTGCAGCAGGGGGGTGTGCTCCAGCACATCAATCAGGAGCATGGCTTCCAAGACAGTCGTCTTTATTACCGATTCTTAGTTTAAGACTCAACTTTAGAGTCCTCATGGGTTTTTACCAAAGATTTGAGGCATTTTAAGTTCAGAAAGAAATGACTAGAAATACAGCTTAAGTTCATTCAACAAGGGAAAAAAGAACTGACCTTTCAAGAATATCCTCACGTACTTGGATAATTGTGTTTGCACTGTTTAGCTCAGCCGTGTTAAAAAGCAAAACACTGTAGTTGTGTGGGATTGGTCTTAAAGGGAACTAGCATCGTTTCGATTTTATAGTGTCTTATTTTAATAGCTTGAAGTTCCTTTATCAGGGTAATTGTTGAGATGTGAGATGTGGAGCAGCTGGGTCGATCCCCATTTACACAAAAGCAGAGTATTCTGAATGGCATTTAAGTCCCTCTTATGGAGAAGATGCTACAACATGCCTTTGAAAGACGGACTGGGAAATAAGTTTTATACTTGGTAGTTTCACTTTTACGTTTTGTATGTTACATCTTTTTAATTTATATGTCAGATAGCTTATTTTTCTTTTGCTGTGTTACACAGTTGTGGTAAAGAGCTGAATCCTGTAATCTGCATGACGCCAGTAAATCCAACATTAACATAAATGAACTGGATGATAGCCATTACTACCCAAAAAAGAGCCATATTATTATGATTTCAAATGTTTAAACCAGATGTTGCTGCTTTTTTAAAACTTTGTTTTTATTTTTATGCAGTCAGTGTGTGCACTTGGACTCAGAACTGTGTACATTTTGTGTGAGAAATACCGCACAGAGATTTGTCCTCAGAAGACACAGGGTAGAAATCCATCTCTGCTGAATGTACTGTTTCTTAACAAGGACACTCAAGTGTGTCGTAACTCCTCTGACCAAAGATCATTAACAAAGGACAAGGGAAAATTATGAGTTTACCTTCATCAGTGTCAAGACTGTTTGACTTCTGTCTGAGTTTGGAGGTTAACCAATAATGTAGCATGAAGCCACTATGCTTTGATAATCTGTAATAATACAATTTAACAATGATTTGGAGCAGCTGACACATGGTTTGGTAATATCTGTAGTATCCAAATGCAATAAATCAGCAAGATATTCTAAAGCTATTCAACAGCTGAAAAAAATCTGGGTATCTATGGCCATGCTATATATTCAACAACCAAAGCAAACTGGCGCTTTGAACATAATAAACATTAGTAAGAGATAGCCATAATGTGTTTGCATGGTGTGGCAATGAATGTGTGAAAAAACGAGTTTCAGCACTGAGGGAGTGTCAAAGCATGTATGTACTTGTATTTAACTTCACTGACCAAAAACATTTCCTCCTTTAACACAAGATTTAAAGTTGAAAAGGACTGCTTTTTTTATTTCAGATCATTGAAATCAAATGTTTTACTGTTTTAGTTCAAATGTTAGAGTTTATTTTTAAACTTAATCATATTGAAACAGCTGTTTTAACTGGAGTTACCTTTTTATTTTGTCAATGGCTGCAAATAAACAGTAAGTGTTTGATTTTAAAAATAAATTTTATTGCCAAGCTCATGAATCTTGCATTTCGCTTGAAGTTTGTTCTCACATGTTTCTGTTGACACTTAAATTTATCAACATTTCTATCTTCTTTGATGAGTTTTATCTGAATTTTCTCAATGGACTGATATGAGATCATTTACTTTCCATTTACTTACCTATTGATCCTGAGGTAAATTACAGAGGCATGAATTGCTACAGTTTGTGGTTTGAACAGTTAACAGTCTCTCATTTTTTGGTGTACACAGCCAACTCCTCCATGACAGAGTTTGAGAACAGATTCACCAAAGAATCTGGTTCCTTCACACCATGTAAAAGTACTTCCTCCATCCGTGTCATGGTTTCCTTCTCTAGCTTCCTCATACTTTCAGTTAGCTTCTTTCCTTTGTCCTATAGACAAAAAATAGACAGAACAGACCTTTCATTGGTAGATTTCCAGCATGGTTACCACACTGGGCCAAGAGTCATATGCAGTTGAACTTCAGGTTTAAATGAGGAAGCTCACCTTGTAGGAGTCAATGATGGCAGCCACGACTTCATGTTTGACAAAAAGCTCATGTTTGCGGTTTGGCTTACTCTGGAAGCGAGGTTTCCTTTTCACAGGATCATCCGGCCCATAATCAGGAGAGGTGGTTTCTTTCAGTGGATGGATGTTATTGACAAAGATGAAAGGTTTGAAGACGGACCTGTCAAACCCAAAATACATTTCACCATTAAAGAGAAACTGCTTTGACTATAAAACAGCTCATCTATCAGCTGAGACACTTCACCTCTCAGGGTCAGGGGTTGCTGTGAAATAGTGAACACCAGGTAGAGCAGGATCTTCAGGTATCACTGACACCATACTCCCTGTCGTCAGGAACATTCCCTCCATGTTGATGTCACTGTCTTTGTCCCTCAGAATATCCATCATCGTTTCAGCAGTGATGTGACCTACAAAATGAACATAAACGCATTAACATCCTTGGAGTTATGCCTTCTCGAATCTTTACTGAGTGAGGGTGGACTCTGTGCTGCTAACCGTCATTCTTTCGTAGCATCTTCTTCCCCTCACAGTATCGGCTTCCAGATGCTCCTATCCGCCCTGGAGTTGCATAAGAGTACACTCTGGCAAAGTTGAACTGAGCCTTTCCATCCCACCAGCCTTTGTGTTTTGCATATTCCCTCATCTCTGGATGTTCCTTGTCGATTTTAGTTGTTATATCATACTCATTTGAGATGTTACGATGTCCAGCTGGAGAAATATAAAGTAAAAATATATACATATAAATACTTAAACCTAGTGGTTTTAACACATGTCAAACAAGTATTACATGGTAACAACAGCAGCACAGTTTCAAACTTACTATCAATACCCGAATTATCATGATACACAGTGTAACTATACATACACCGTCTCATAAATTGAGATATAGATTATGGAATAAATAACACAGGCAAAAAAAAACAACAACTTACAATGCATAAAAAATGAATTTTCAAAGTGTTATGATCATAATGACTGGCACCACCATGGATGGCTCTCCCTAGTAAATCAGGAAAAAGCTGTTAACTTTTTGGAGTCAAACTCTCTAAACTGGGTTTTAAGGAACTTCCAATAGACATGAGCTGTAGGTGGGCCACTGGTGTTTCATAGTCAAAAAGTAAATTGACAGCACTCTCTAGTGGACAAACTCTGTCACTGATCCTCACCACAAAGGTATTCATTATATTTATATCAGATCCAACATAACAAACAAATATTTCTCATCAATGCCAACCCAAAAAACATAGACTGGTAAATTTGTGCTAATAATAGTGTCATTTAGTAGACAAAAGTTGCAAGATGTTTCTACTTCCAAAGAAAATGTCAAGGTTGTTTTACAAATATGTTAGCGCTCTTAGACTTTTAGTGGCATTAACATTAAAATAAACATAATCCCTACTTTTCCCAGAAACATGCCTCTGAGATATGAGCAAATCCAACTCTCTTTCTTTTCTGTATTTAATGGCCCTGTAAGGTCGTTTTCTATGTCACAAGTTTGTTTATTACCTACTATACTGCATGTAAACCTTTAGAATACTAATACTAATACTAATTTTGTCCGTGTTTCTTATGGGGCTCTAGCAATGCCGTATAATAGTGGATGCCCAACAACTAAGGGTTTCATACCTTTTTACTTTTTACACAACTTCTACTACACTACTTACCTTCCACTCTTTCTGCTGCCCAGTACTTCCCAGATGTTTCCAGTAGCCATGCCTCTTTTCTGTCTGAGATTAGGAAGCTATTGTGGTAGGTAAAACCGGACTCATCCTCCATGCAGGATCCTCCTTGGCCATATCTCTCCAGCAGCTCAGTAATCACCTCAACAGCTTTCTCAGCAGTATCAGCCCTCTCAAGTCCAAGCCTGAAAATGTTTCCTAGTTTAGCATTTTGCTTAGCCTATGCAAAAGTCTTGCAACAAAGTGTCTTCACAGGGTCCTTACCATATACTGTAGTAGGAGAGACTGGGGCTTGTTGTCACACTTTTTACACTCTTATAATTTTCTTGGAATAAATACATCATATGTAAAGCAAAATGTGTACCACACAAAAGAGCAAAGTCTTCGGTATATATTTCGTATTCATGTCATTTTCATATCTTGTGTCAGTACAGAGTTATAAGCAATCAAATAGAGAGTGTGAACATGTGACATGTTTCCCCACCATCAGGTAAGTTGTCTCACTATATGGGGTGAGATGTCACAGTGGATTTTGCAGCTAATAAAACAAGGACAATATTGTTGTTGTCCTCCTTTTTTACATGAAAGTGAACATCAAAGTCAGGCACAGAAAATGTTTATTTTTGAGATAGAAAAAGTCATTGAGCATAGCCATTGAACAAACCTCAACATAAAATATTATGCAACATGCTCTGGAGTTTGGAGAGCTGTCTGACTGTATTTCATCTGAGGTGAATGTTTTACAGTACCGAGCCAAGGTATGGAAGTTGACATTAAAGTCCTTTATTGTACTCTTAGATTGATTTATTAGCTAGGGTCACCTGCCTGACTGCCCTCAGCATCACGTCAGGTTCAGTTTTTCTTTTGTAAATCCTGACCATGTTTTTCCGCTTTCTCCTCTCTTTTAAACCACTCTCTTCTCTGTAAAAATAAAGTCAAAATTTCATTGTGAAAACGGCTGATAAGCAGACTCTCTGTTAATTCTAATCCCTTTTAAACATGTGACAACTAACCCCAAAATGACTGAGACATGTTGTCCCAAGCTACCATGTTTGCTAATTCTAGCTCTAGCTTAAAGTGAGCTTGAAACAGAACAATGACTGAGGTACGACAGGATGCCTGAATCTCTCCTCGAACAAGTCCACATCTGGAAGAAGCTTATTTTAAAATATATAAAGTTGTTTTTTTTTTAATTTTTTTTTCATGTAAAGGAAGAAAACTAGTATTCCACTTTTTGGTTGCACCCTCTGGTGGCAAAGATAATTGCAATGTGACAACTTACCCATGTGACAACAAGCCCCGGTCTCCCCTATATGCAGTCTAGGGTCCTTACCTGACCAGATCCATGCCAAGAAGAGCTTCATCACCATCTGCGCTCTCTTTGCCCCACACTGCTTCATTTCCAATGCACACTTGGTGCTCATTTGCACCCATTTCTGCACCCCATAGCCATGCCGGTTTGCTCAACACAACTGCATACGTGTGGGCAGACTGTTCAATTTCTATGTATGTGCACTGTGCAAAAGTGAAGCAAAACACAGGAAAAAAAATCTGTTCCTTTATCTGTCTTTACACAAAGATAGTCTCAATGTGATAAGTTAGAGGTTGTATGGCATTTGCAAACTGTTTATGTCACCTACCTCCAACTTTGTCCCTGCCTCATAGTCCCTGGCAGGATAGTACACCACCTCCTGGACTTCATCACAAGGCCTGTCTGAGTTTTTCCCAAAGATGACGCGTTGTCCCTCAGTGGAGGGGGGCAGAGCCACAAAGGTGTCACAAGATGAGGGGTGCATTTGGAAACACTTATCTGCTGAGTGAAGAGACAACACATAAGACTGGACAGGTTACATAACAGGTGACAGGCACTATTTAATGAACAGATCTGGCAGCGTTGTGACCTATGTATAAGAGGCTAAAGACTTTTAAACACCTCACTAGTTTCATTTCAGATTTTGAAGATTATCTAGCTCGACAAGCCTCTAGTCAGCGCCTACAAAGTCGTGTTTGCACTTGCAACAAGGTGACCTTACCTGTTTTCACCAATGTTTCGGGGCCTTGTCAAAATATCAGTTGTTTTCTCGAGTTCGCTTCAATCTGATGTCATGCCTGCCAGTTACCTCTGGAAAACGGAAATAACCATGCGACCTGACAAGCTGAAGTTAGTTTGATGTTCGACGTTTGAAGTCGGCTTGGGTGAAAATATGCCATTAGGTTTACATTGCACTGCGAGGGTTGATAGTGGTCGTTAAGCATGGTAACGTCAAACAAAATTCTATTTTTCAATTTTAATCATAGTATTCTGTAACTGTTTCATTTTTATCGTAGGTAAAGTAAGTCTGACTGGAAGATAGGCTTCAGTCACTTTACATAAGATTTTTTTTAAAAACAATTTCTAGATTTTAATTTGGCTGACATACCGACTTTGATATTAATAAATGTTTTACGTAATACTCAGTTTTAAAGCTCATTTCTCATCTGTGTTCAAAGGCTCGTCGTTTATACCAATGTGAAACTATCTTCATGTGACCGGATGTTTATATGAGGCACAGGGAGCTAACGCTCATAACGTACGTAGTCCCTGCGACTTTGCTAAAGCTTCTTTCCAACAACAGCTGATATTACTGGTGTCCAGCCATGGGGAAGTCGTTTGCGAATTTCATGTGTAAGAAGGATTTTCATCCTGCTTCGAAGTCAAATATTAAAAAGGTGAGTGCTATCTATGGTTAGCTTGAGTTCGCCGAGAGCGTTGAAGTAGCCTGTTAGCTAGCGAGTGGTGTTTGCTAACTGAGGACTGCTCGGTTTGGTCGCTCAGGTTACTTTCTGTCTGAGAAACTAACTTATTGCGGATTGTTTTAATTTATGAATCAGTTGTGTGTCGAAGGGGATAGTCTTCAGCCTTTTGTGGCGATTTACAGTACATGAAGCTACCGTTAAGTGTTGCAGTTGTACTCAATGTTTTGATAAACGTATCCCAATGCAAGAAAACACTCTCTTCTGGTATGAAGCAGGTCAAAACTATATGTCCTAAAGCTCTGTAATAGCTCTATGCACGCAACATTTGAAGCGTATTATATTTAAAAGAGCATTACAACAATGTTTGCAAGCTGGTGTCAGTTCAGATACTAATTTCAGATATAAGTCTAGCCACAGAGAAGCTGAACCCAGTGAATGCGTTTTGTTTTTCTTATGTTTTGTTTTATATATCTGAGTGAAAATGATAACCATGCTCTAACTTGTAGCTGTTAGAGGTGCAAAGGGATATATCTAAGTTAGAGCAAAGTGACTCTGGAAGTACATGTGTGTCACTTTTCTTTTTAACTTACAGGTATGGATAGCAGAGCAGAAACTGACCTTCGAAAAGACCAAGCAGGAGGAGCTGATGCAGGCCTACCTGAAAGAGCAGGAGAATTACAACAACAGGTGAGATGACTAATGCAGAACAAAATGACTCAACACTAATAAAACTACTTACTTCATTAAACTTTTACTCTTATGCTACCTTGTTTTAGGGTATTTCCTATCAAAAAAAGCCTCTTTCTGTTTAAGACATTTGAAAGAACTATTCTAATGTTGAACACATTGCTTTCTCACCTCTAGGTTGTTGATGGGGGATGATCGTGTTAAAAATGGCCTCAATTTTATGTACGAGGCTCCACCTGGAGCATCAAAAGGTAAATCTGAGCCCTGCTTGGTTATCATAGGGCCAATATCACACACTTTAATCAACAGTATTTTAATCCTATCTTTTTTCATTTGTTTGTGTTTTATCTTCTCTACTGAAGAGGAAAAGAAAGAGGTGAGTGAGAGAAAACTGCAAACAAATATAGTTTAACAACTATGCGTTAGAATTGTGCACATATGTGGTCTGCTTTTTCAACTGTGTCTGTTTTCCAGGACGGGGAAGAAGAGTACAAATTTGAGTGGCAGAAGGGGGCTCCTCGAGAAAAGTGAGGGTTTGATTTTTGCACACACTTGAATTGTATTTACCTATTTTTCAGTGGTTCTTCTTGAGTTAACAGTATCTTCATTGACCAGTAATTCTCTCTTGTAGGTATGCAAAGGATGACATGAATATTAGAGATCAGCCATTTGGAATCCAGGTGTGTGGTCATTGTTTTTTATTTAACAGAAATAATTACGATTTCTTCTGGTCCCTTTGAGTCTTACATATGGAACTGAAAATAACACAGTTTGTCCCATAGACTGTATATAGAATGGACGCCATCTACCTCCTCTCTGGGTGAAGCCATTCCGAGAACAGCACCCTCTGTTGATGGGTTGCAGAATAGCTCATAAATCCTGCCTCTCCCAGCAAAGCTTATGGAGCTGTGGACAAACTTTAGAAATTTATTACACAGAACATAAATTTTTCTCCCCCCTGGTTGTGATGTTGACATGTAGTTACTCTAAGACTGGTTTGTGCTCAAGTCCTCTTTTTTTCTGTGAAGCTCCACTTTTAAAAGTTATTAGGGGGTTTATGTTTTCTTTGATTGACACCTGATACAGCCTATTGGCATACAGAGATTGCCTAGCTCACCCAGGGGATACGCTGTGTGAGCCGAGCATCATCACAGCAACTCTCTCTCCCGCCGAATGCGCACAACGCTACTGCGCAGTGCTTGTGTCAGGAAATGAAGAAAAATCGCAGAAATACCGAGAGCTTTTTGGCTTCAAATCCGTATACAGGCGGGAGGCGGAACCAAGTTGTCCATAATATATACAGTCTATATTTTGTCCTCAAATCCTGTAACACATGTCTACACTCAAACGTTAGACAGTGACTAGTATTGGTACTTAGGTGGCCAGCAGTTGAATAGATTATGGAAACACTAGTTTTCAAATGTAAAACAACAGCTCGTGAGTTCAGAGTCAACTAATCACTTTGATTGGATGTTTATTTACCAGTGGCAGTGTGTGGTTTCGCTTTGACTGGTTTGTATAAACGATTCTATAAAATGCACTTTTTATCAATTCTTCAGGTGCGCAACGTGAGATGCATCAAATGTCACAAATGGGGCCACGTGAACACAGACAGAGAGTGTCCTCTGTATGGGCTGTCAGGAATCAACGCCAGCTCTGTGGCCACAGAGGAGGCAGCAGGTAGAGTCCATACAGCAACCTCCCAAAACAAACATCATTTTACACATTTCCTCCTGCTGTTCTCTGTGTTCAGATTTTACCAGTGTAATAACATACAAACAAGAAACAACTTTGTACACAGATAATAATGGGATTTTTATGAAGCAAAGATAAAGATATGAGCTGTCGTCTCATATATCCTATTTGATTGTTAGTAGATGAGACAAGAGATTCTCTAGTTTGTTTTGAAATTTTCATCCCATTTTTAAAAAAATGTTCCCCTTCCAGTTTTTCCCAATTTTTTTAAGGGGGGGAAAAAATAAACATTTGAGGCTCAATTTGGATCTTTTGTTTTAGTGATATAAATGTATAGTTTAACATCTTTCTGTCATTTAATGACAAGAAACTGATGATTAACAGACAGAAAATAAGCATGTAATTCCATGTATATCTATTCTTGGTGCTTTAATAGATGTCAAATGAGTGATGGTAAGAAGTTGGATGATTCATATAAAGATATTATTGGATGTTCTACCCGCTGAAAAAAATGATACACCTCTGTTAACATGATTTGATTTTTATTTCATACTGGAAAAGTGTGTTCACAGTAGGGAACAGGAATATCAGTGCAGCTTGCTATTTGTAGCCAATATTTTAGCTGCAGTCTTTCACAGAGTTGACTGCAGCTACACCTACTGTATCTCTCCTCCCGGGGTTTCAGCTGGAGCTTGTGGGCTCGAGCAGATTTCAGAGTTCTGCAATCAGCGAGTGGAGTTGTAGAGTAATAATGTTTACCCTGGGAGAGTCCAGTCAGTGCATGGTGTTGATGGTGGAGTGCCGTAATGGTCCCCCTCCTGTGCTGGGAGAAAAAAATGTAATTATTGTGTATTCTGATTCCCCTAACTGCTGCTTTGGCAGAGAATGATATTGTATGATTTGCTCAGCCGGAAGTGGAGTGAGTTGATTTGATGTCCCATTCTGTTAACAAAGCCGCCCCTGAAATTCCCACTGTGGAGATAGTGGTTGGCATGGCTTTGACATCAATGGGACTCTGAGGCTGTGATTTGTGCTAACAGGTCCGTCGATGCACCCCTCCGAGTTAATGGCGGAGATGCGAAACAGTGGGTTTGCCTTGAAAAAATGTGTCCTTGGTAGGAATGCTACGGTTTGTGATCCAGCGCAGGTAATTGTCTGTCTCTCACTCCCATCTTTGCACACATAGGACGATGTAAACGTCCACACATACACCCTCAGTAGAAATTCCTGATACATCAATGACATACACATATCCCAGAAAGGAGCCAGTTATTCTTATATTCAGGTCAGCTGAACGGTTTAAATTTATTGTTAAGATCTTAAACTGATGTAATCAAACAGATTTAGTCTTTTAGAGTCTTATGTGTCTGCCGGTGACCTTGTGCTGAGAATGTAAATGTTAATGACACACAATGTATGCTTGTAGGATTTCGTTGCCAGTGAGGAGGAGGAGGATCCTGAGGTTGAATTTCTCAAGTCATTAACCACCAAACAAAAACAGAAGCTCCTCAGGTAAAAATATATTAATACACATTTTGACTGTTTAAGCTTTAAAAAGAACTTTTGCGTTTTGAAAATTATGTTAAAATTAATTATATTTTAAAACATATTTTAAATCATGCAATGCCGATGAAGAAAATTGAGTTATTCATACATATAAGATTAAAAAAATTGATTTAATTCATAACATCTTAGTGTATGCGTGAAGTTTTATTTTTGATCTTTTGTAATTGTGCATATTTAGTATTTTGATTAGTTAATGTTCATTAATGCTTGTTAGGTTTTCAAAAAAAAAATCTGACGAAATACATAAACAATGAATTACAGTTTATATACTTTTTCAAATATTTCATATGTATTTTTACTCTATTATGTACGCTGCATCATTTCATTTTGTTTTTACTTTTTTTAAAGACACATCACATCCATTTACATTAAGATCCTAAGCTCCTTCTCTTACCTTTTAAATGGACCATGGACTTGATTATTTAAAAACTATATTGCAGGATATTTACTTATTATTTGGGACTGTATTTCGCAGGAAACTTGACCGCCTGGAAAAGAAAAAGGGGAAGAAGAAGAAGAGCAAAAAGCAGAAGAAGAAGAGCAAAAGGAAACACAAGAAAAAACATGAAAGTAGCGACAGCTCAAGTGACTCCTCCAGTAGTAGCCACAGCAGTAGTGATAGTGACAGTGGCTCTGATTCAGACAGCCAGGGCAAGTTCAAGAGCCAGAAGAGAAAGAGGAACAAGAAAAAAGATTCCTGTCGGGATAACAGCTCGAGGAGCGAGCATCAAGTCAAGAGTCAGAAAAGGGCCTCCTCTCACAGGAGCAGGTCAGCAAGCCCTCACACCAGACAGAAGCGGCCTGAAGAGGAGTCAGCAGATTATAGACAAACAAGGACAGAGAGGGGAAGGAGCAGGAGCCCGGAGAACAGAGTGAAACTGGAGGGAGGTCAAGAGAGAAAGAGACACAGCAGCAGGGACAGGCAGAGACCGGGCAGCTCCAAGTCCGGTCTGGACAGAAGTAGGAGCCGCGAGAGAGGCAGGGAGGACAGAGGTAAAGACGGGCGACGCAGCGGAGATGGGGAGAGGAACAGAAGTAGCACAGATGGAAGGAGAGGCAGAACAGCGGATGGGAGGAGTAGAAGCAGAGAGAGAAGGAAGGACAGGGAGGGCAGGGGAAGGAGCAGGGAGAGGAGAGAGAGGAGTCAAGACAGAGTCAAAAGAAAACACTGATCATGTTCCCTCTTTGCAGTTTTCAACAGAACTTGAAAACATTTAAAGTATTTTCTCCTCAAATATCTGTCCCTCATTGTTCAGTCCCTCCACTTAAAACTGCAGAACTGTGTGCTCGTCTCCTTCTTGTCCAGCAGAGGGAAGCAGTTGACAGGAAATGTAGCAGTATAGCAGCTCCTCGCTCCCCTGTTTTGTCTTTGACTAAATGAAGGAATCTAAAGTGAGGGATTAACATTGGTGGCATTTTGAGGCTGTGGTCTGTTAAATGAAAAATATCAGTGTCATTTTAACAGACTCTTTCATCGCTGTACGTTTTTTTCTCAACTACTTGTGATTTTTATTTGGTAAATATCTACACTGTTGGCTGTCATGCTTGTATAGCTGAAAAAATGTTACTTTAAATTTCCTCATTAAATTTTTAATCTTGAAAAAAATGACTTAATGGTTAATACAGTGTGAAAAAAAAATTAATCCGAAAAATCAGGTTGAAATAATATTTTGTTTAATTTGTTGCCGGTTGATTCCCGTTATTTTTTCCCTAAAAACGACTATTTTCTCAGCGCATCTACACGTATTTTTTCAGTCCATAATCTCTAATTTAGCAGGTTTTGATAGCTGATTTTAAACAATGTGCAAAAAAATTGCTATAGTACGTCCATTCCTTCTCTATCATTTAGTCTCTTTTTAAATTCCTTTTTTTTGTGGCAGACTCGAGCAAAATACAGCAAAGTATCAAACGCGTAAAATCCCCTTCAATTTACGACATTCAAAAATGCAGGTGCACCTTTGGCGTTATGTCAATTTTTAATAAAAGTTAAGCAATATTTTAAATTTCTTTTTTTAATTATTTAGGGAAGTGTTTTAAAATTAAAATTTTTGAGCTTTAAAAAATAGGTCATTTCTTTTTTCCTATATTAATAAATGTACAGGCCTACATCTCCATGTATGTGTAGTTTGACGCACTAAGTCTCGTAATTTGGGTCTAGGACATAATTTGATCTAAATTAAAAAACATTCATAAAAAATGTGTAAAAAATGAAAGCAGCACCAGTTGATAAATGTGGGCTCTCGGCGCTTAAATTCTAACATTTTTCTCCAAAGTGTTGTCCTCAATTTCCAGTTTTAAAGAAATTCAAATTGGCGATCTAATTTGCTAGTTTTCACTATCCGGCCGTTTCCCTCAAGCCGCTGTTTCACAAAAGGAAATGAAAATAATTTCCCTCTATTGCCTTCTGGTCAATTTAACACCCTCTTGAAAAAAAAGAGAGAGGGCGTCTGGATGAGACGCTTTCCCCTGACGTATTCCCGGCGCAGGTCTCGCGCTGTAATTATTCCCGGCTTTTTCTTTGAGAGTCGGACGCTGCACTGGGTAAGCACAAAGAAGTCAGAGAGCATCCTTGAACCCTTTCAATGCGGGGCCACTGATATTCAAATAACATGCAGGCACCGTTTGACTGCGCTGAGCAAAAGAGCATTTCACATTCAGCATTTGCATGTGACTCTTTGCCCCTGCGTTTTTTCCCCCCTCTAAAGTTTAAAAAGTGTTCCCATCACATCTCTGTGGTTTCTGGCAAAGAGAGGGGGTAAAAAAAAAGACACCGTATCCTCTTTCGCGCTCCATCGATTGGTATGCAAATGAAAAGCAGTTAATTTGGACAATTAGAATAAATATTCAGGGACCTTTGTCATCAAACCCCCTCGGAAAACCCCCAGATAAAGTGAAAGTGAACAAAAGATGTCTCGGAGATTAATTAGATATTTGATAAGACACGAATCCCTAATCGCAAATACAAGACACATGGGGCTGCGATGTGCTCCAAGTCATAATTAATACCATTTAACAAGATTTTCATTTGGCCGGGAAATGTTGCTTTCCGGGGCATTAAACATTGATTTATTCCACAGGGGAAATAGTCAAAGTCAAGGTGTTGTAGGTGATTTGAAGAAAAATAGCCCTCGGTCAGCTCTCAAATAAATTTTAAAATTCAATATTTCTCTCTTAAATCTCTCCACAATTAATTAAAACGAAACATAAAATCTACATCACACAGTAACAGCCGTTTTGGAGATGTTTTAATTACGATAAAATGAAAGTCTTATACGTGTGACTTTATACAGGTAAACATTTATATATAGATATTTTTTTAGCAAAGGAAATAAAAATGGTTAACCCAAGTTGAAAAAGCTGTGTACATACATATCCACAAAGTGCGTCGAAAGTAAACTCCCTGATTTCCAGGATATACCAACACGAATAAAACAATCATAGCCTAACATTTACATGAAAAGAACACATAGTTTAGTGGCCAATATACAAGATGGAACTCACATTGTCCAACCAAAGTTCAACAGGTTGCGCGCAAAGCAAACATCCTTTCATTTTTCAAGTTGTCCCTTTAAAAATCCCCAAAGGCCCACAGTAAATCTCTGTTTTTCTTTTGATGGATTTACGCATGAAATACGCCTGCGGAGGATATTTTTTAAGACTTAGCAAACGCTTCTTGGAATATTTTCTCCCTTATTGTTCGTCAGATAAGACCCGTTTTTAACGCTGTGCAGTTTTTTTGTTTTTGTTTTTTTTAAAGTCTGTTTTTTTTTTTTTTTTTGGAGGAGTCTCATTAGGGCTCGTCGTGAGGAGACGGATCCTTTACAGTGATTCTGGGATTCACCCCCTCCAAAATAAGTTCAGGTGACTCGGACCTCGGGGTCTCCAGGTTACTGGTGTCGGTGTCACTGTCGCTGCCCTTTTTGCCCCCTCCTCCGGCCGTGTGCGTTTTGATGTGCTTGCTCAAATGGTCACTCCGCATAAAGCGCTTGTTGCACACCGGGCACGCGAACCGTTTCTCGCCGGTGTGGGTGCGCAAGTGTCTCTGCAGCTCGTCTGACCGCGTGAACCTTTTGCCACAGAAAAGCCAGTTGCAGACAAAAGGCCGCTCGCCGGTGTGCCACCTCAAATGCGCCTTCAGGTGAGAGGTCTTCCCGTACACTTTACCGCAGCCGGGAATGTGGCAGCTGTGGAGTCCTTTCCTCCGAAGGCTGGCCCCGGCGGGTCCCAGCCGCTCGGCCTCCTGGCAGTTCGGACAGTCACATGTTGCTCTGCCGGAGTACCTCCTGGATGACCTGGAGGAGCTACTTATTCCTGAGCTGCCCCCAGAAATCATGGCGTTTGCAGCGGAAGCGTCTGTGTAAGTGGGGATGACAGTTTTGAAGCCGTCCTGCGTTAACAGGTGCTGGCTGGTGGACAGGAGGTGGGACGCGGAAGGGCTGATCCCCGTGGAGCTGAACGCCGAGTGCGTGAGCGAGGAGAAGTCCGGATTGTAGCCGCTCAACTGGGAGTGGATGGCTTGAGGCGTCCCGGAGTGCAGTGAGGTCTGGAGGGTGCTTGCAGGGTTCTGGACGTCGAGCCAGGAGCCGGGATTAGTGTGGACGTCCCACCACGAGGACGCACCGTTTGCAACATCTCCAGAGATAGTGGAGTGGAAACCGGACTTGTACCACGACTCGTATGGGTGCGCCATCCCCACGCGCGGATACAGAGTCTCTGCTGAGGTGTGGACTTTGGAGATAAAAGCTGACTGCCCGGACTCTTGAGAGGTGACGCTCGCCGAGTTGGAGAACAGCCCGCTGTACTCTGTGGAAAACGCAGAGGAGGTCGGGGAGGTGGAGGCTAAGCAGAAGGCGCTGTTGCCGGTGCCGCTGGTCGGTGTTAATCCCGAGGACGCGCGGCTCGTCGCTACCGTGAAGCCGGGCAGACTAGACCCCAGGTTACAGCTGGAGGAGGATCTCTTCCACGGGTGAAATCCACCTTTGGAGAAAGCGCTCGAGTCAGGTAAAGTTGTAAGAGGACTGGTGTTGCCAATTTTGTTGCAAGTTGCAGCCAGCATCGCTAGAGGTGTAGTTCCAAACCTTGGCTCTTCCTGAAAAACATGACAGAAAAACGGGATTTAAGATTTATTCTGGATTTTTGACTGGAAGATGTAAGTTGTTTACAATCTATCTTTAAACAAAAATACATTAAATCAACTGTTTTTATTGTTGTTTTAAAAAAGTTTGACTTGAACAGTAAAATGTGTGTTTTCAGGGAGATATGTGTGGTTCAAAAAGCAAAGAACCAAAGTACTGAACGTTAAAGTAACTTATATTTCTGTCACGTTTCTGCTTTGACAACAGCGATTAAAAAATAGGAACTTATTTTTTTTTTTTTACAAAGTTTCGGGTGTGCTGGAGATGCCGAAAAGCTTCAAGAGTATTTCACAGTTTTTAAAAAGTCATTTAGTAGAGGTAAAAAACAACAACAAAGAAATGTCTGATAACTCGGTAGTTTCTTAAAATCTTAAAACACTCTTGGAAACATGAGGGCAGCAAACTACAGAGAAGAGTAGAAACTTTACGCACAACTTTTACGCATAAATCCAAAGCCAGACTCACCCCAAGTATAGACGTAGCCATATCCAGGGTATGTGCTGGGATACGGGTTCGCTGTGTCAGTGCTGAACGGTTCCAACCTGCTTCAGCCTCACCGTGTTTGACTCGGGTCACACGGTTTCTCTCTTGGCTCGCGGCTCCAAACACTACCTAGTTGTAGAGAGCGTGTTCTTTGAAGTACAGCTGGCGAGGACGCGCAGCCAATCTCAGAGCTGCATTCCTGCCTGGGGATGTTGTCAGCCAATGAGAAAGCCGACCGCAGACAGAAACACCAAAAACCCCGCCGTCAATCATGTGTTGTGCAGCCTCTGCTCAGACTGTCATACAAGACACGATTTGGAATTTTTTAATGCATACAGTTATTTTTATGTATTCTTACACGAAGGCTCAATGTCCCCTTTCATAGCAGAATTGAGTTCGCACGTCAGTTCCACAAAAGGTAAGACTTTGTCTCATTTAAAGGGTTTGTGTTCGCGGTGTCACGGTGTTTAGTTCCAGGTTTTCTTCTGCTTTCCAATATTCAGATCATGCGCAACACGTCATTGAGAAATAGCTGCTATTTATGCGCATAGACTCGTGAACAATGTGAGGAGCGCGGTTGTTGCTGACGACTTTATCCAAATAGTCTGCGGCCAGTCGTGCATGCCGCCGTGAGTTAGAGCACGGGAGGGAAAAAAAGTGATCCTTTATGAGCTATCGTATTTATCTTAAGTGCTGTGATCGTCTAAAAATAAATGGAATAAGTTTGTGAAAAAGTCCAGAAACAGGCCTGACAGTTCAGACCTCTATGCTGCGGTCAGAACACTCGAGAGCAGGCAAAATTAAACCATTTACTATTCAATATATGAGGAAAAACAGATACACTGTGCGTAATGTATCCAATTACGCACGGGTCGGTTACATCCAGCCAAAACAATTGCGCGTCTGCGCTCGTGCGCGTGTAAGTGCTCGCGCGCAGCCGGTTGCACCCCCCACCCCACCCACCCACAGCCCCTTAGCCAAACTTACTTGATGGGGGAGTGCAGGTGAGGGGTTAATTAAAAATGACAGCTCGCTTTCTCAGCGCGTGCACTGGACCTGTTTTAAGAGACAAGTGTTTTATAGACGGAAAAAGTTTCTGCACCCATGGGACTCCTGCTGTAAGGCCGCCAGTCATCTCTATTAAAACGGTTTAACAGCTGGCACCGTATATCTGTGTTGTCGCTGAGAAATAAAATATGATGCAAACTAATAAATCGTTTAATTAAATCGTGGAAAGCTGATTAAAATTTTATATTTTCCTATGTTGTCGAATTCCTTTTTCCATTCTTTTAACATGACAATTGAATTATCCCGCAGAGTCCATAGCTTGTTAAAACGCGCAGTGATAATGGCATAATGCAAAAGTGACCCGCTCCTCCGTGAATCATCGTCACTTTAAAAGTTAAAGCAATTTTCCAGAGAAAAGGCTTGACCGAAAGATGTGCATTACAGGATTCAAAATAGGCAAATAATGCTCCATTATAGAGTGTGAATGCTGCCAGTCAACACAGACGCAATTTGTCCTAATACTCCTCTTGCTTTAAAACCAGCACCTTTGGAGGGGTGAATAAAAAATCAGTCTCATCAAATAGTGAGCGCTGCCAGGAAAATTGAATCATTTTTGCAATCATGACAATTTGGTAGAGTGCTGTTAACGGTATTAAATGTCTGTTCTACATAAACAGAGTTGATTGGTGCAGAAGAAGTCAGATTAATTCAAGCGTTTAATGGAAATGAACGCAGAATGTAAGGACATGTTGAATCATGATAAAATAAAAAAGCAGGCTATATATTTGTACAAGAAATAAAATCTAAGCTCTTTGTAAAAAATAAAATAAAATCCTGGCCTGTTCGTCTTTGATAATTATCAAATATTTCGGTTTGATTATTTGTTTAGAAGACGTCTTTTGAAACGGTGTGTCCGTCATATTTAAATATAGATGCTTTTAATTCCAAATAAAAAACTGCATTACGTGACATCCGTGCACCATCATATATTTTTGTCTTTTATATCATTTCTTGAATTTATAGGAAATTTTCTCCCTACATTCCTCATGTAGTGATGAAATAATAGGGATTTTTCTCTGGTGGTGTTTACTCTAAGGAGGAGAACATGATCTTGCCTCTTGTCATTCAAGTGAGAATTTTTGAGTTGAATCTGTAATTCTGGACTCCATTTGTGAGCACTTCTCTGTGGCAATTAGGAGCCCATTACAAGCCATTAGATTGATCAATGTACCTTAAACAATGGGAATGATTTATTTGGTCGAACAAAACGGTCTGCATCTATTGTGATGAGTCTAAGTGGGGGTGCATCCATCAACAAAAGATAAATGATTAATTCAGACCTATTCATTTAGACTCTTTCCACAAAAGCCGGCCTCACTTGCCTCCAATCCAGATTATTAGAGCCTCATTTTCTGCATGTTAAACCAGACAGGCTGCAGGATTGGGTGATGTTCCTTTTTTTGGCTATGCCCCTGTGTGCTTTAATTTGTATTTCTGCTCAGGGAAGTTTATTTGAGGACATTTAACTAATTGTTGTAATTTTGTGCGCTCATGTGGCTACACCTGTTTCTCTCGCAGGCGGATGGAGGAAATTATGAGTGTAGGGATGTTCAACTTTAAAACTGTGGGTCTCAAGCTGTACAGTATTGTTAGAAATTACACTCTATGAGAGGATTCTTTAAGTCAGTGAATGAATATTTTCAATTGAAATATTTACTCTAAACCCTCAAAGGACACATTAAAACAAGATATATCTGTATTTTTTCACCTTCATTTTTATCATGGATTACTTTCAAAGAGAATGCCTGAGTCTTATTTGCCATTTCCTTTGAGTTTGTTTTGTTACTTGCACTTGAAGGTTGCAGGTCAGTGGTTATATTGTTGGCAGGTTAATAGAGACCACAGCAAAGGAAATATAATTGGTATACATTAAAGTGCAGTGTGAAATAAACTGCCTTTGCTGCTGTAGGAAGTCTATAAGCTCTAAAAACAAAGGGAAATGGCAGAATGGCCCGGCCCTGTCAGTAAAGGGATGCGACTCGTGGATGTCGTCAGTCAGACGACTGTCAAACTGATGGTTCAAATGTTAATGGAAGGTATACAGCTGCTGACAACACAGCCAAGCCTCTGATAAAGATTAACCACGCTTTCAATACACATTTTTAACCTAACATTTTACTGTATGATCAGCCTCATAGCAGCTCATCATCCTGTATCGACAGCTAAATTTGGAAGTCCAGGTCAGCCTGCCAGCTTCCAGTGTCAACTTTCATTTCCAGAGGCTGTGTGTGCTATTTTGAGGAGTGTGGGGAGCAGTTGAAGTGCAGTCAACTGGTTACATTTAAGGACTTAGCTTAGCCAGTTTTCCTTCAATGAATGTATTTTTTTCTCTTCTGAGTTGGTGAGCTGTTGTGGAACGTCAGCAAAACTTAACCTTGGGAAATGGCTCCAAAGAAGGTTGACTAAAAAGGAGCGACATTATTCAAAATCAGCTGCATGTGCTGTGGATTATGTAATGCCAAGTGCTCCCTCTGACATTTTACTCACTCTCTTTATCAGGGAAAAGGGGATGATGCACCAAAGCCGCCACCGCTGATTGGAAGGTTTGGCACCTCATTGAAAATAGGGATTGTTGGTCTGCCCAATGTGGGGTAAGCAAACGTTTTATTTAAATCCACAGCGTTGTCTTCTGACTGTTCATGCTGCATGTGTCTTAACCATGCTTTAGCCCTGCCTGCCCTCCCTGTTACCATAAATAAAAATGCAGTGGAGGCAGGATACAAGTCATTTTCATGACTTCTAGGAAGCATGAATTAGCTACGGAAGAGTTTTTGAATCAAGGAAATTCATTTTTTTTGCAAGAGTTCTTTAAGTACAAACACCTCGTACAAAAGCAAAAACAGGCATGATGCATAATGTGGAGGGTCAGGTCTAAAAAAAAACCCCATAATCTACCTCCTTCTGAGTGTCCATGGAAAATTTTGCAGTGATTCTTTTACTCGAGGAGCTTTCCTGGAGTTGTTAAGTGCCACATGTGACCCATCCCATAAGAGCTTTCATCCAGCTCATTTACTGTCTCTCTGTTGTAATAAAAGTGTGAAGCTGCCCAAACAGACAAACACATAAAACCACAACTTCTTAATAAGGCCGATAAATAGACAAACATGTGGAATACTCAAATGAGCTTTTTAAGCTCTGATTATTTCATTAATTCTGGACCTGTATTCTGTATTTGTGAATGTGGTCTTGGTGTTGAGGCACTGTGTGCTTTCACTCAGTGAATATTGTTTAATTTCATACAAAGTCTTATTGTTCAGAATGTGTCATAATCCATCTGCATTTGAATAAAACAGCAAGACGGCGAGTAAAAATAAACCTACCACGCTACTGTGAGTGCAAGTATAAATGTCCAACGAATGAAAACATTAACAAGCCCAATAATCCATTCATTATAAATACCCACTTAACTCTCATCACTGCATGCTCTGTACAGGGTCAGGGTCTGTCATAGATCACATTTGTATCTTAGGCAGCTCAGCTTACATGCCCCAGTCCACCTAACCTCCACGCCTTTGTGGAGAGGGAGGAACTCTAAAGATTACAAGAAGTGAACGCAAAGCTGTGTCACTAATCAGAGGTAGCGTCTTTATGGGGGATCCAACCTACAAAGGATCCAGTCCTGGTATCCTGGATAGATTAGTCAGGTTGAAATGAGACCACCTGAGACAGAAGATTTTCAGTTCATGTCATCAGCTGTTCCTACTCATAGCCCCCCTACCAAGCACTGCTGCGGTCACCAAGCAACCTCGAAAGCGGCATTGAAACTATCTTACGTAACAAACATTGTGAAATCGATTATTTTGAAGGTAAGTTTAAGTTTCAGGCCCCTTTTGCTTTTTGGCATATCGTGTATATGTATATAGTGTACTACCTTCTCAAGAGTGTGCTAGATTAGATGCACCCCATAGATACACTTTTGTCAGATGCATTCGAAGTCATCTTTGACTTGGGACAGCCTTCAATGCTTCCCTGTGTTGTAATCAGTCTGGAAATACACCAAAGGATGCAGTCCTCCAAACTTGAAACAGACTCACTAACTTAGTGTGATTTACCTGCTACATGTGATTATTTGAATGGCAGGTTGCTTCAGTTCTATGAAAGCGCCTGTAAAAACTTTCATTGTTTTTTTTTAATCTCAGCAAACCCTGTAGACCAAATATTGCCTCCTACCTCTTTCCTGATATTGTCTTGTACATGGTTAGAAGTATTCTCGAACAACAAATCCTCCTGCTGTCTCTAGAGTGCCGATTGTGTCACTCACTATAAATCTTTCTCACTGAAAATGTAAACTAAAGCACTTCTGGTCTGAACACTGTAAATCATTTCATCTGACAAAGGCGTCAAACAACTATGCAGAAATAACTAACCCTGTTGCTCTTGCTTTTGTATGACTTGGAAAAGAGGTGCCAAATTTAGTTTGAGTCCCAATAGAAGCTACGAATATGAACTTTTTCTACTCATATAAGAATCAAAAAGCAATTCAATCTACAAGGAAAATTTTAGGCTGAAGCTGACTGGCTCAACAAGATAAAATTTGTATTTACATGGGACCTGTGTGTGTTTAGACACTGACACACTGTCTGCATTTCAAGCATGGTTGAGAAAACCCACCTTGCTAGTATCTACCAAGATCATCAGTGACACTGGTGGTAAAGCATAATCGCAGTGCAGAACCGCCAACAGAAGTACAGTGGAAAAAGTTCTGTAGGATCATAAATCTGCAGGTTTTGAGGAGACAAAAAGGCCGGTCAACTCAAGACATTATCAAGTGAGTTAGTCAGTGAGATTCTTTAAATATTATCAAGTTACTGCAAGCTTTCAACAGAAGAGAAGCTGGCAGGAGTTTATTCTTCTTCTTCTTCACATGCAGTCTGTCTCAGCTGTTTGGCTACATTTCAGAGCTCGTGGCACAGAGGGCTCCCTCGTGTCCTGTGTTTTCATTTCTCACCCCACAGAAACCACAATTTCTTCCTGGTGTAAGAAGTAGAACTCAACAAGGTTGTGGCCTGCCACACCACATTTGTGTCAAAACACAACCCCGTAGATCCTCCCTTGGTTTCCTCATGAATGAACCATGTTCAGACTCCTGCCTGCTCTTAGTTGGGCGTGACTGACCGCTCTACTCACATATGGGAAACTTGAGATTGGGATTCGAGCAACCTTGCAGCTATTCCAACACTTGAAGCAGCACATGTTGTATTTACTGCTCTATACCCAAAGGCACAAAAAGTCTAGTCTTGCCTGCTTAACCCCTTATTGGAACAAACTGTATGGAGTGAACAGTCTATGGGCGCATTAATAATGTCATGTTTATCGGAAGCAGACATTAATTAGGCAGCCATCCATTGTGAGAATTTAACTCATAATAATGGATCAGTCTTGTATCGTGTGAATTTCTGTTGAGTCTCAAAGCTGAAAATATCAATGCCTCTTTATGACCGCCAAAGCAAAGCAAACTATAAGCAGCAAGACTAACAGTCTTGATGTCTGACTCCACAGGGAAGGTGTAGGGTGAGGTGATTCACTGCCCAAACTGCCTTTTATTGTTATTGACAGATACATTTGATAGTTATGCAAACAGCGGGATAAGGCTGAAATAAAAACACCACTTCAACATGTAAACGGCAAAATCAGAGGGACTGTCTTTGCACTAAACTGACCCCAACCAAATACTCCTCACAAGAGCTTTAAAGCCAAACAACTCTGATCGACAACAAAGAGTGACACATTTGTAATCTGAGGAATAGTCTCTCTTTCCTGTGAACTCTGATAAGAGGTCAGGTATTACCTATTACTACATGCAGAGTTCATTCAGTAACATTTAGTAAACTGTAGTTTCAACTTATGTAAAGGTCTGAATTATGAATATGTAAAAGGTAAAAGGCATCTTTAAATTTCAGAAATCCTTCACGTAGTCTTCGACGTTTAGTAAGAGCACTAGATCCTTATGCTGCGTTCAAGTTACCTCGGAAGTCAGATGTCTAAGCTGGGAATGGTTTCACACCCGAGTTACCAACGTTTCAGTTACCAAGTCGGAAAAAAGCAAAATTGGAGGCGGAAACAAGATGGCTATATCTACGAAAGGGGATGCTAAAATAACTTAAAATAACTAAAATAACGAGCGCTAAAATAACTTTCGTAGATGTAGCCAACTTGTTTCCGCCTCCGATTTTGCTTTTTTCCGACTTGGTAACTGAAACGCTAGTAAGTGGAGTGTGACGCCATTCCCAGCTTAGACATCTGACTTCTGAGGTAACTTGAATACAGCATTAATCTTGCATAAACTGCGGTAAAAATCAAGTGTGTATGTAAATTTTTGATTAAAAATGTCCACCTCGGTCTCATCGGTAGTTGGATTCGATTAGCCGTCATCACATCACCGGTACATGCGGAACTTTGGTCATATGATTGTGTTGTTTTTAATTGATTCTATGAAGCACGTTTATGTGCATTATGTTGTCAGTAATCAGAGAAATCCACCTTTTTTCTGAACCCATCAATGTATAGTATATGACTTATTCCTCATAGGAAGAAATTTCCCCAACTCACCAGAAGAAAACTCACTGAAGCCAGGCAAAAACTTCCTCAAACACATCACTTTGATCAGTAAATTACACTCATTTGCATTTAATATGGAAAATAAGTGATTTTCCAAGAATGGTGTAGACCTAATAATGGAAGAAGTGCCTCAGTGGGTTGTCTTCCTTTTGTCCCCCAAGGTGACCCAACAACGGTCGTCAAGTACTGAGAGAAAAAAAAAATCCAGCTTCTATAAGGGAAATTAATGCATGTCCTCATACAATCTCGAGCAATTTCATGCCTATAGGACTTAACAAACAATCATTTCAATGTGAAGCACTGAGTGAGGGGATGAAGATGGCAAGTCCTGGATTACAGTTAACTGTCGTGCCATTATTACTCTTAGACACTTGCCATTGTCTGTAGATTTTGAAGTACACTTGAGCTGCTTGTGCCTTGGAAAAGAAATCTCTCCCTGATCACAACATGAGGTGGTCTTTGGCCTGATCCTGTCCAACAGCTCAGATCCATAAGAAACATAATTTGCCCCTTGGTTCCATGTACAATTGATCTATTATGGGATTATCTGACCTTGTAATTGGGCTTAGTATTTTTTTTAAAGTATTTCTGATTCAAGTGCTTGGATATTCAATCCATTAGAAAAGCTTTTCTTCCTCGTGCAGACTAGGAAAAAAAAAAAAGGTAAAATGTAATCTTGCATGATTTACTGGAGTGTTTTAGGATCATACTATCGGACCATCAGACTCCACACAGCAGCACTTTCACATGGATTGCCCTCACTGCTGTTTTTTATTTTCAGGAAGTCAACCTTTTTCAACGTGCTGACAAAGAGTCAGGCTGCAGCAGAAAATTTCCCCTTCTGCACCATTGACCCAAATGAAAGCAGAGTGCCCATTCCAGATGAACGCTATGATTTCCTCTGCCAATTCCACAAACCTGCCAGGTATGGGGTCTCTCCGTTCTCCTATTATTCACACTTCAGATCTGTAGTCTCCGCCGCTCCTCCTGCTATAGGTATGAGACAACATATAACAATGTTGTTGACATGTTGCTGCCAGTTCGGTGTGATGTGTGATTGCTGCGCCTCTCTGAGGTTTTCTATTGAGGGAGAAATCTGCAGCATCTGAATCTGCAACACCTGGTTATCATACACATTTACAGAGGCTGTTAAAGCAGGCTGGATTCAGATTTTCTGTGCTATACTGACAAATTACTTGCAAGATTCACCTATTTGAGTGACAAGAGTTGATATGTTGAATAAAAGAGAACACTTAAGTCATGAATTTTGGTCACAAGAACTGAGATCCTCCTTTCCAAAGAGCAGAATGAATGTCAGCAGCTTTTTCTCTTGGTTATACCATTCTTATACTGGATGGTTTATAGTCTAGAAGTCAATTTGTAAAACAGAATTCACAGCTTTAAACATATTAATAGATACATCAGCAAATGTAATAAAGCACAGTTTAATTTTACTGGTCACCAATACCTATCAATATCCACTGAACCAAAGGAAAAAATCCAAATACAAGAATTGTAAATACATCAGGAATAAAAAGCAATGCAAAGGATATATTTTATCCATTTGTTTCAAAGACTGCTACTACAATCCAAAAACTTTTAAAAACACATAAATGGACCTCACAACACAGGGTGACATAGTAATCAAGGTGACTTTTTGGTCTACACACAGACGCTACTCTGTTGCTGAACATTCAAGGGCAGAAAAAGGGAATTCATAAACAAGGGAATGATAGTTTTAATAGTAATAAGTAAAGCTCCAGTGAGGAGGGTTTTTAGATCAATAAGACAGGCCTAAATTTATGCTTGTGTCTTTTTTTTGATGTCATAAGGTAAGCAAAACCCTCAGCGACAAGATGGTTTTTATTTTATCATTTTAAATGCCTGAAAGCAGAATGAGGGGTAGGTGTCAGCCAAGCAGCTGGCTTCTAAAACAGCCTTGTTTTTACACATAATATCAATGGTAAATGATGCATTATTTGATGGAAGACACAACTTAAGCATATAGATGGCAAGATGAGCAAATACTGCTTTGTCCAGAGGAGGCGCCAAAATTGACAAAAACTAAAAGCTTCTCACAAGAGCTTTAAGTAACCTACTGCTGTAAGAAAATGAAAGAGGATGAATTTTTTTTCTATAGTTTCACATTTTAAATGTACAGTGTGCAGAAATGGGAATATTTAAAGGTATCTGGTGGTGGGCTTCGTAGGCTTAGGTGTATTGGTGGTACAAGATAGGGGCCTCTGCAGAAATGTAGATGTAGATATAAAAGGTTCATTGTTATTTGATCAAAACAAAACACCATGTATTATATTATATTATATTATATTATATTATATTATATTATATTATATTATATGCTCATTTGAACATACTTTTAAATATTATTTTTCATTTCTACCAATACTGCACATTGTGTCTTAAAGGCAGAACATGTTGATGTAAAGCTGAGTACAGAAATCAACACAGCACAGGGTGGGTGTTTGTTTGTTTACTTGCAGTACTAATATGGGATAGTAGCCTGTCTTTAAAGATGTCAACTTAGTGTTTAAAGACTATTAGTCCTTCAGCTGAGGGAACCTGAGGGCACATTTTTAAGCTGCATTGGATTTGCATTAGATGACGAAATATTGAAATAAGATCTAGTGTGCAAAACATACTAAACAGCAATCTCTTTAAGTCTCTTTGAGTTAATGCACGTATACATAAATGCACTTGATTTCCCTCATCTAGGTGGTTGCATTTGTGAATGCAAATGGCCAAATTTCCCACCAAAAACAATTTCCAATCAAAAAAGTCAGAGTGAGCCAGTATATGAACAGCAGCAGCAGGTAAAAGTCAGGAAAATCTACTCCAAGGTTGGGCAGTGTTGATGACATAATAATCAACTATAGTACATAACCAGAGTGAACTTTGTTTAGGTAATAGTGCGTCATATTCTTCCTGCTCCCCAGTATGTCCTTTTCCACTTATTCACTGATACTGTGACTACATCCTGTTCATGTAGCTTTCATATAAAACTGTCACCATAATCCAGGACTCTGTTTCGCACCCCAATGTTGGATATCTTGTAAACATTACAGGGACTAATACAGCTCCTATCCCAATAACAACATTGCAAATTTACAGACCCAGGCTACCCTGAAATTTTATGGGAAACTTCATAGAGAACGCAGGCGTGCATACATGCATAGAGCTGAATAGAGGCAAATACTGCAACATCTCAAACTCTCAGAGTTAAATCTCCACTGTTGTTCATTGCTTAACTTTTCTATTGTAGTAACTGATGTTAAGATTACAGTGCAACAGAGCATTTTAAGAAATATCTATATATAAATATCTATATGAATTGTGTGCAAAATCTGACTTTTTTTCACAGCAAAGTCCCAGCTTTCCTCAATGTGGTCGACATTGCTGGCCTGGTCAAAGGTGCTCATGCCGGCCAGGGCCTGGGAAACGCCTTCCTGTCCCACATCAGTGCCTGTGACGGCCTCTTTCACCTGACACGTGAGTCACAGGTTGATGGTTGCCTCCTTTTTACAGAACTCAAACTATCAGAAAAATCACATATACACATACATATACACAGGTTATTGTATTTTATATTTTATATCACTGTATTTGTAGTATTCCATTGAACCAAAAGCTTTTAAAGGGAGAGCTAAAGTTTTGCACGAGCTTTGCAAGTGGAGTATCATGTGCGTTAGGTGCCAAGATCAACCCAAGAGTCAAGATGAATAAAATAATCAGACCAAACCTCACATTCCTGCTCTCAGAATGAGAATCACAGAAGTGGGAAAGAGTCTGTGTCTGATTCAGGCTTCACACTATCAGCAGCATATCCTGACGTTTGGAAACATTACAAGAGAGTCCAAGAGAAACACCACATGATATTATAATGTGATCCCTAACGCCACTTCTGTTTAAGTTTGGATGCAATAGAGGTAAGTTATCCATGAATATGTTATGACAGTAGCAGTTTTCTATAAATGTCTTCAGCATTTTTCTTAATATGCTGAATGATGAGTTGATCTGTACATACAAATGAACCCCTCTCTGTCCCTCAAATCATTTCTTCTGTCTCTGGATGTTCTGAGCCTCTGATGTGGTCTTTGTCACACACAATTTCAGTATTTCAAGACAGAATACTTAGAATTACAGCAGCTGAAATGAAGGCATGGGTCCAATGAAAAAAGTGGATTCGTGTACTGATTGTGTGCCGTTATCAACTCTCTCCTAGTGTGAAAGAAGCTCTGATTAGAGAATCAGTAGTAGTAGGCATAAAGGTTTTAGATTAAGGCCATTTTACCGTATTGTTCTCAAGTCATGCCGTGTTACCACTGAGAAAAATATTATCTCTGTCCTTGTTCAATTTTCAAAAAGCCTTTGACACTCTGTGGTTTGCTCAAAAAGAGGCAGGGGACCACCCACATTAAGACTGAATAATCATTTACAGAGTGGACGTAATGGGCAACATTAATGGGTCTGTGGTTAACTCGGTTTTTAATCACTTTTAGTACAAAAAAGGTCAACAAATGTCTCATAAACACCAAAAACAACATTAACTCAGTTGGTCTTGGACTTCCTAAACTTGCCTAGGGTTATTGGTTGTTTTATATATAAAAATCTGACCATTATTCATTAGCTTCTTTCGGTATAATATCAAAGGTTAAGTAATTTCCTAAAATATCTGTTCACTGGAGGTTTTATCAAAGTTCAGTTTGTTGGAAGTTTTTTCAGCTTTGGAGTGTCACAGTTTGGTGCACACTGTGAGATGTGTGTTGGATCAACTTACTAATAGTGATTATTATTTGAGTAATTATGAAGTACTTTTGTCAACATTATGATGGACAGAGTTTCAAACACCAGTGGGACCTAATATGAGCTCGACATACATGTAAGATCCTCACCCCAAACCACCTCTAATGTTTTTACTCAGAAAAGAAGACAAACATCCTCAACAGTCACAAATAGAAACCAGAGCTGCTTCTTCTTCTTTGCTTCTATTTCTCCTTCTCATTCTGTGTGTATTTACATATCTTTGCTGTGGCATGCCATTGTTCCCACTCTGGAGAAGTCCTTGGAAACAATGTGGTATGTTTCACAAGTTAACCATTAGACATTGCTGCTATTGTTTTGTATTTATATCTATCTGTTGTCGGGCAGACTGCCATGCTGAAGACACTACTTTTACAGGGGGCTGATTATATCTTTGGGGAGGGATGTTTTATTTAGTCCTGAAATGAGCAGAAGACTTTATAAAGAAGCTGCATTGAGATGAAAAGTGTCTGTAATGTAATGCTGAATCATCTGTAAAGTAATAAAAAATTAAAACCAAACGTCCACTAAGGAACTTAGGGGAGCAAATTTTACACACAGAGATCAAAAAATGTCTTGGCTTGAGCTAATATAAAGTTGTTCAGATTGAAGGATCATTGACGTAGTTTACATGCCTTTCCATGGTTAAAGAAAAAGGTTAATATCTAACCACTTATGTGCTGTTTAGTGTGTATATGTTTACCCTGTATCCCCAGTTCTATTTCAAGTGTAAAGACCATTCTTAACATGCATTATTAACTTGTTCTAACTTTTCATTATGAGTCTTTAAATTCCCAGAATATTTTGAGAGTTTTGAATATTTTCAACCTCTAATGACCTTGAAAGCCGATGTAAATAAGACGTTTGCTTTCAACAATACCTTCCAAGAACTGTGAAGTTGCATGGTGACGTCCTGAAAGCTGACTTTGTACTGTGACTTGTGTTCCCCGGTCTCATAATGAAACCGTTTTCAGGCTGAGTGTTCCCAGTGCGTCCTCAGTGACTGGATCGCGTCTGGATCATCGCTGCCTGAGACACGACACAGACATGTTCTCCTTCATCCGCTCTTCTGTTCCCCGCCAGTCGCTCTGCCAGCTCACCTGGCCTTATTCCCAGATGTTTGGTTTCCAGCAATTAGATGTTTGAATGCTCACACAGTGTCCCCGCATCGCTGCAGGAAGGCTTTAGTTCTCTTCTAATGAAGACTTATTTACGGTCGCATGGCACTCAGTAAGAATGTAGCCTTGAGATACGGTGGTATAGCACATTTACTCTTTGGGGACTGGCTGTGGTTGTGGGCAGCCAGCTGCGGAGAAGCTGTTATTTTCGGCGTAACGTCTGTTCTCTTGCTGTGATATTCATGCTTTTAGCTCCTGAACTCCTGGTTAAGTTTACATTTTCCCACTCTCTGGCACAATCCAATGACTTCTAGAGTTTTCTCTTTTTTTTAATTATATGTTAGTTCCTTTTGAGAGACTGCATTTAGGATTTTCCTTGATATATAGCCAAAATGGGAATATATAATGCCTTATTTGCTGGGAAAATGCCATTCTCCTTAACATCAAATATGACAAGTGTTTTGGTAAATTTGCATTGATCTTTACTTTAAACCTCAAAATATCAGATCTTCTTTGAACTGAATCTCAGCAGCAACTCAGAAAATGTGACAAGCCTTAAATTTGGTTTGCAGTCTGGGGGCGACCTAGTAATCCTAATTATGAACCTAATAATCTTTATCAACACATCAAGTTTGACATGGGGAAGAGTGCAACAGTAATGGCTCTTCAGAAGTTACAAGTTTTCACTGTATCATCCGCAGTCTTCCCATGTATCATCACATCTTGATGAATGTACAAATCTGTTGATAAAGAGCGATCAAATGAGGTCACTTCGTTAATCATGTAGGTCAGTCTAACCAGTTTGGTTGTTGCATCATTCAGATGTTGGCTCCAGCTCCACTAATCGCTTACAGTGAAGAAATCAAACTGATTGTTTAGCCCCGGGCTTTAAGAACAAACTGGATTGGGTATTCAGACAGAGATGATTTATGGCCGACCTGCCTCCTCACTGACGCCAGTGATGGCTGCTCTCCAGGATTTCTGTCTCATCACTCACCAGCTCACAAACTCTCAAACTTGACAAACATCCAAGTCACCTCACCCGTTCCTGGGACTGCTGTTTGTCTGACTATCTAAACAGTAATAAATGAATATCTGGGCTGTTGGATTTCTCAATCAGGTGAAGTGTTGATGTATTAATTCAAACATTCGACTGTTATGATTGGAGTGGTCATTTATTAATTTTGCCAGATATCTGTTTGTACAGAAAATAAATGCATCAGTGCTGTTTTACGGTTGAGGCCGAAATGTCACATGAAATATGTTTGAAAACAAACCCCCTGAAGCAGCACGGCTTTGTAGTTTTTAGCACATGTATCTGAGATGGGTATTTTCGGCTCAATTTTTGCTCCGCTTGTGAACTTTTTGGTAGCAGTTTGGTTCTCATGTTGCTTGTCACAAATGGCTGGTCTGTGGCTCAGTGGTTGTGTTAGTCATTTCTCAACCAAAACATCAGGGTTTCAATCCCAGATCCCACGGTCCACATGCAAAAGCGTCCTTCAGCGAGGCACTGAATCCCCAAACTGCCATGGCGGTTGCAGTGGTACAATATTATACCATCTTTATTAGGGCTTTTACCCTGAAAGACCCACTCCGATGAAAATTTAGTTTTTCTTGTTTTTTTACATGTTACATTACATTCAAATCGCTGTGAACCTCTGGCAGACCCAGATGGCAGGTTCAGAAACAGTGAGATTTTCTACGTAGCAAATCCAAGCTCCGCCCCTGGAGCCCTAGCCGCTATGCAGGCCACACTCGGAGAAATCGAGAGGATGATCGTAGAACAAGCGTCTGTGTTAGTGAATTGCAATTTTTGTAAGAAAGCTAATTATGATATTAACTTTCGTCATGTCCCCAAAGACATTAGTGTCTGAGAGCTGAATAGCTCCTATGTTACCTGCCACTTTTGGTTTACAGGCAATGTTAGGCTGCAAGCTAACGTGAAGACAAGTGTCGCCATTCGCCACGACTCTGAGGCGAATTGCTAAAGAGCTACTGAAGCTCTGCAGAAGAAAAGCCCTTTAAAATGACACAGGTAACGTGATTTTGGCTAAAAACTTCATAATCACAATTTAAAGACAATTGAGAACAGTTCAAATAGTAAAAAAAAGGAAAAAAATGATCGGAGTGGGACTTTAACAAACATTTACAGAAGTTTAGCAAATATACTGGAAAAGTCAATCTTAGATGTGATTATTATAATTTTTTTTGTTTTTTTTGGACATATTAATCTCACACTTCAACATCAAGTCGATATAACAAGTGACTTTGAGAGCCAATAGACATTTTTATTCTAGTTCAGGTCTCTCCCACAAAACCCAAAATTAACAATTGTGATAAAACAAAATTCAATTACAAAGGAGTAAACACAGACCAAGGTATTTGTTAACACAGAGAGGAGTATCTTACCCTGTTATTTCATATTCAATGATTAATTTGCACAGACAGAGTATTAGCCTGTGTACGCTCTGTTTATGCTGTTGACTTAGTTCTGCTCATGTTTTATTGTGAGGGCTGTTTTCCCAACAAACAGCAGAAAACCCACTAATTTGTGTGTTTTACACTCATTTGGATCCCTGGTAAATTGCGGCATAAAGTAGCCCGATTTTTTTCTGACTGTCATGTGTCCTTTTTTATGTTCAGCCATCGTCCACTCTGTTGTTACAAAGTGGACTGGTTTTTAAGGAGCTAGTGACCGACTTCTGACAACATACTTGGCCAGAAAACAGTCAGTGTTGTACAGCTGTCTCGGCAGGGTCTGAGCACTCTGCCTTACTTTTATGTCTTGAAATACAAATCAGTCAGAAAAATACGCAGCCCTCTGCTGTACGAGGCTTTTTTTTATGTCAGTTGTTTTTTAAACCCAAACTGTTATTCTAGATCTAAATCGTTCAGCTGTGGGGATCATGGTCCTTTCTGTGTGTTTTCAGCCTGTGTTGAGCTGCTGTCATAGCATTTAAATGAGCATTTTGCTTTGAGCTAGAATGAAGAGTTTCTGTCAGCCTCCACTCATCGTGGATGATTAGAGCAAAATGTCTCCTCATCTTGACTGGAGATCGCCACAGCTCCAGATCACATGCTCGGTGATTGAAGGTCGCAATATTTTGAATTCTAATGGGGGCTGTGAGATGAATTGCCTGAAATAGACTGTAGAATCTTCCTGCTTCCTCCTCGTGCCCCCCTCGCCTGTCCGCTGTGAAAAGAACCACTGGGAACGGCGAGGCCCGATGATCATAGAATTATTGGATGGTGATTCTAAACCCTTCAAAGAGGAGTTGCTATGGAGATCTCGCTCCAAACTGTGAAATGATTCACCTTTGAAAGGCTGGAGGGCCTGAAAGCTGAACACATCATTGTTCAGGTGGCGGTTGGTTAGGAAATTGCCGGTGCCTGTGCAATCAGCAGCACTATAGTAGTTAAGGATCTAAAAAGGTTTGTTCTCTGGATGATGTGGGACAACAGTGGTGTGCATATGTCGGCTCCTTTCCAACACCGCTCTCTGCTGCTGCTCCTCTGTTTAACAAAATAAATGGATTGACAGAGGTTAAGCTAATGATAAGGGAATTAACAGTGTTATTTCCTGGCAGGGATCATGAAAATCAGAGAATTCTCAGTAGACTTTCTCTCACATGGATTGGATTTGTCTATCTCTACATGTATTTTTGCAGCCAGTCAAATCAAACATGGTGGAAGGTCCCAGTAGATTACATAGGAAAAGAGGACATGTGAGGTCCTGATATTCATACAATCGAACACTGTGATTTCTGTTTTGAAAAATGGGATCATGACGAAAACGTGAATGTATCTCCAAAGGGCTCAAACCCTCTATTTTCTGATGTCAAACTGCTTTTTAACAGCAAATGTATTTGCTATAATTGACACATGCAAAGAAACAAGGATGAATGTGCCACAAACTCTGTTACAGCAGCAGAGGACTACAAATTGCAGTCAATTTCATGTATCCCTCAAGTGAATGTCAAGAAGATATTTCTTGAATGAACATAAATACCCTTGTGTGCATTGCCAGTGTTTTTTATGCTGGGAAGACATCCATAATGTGCTTTTCCTGACAGACTCATAAAATAGCTTTTACTGCTCTGAATACCAGGAGAATTGCGGCACTGAGTTTGCATGAACATTTTAAAAGCAACGCGAGGAATGCAAGTTCTTTAGATGTGCTCTTACCTCGTCTTGCATGTGAAAACCTGCACAGGAAGTTAAAAGTCAATGAATACTGTAATTTAGCTGAATTATGTTGACCACATATCCTCCCAGGTAGCTACATCAGAGGAAGCAGCTCAATCAGTATTGATCTCAGCTTGACTCAGATGACTGCCTTGTCTGTGTACCTGACAGAAAAAGTAATGATAGAAGATAGCTGGAGCTTGCTGGGTGTTTTCAGGTGTTACACTTGTACAGACTGGAAACAGACGACTAATTTTTTTATGTTGTTTTTTTTATATACTGAAGGTTGATTTTTGCTTTTTGAGGTTAATGAAAATGTCATTTGCTGTTTGATTTCTCTCCTTTTTTGTTAATGTTCATTTATGAATGTCAGTTCATGGAGTTTTATTTTATTCGTCTGCAGTGCTGCTGAAAGTCCATAATTTTGCAGAGATTAGCCTGACCCCTAATCAGGCCATTGAACAGCACTCGCCCTCTGGAGACTAATCCTTTTGTTCTGCTAATAAAGAAGCACCTGTTAATGGTGTCTTCAAAACATGCGCCATTGAAATGAAGCAGTAAAATTGAGATTGTGAGGCAGATCTGACTCCTGAAACCTCTGTCTCCTCTTTTTTTTGTGTGCGTCTCTTTCCTGTCTTGCGTGTGGCTTTGTGTGGCGCCGCAGCCTCATGAGAGCTGTCTTCCCAGAGCTAGTTGTTAAAGGACTAATTGTGGAGATGTGGAGATTTCCCCCTCAGATTTCCCTCCCTCTCTCACCTCGTGCATTTGTTCTCCAGCTCCAAGCCTTGAATGGGATGGGGGTAAAGTAGATGTGAATGTTAAATTAGGTGAAATTAATTAAAGCCAATTACTTTGGAATATGTGGCTGTCAGAGGAGAGTGTCAGCTGATGACTAAATAGTGAGTGATCAGCTGCTCCTGCTCTCTGAAAGCTGCTTTGAAATTTTGATTTATCAGCTTTTTTATCAGGGATGTTTAACGATATTAAGCGTTGATTATTAATTTCAAAAAGTGAGACGTGTTTTGAATATTTTGATATAACTGCCCTTGCTTTGGGTGTTTTGAATATTTTCGATAAATGGACTTTTGAGTATTTATTTCTTGATTTAATACCAATCATTAAAGGTTTATTTACCATGTGAGGCTGTTTAAAACCTCTTCAGTCCTAATAAATAAATGGCAAATTAAACAACAGGCTTGCATGAATTTTGCATCTGAATCAAAACTGTATGTCTTAATTGTTCATAATGTATGTATATTCTTGCAGCTAACAAAATGATTACGTTGCATTATATTTTCTGAGTTCATGCAAACACAATAGCAAATTTTCATTCCAATCAGTGCTGAACAGGGAGCTGGTAAATTGGAGCAGCAAAACAATAATTCCACTGATTAGCCCCTTTCTGTGTGGCGTAAGTGAACTGTTTATACTGTGGAGTACCTCTGCAAGAGGATAGGAACCAAAACAGCCTGATTAGGCAAAGAGTAATTGGATAAGTTCATTTCAGCATGAGGACAACGCACAGGATGACAGCTTGCACAAAAGTCTGCAGCTTCTGTTGACTTACGTGAGCGATAAGGACCCAGTGCAGGATCTTTGGGTTTATCTGCCATTTTATATACAAGGATTAATGTGTAGGAGTGAGTGTGAAGAGTGAAGCTTGATTGTCAAAGAGCTCTAGTTTAGATTCATGGAAAATCAGGTACTAATTCCTCTTTAACCAAGTATGAAAAGTGTGATATGATATTTTGTGTGGATGATAATTGGGGGTTTTATATCAGTTTACAATTTGGCATCTCTCAAAGTTTAAAAACACTCAGAGCCGCTGCCTGTTATGAATGAACAAAAAGAATTAAGATCTAAGATAAAATGAGTTTGATATTCTCAATCAAATATGGCCTACAGAGGCTCAGAGGATAATAAAGGTCCTTACACCCCGGGAATGACGCAAATATTTGACACGAAATTACGAAATATTTGGAGGCGAATTTTGACACGCCTGACTATACACATCAAGTGTGATGCAATTTTGCTACTTTCCAGGGGGAAAGAGGACGCGTCCTGGGTGGAAGCGAGAAGACTGACACAACACCAGACTGACTGTTTTTCATGTCTGATTAGACACTAGTGTTGAGATGGCTGTCTGTCATGATAGCATGTACTGAGTCAGGGCCAGTACCAGATAAGCACATGAAACTATAATCCATAAACGTAAGGTAAAAACGGAGACCTAACAGTGCTGTGACAGCAACGCGATTGAGTTTTAGACAGTGAAAATACATCTGGTATGTTGTATCTGAACAGGTTAGCTTACGAGCTAAAGTTACTTAGCACAGATGAAAGTTAAAACAAAGACGTTTAGCAAACTGTTAAAGCTCACAAACCATCGTCATAAAAGAAATCCGACGCTATGACTCTCCACAAGTTGTCCTTCAGGTCGTTATCTTTGTAATGTTTTTGTGTCTTTTATCAAAAAGCACTCTGTTCTCCGATACGTAAACAATCAGCTGCTCGGCCATGTTGGATATACCGGTGAATCTCACGTCGCAACAACATGAAATCTGATTGGTCAGAAGTGGACACACAGTATGCGAAACTTTAGAAAAATCGACTGTGATACAAGAAAATAAATGCTGTTTTATCGCAAACTGCTGATGTGAACGTTTGTATTGACAGGATTTGGGTTCGAAAAAAAATATTGTCGTCCGAAATAATCACACAAAAAAAATGCTCCCGGTGTGTAAGGACCTTTAGCCTTAAATACTGTACCTCTGGTTCTGTTTATGCTCTTATACCTCCAGGAATGCAGTTTTTTTCTCATGTTTAAATCCGAAATTTTGTGTTTATATTATATTGCTTTCTGGCTCTGGTGTAGAATTGAAAAGTTTGTTTGTACTGGACTGTATGAACGACACTGTCACCATATGAATCAATAATTATGTATTTCTTGCCAACAGTAAGCTTGTCTCCTGTAAGTACACGTGTGGTAATCCCTGACTGATTAAATTTACAATATCAGCATTTGGAAATCTAGCCGTTTTTGTTGCCACTGTTTTCTGTCTCAGGACATCCTGCCAAAATGTTGTCAAGGAAAAAGTCAGGGATCAATGAAGTCAGGAGTATCTGCTCCCTCTCCAACACTCCTTGTCATGAACTCAGTACACATTTGTGGTCCACTTTAAAGACTTGAGAAACTTTTCACTCAGGACACAAATATTTGCATGAATCAGTCTCAGGAATGCTGGTTCCCATCATGACTATACATTGGTCTGTGAATCACTATTTTCTGCATGTATCACTGTTAGGACTTGTTGAGGTGAGGTGACAGCTCACCATGACTGGTATGGGTAACATCATTGACGTAAATATCTCGCGGGGCCTCGGCTGTCATCAGACCTTCATTGCTTAACACATGAATATGGATCATTGATAACGTTAAGTGACTCAACATGCACATTCCAAACATGTCGCTCAACACCGCCATACTTAAAGTTATCATTCAACTGACATACACTTCCTTGTTGACTGACGGGAATTCCCATTAAGCCACAGTGTGAAACTTCACAAGATGCTGCAGCAGGTTGATATACAAATGTGTGAAATCATATTCCAGGTCTAACCATGCAGTATATTTGCTAAATTTTTCTGCTTTAATAAAAGAGGACAGATGGGGGGGATTGGGGGTTTAGAGAGGCGGTAACACACAACGGACATGCTGGGACAGAGTCTTTAGCTTCAGTACATGGGGCGCACCCTTAAACTGCCTGCCCAGCCAGTGCCTCGGTTCATTTTAATGACAGTTTTTTAGCCAAAACTTATAAAGAGATAATGAAATTTAGTGCTTTGTTCTGGATTAAATTACCCATAATACAACAGTCAAGTAGTCCAAGCTACGAGAGTGAAATGCTTATGACTTGCCTGAATTAGTTATGATAAATCAGTGGCAAAACAATAAAAATAGCAACATTTAGTAGTAATACTGATACATTCACGTTTTTTATTTACTTTAACTTCAGGCATTCTTTATATTTAAAGCTCCTATAAGGAGTTTTTATAGCTTCTTATTTTTACTTTACTCTCAATAAATTGTACTTTTGACCATCAAAGTTGAGTAGGATGAGTTTTTTTCAGAAGCTACCATATAAGCATGTAGAGAACAAGACGAACAAAGACTGTTTTGACCACAAGGGGCACCAAAGTTAACACAAACAATCCCTCACAGGAGCTTTAATGATAGCGCTCTTACTTCCTTTTAAAGCTGTTGTGAGGTGAGGTGAGGTCTGTTTTACTGTTTGCTGAAAACTAAACTCCTAACAGGAGCTTTAAAGGAAATTTTAATGAGACAGTAATGACCGTTGGGCTATTCTTTAGATTGTATTACTTCTATTTTTAACCATATGCTTTTTTGACAGACCATCTGCTCACAATGTGCAATCTGTGTTGTGTGTGTTAAAGATTAATCTGACGTTTTGTTTTTTTTTCACAGCCACAGATCTGTAAGTGGGAAACCAACAAAGACAGATATGATATTTCCTTCTATGAATTAGACACTGATTGTTTCCCTTGCAATATACCACATGGATTAAGGGGTTGGGGCTTCTGAAGGTGCACTGAAGGAAGGTTGGAGGAGAGGGGGTTGTTCAACCTCTCTGGAACATCAGACCCCACATTTAAAGATCTGTATACTCCCCCTAACACAGAGGTGATCCAACCCCCTATTTATTTGGAAAAGTATTGACGGTATAAAATTAAACTAATTGCGTGGGCTGTAAATTAAAGATACTACAGTCCACAACAGTGGCCACTGGTAATGTTAGAGGCTGCCACTCTTATGTGACAGATGTACACCAGTGTCCCCCCCGCTCGCCTCCCCCCTCCCTCCCCTTCTCTCCCCCCTGAGCTCTGCTGTAGAGTCCTTAAGACTGCTGCTGGCTAAATGCTCTGCTTCAGAGCCTCATTACCTAATCACTGGCACAGCAACGACTAAGACGCAGATGATTAGGGGGAGGACTGTCATCTATCGTCTGCTAATGTTGACATTTTTCTCTTAAATCACATTCAGTTTTGTTTATTCCTCACATTTTTTACTTAATGACTAATACTTTTCAGACAGAGGTGCACAAAAATGCATGACCAGACACTCCCCACTTTATGCAGATTGACAAGACAGGCCTGTTTAGTTGCACTTAAAGCCAATTTAAGTAGAACTTAGTTTGACACTGTGAGCTGTGTTTTTTTTTTACAGTTCTGACACTTGGAAACTTAAAAGAGGGATTAAATGTGTTCTTGAGTATTTTATTGTATTTGTTATGACTTCCCTGTGACTCCCACTGTGCTTTCTCATGTGGATGTTTATTTTTTCCCATATTCTCTGCAAAAAGCTAATGATTTTTGGGGGGGCTAAATCTAATCACTGTTTCACATTCGATCCCAGGAAGTCGATGTCATTGATTCTGTAGCTCTGATTTTTATATTGTACTTTATGTGATCATGTACAGGAGTGTCATTGTTACTTGAAAAAAAGATATCTTATACTGTTTCTCTCTTTCTCTCTGGCTTTTGTCTTGTTGGTGCAGGTGCGTTTGAGGACGAGGATATCATTCATGTAGAGGGGACGGTGGACCCAGTGAGGGACATGGAGATCATCCACGAGGAGCTGAGGCTGAAGGACGAGGAGATGATCGGCCCTATTATTGACAAGCTGGAGAAGACGGCCATTAGAGGCGGTGACAAGAAACTCAAACCAGAATACGTGAGTCAATGTCCCAGCAGGCCCTTTGCTCCCCCTCACAGCACGGCACAAATAATAACCCTCCCACACACACACGGCCAAGGAGAAAAAAAAGTATGTTTTTTTTAATCTCCCTCCAATAGATGTCACCCCTCCCCCTCTGCCCCATTTTTTCCTTTTCTGAGATTGAAAGTGATCAGGGGTCAGGGGTTTTCTGCTGTAGAAATCATTAATAGAGAGTTACTTATTCAGCTGCTGACCCTGGGTCATAGCACTGGGCTAATGAAAGTGTTTCCACACAGCTCTTTTCATCTAAAGTAATACTCAAATCATGGCACAGCTCTTGCTCATGGTCGTACACCTACAGCAGCTCAGGAAATTGTATAAGGCCATGCGGCGGGTGACACATATGCCTATACAGCGCTATGAATACCATAAATGTTTAGAATATTCCCTCACAGAGGATTCCTCTGCGAGGTGCAGGGCCAAATGCGGGGTAAGATGTGCAAAAAAAAAAAAAAAAAAGTCCACATCCTGAATGTCAGATCTCAATGTATGTGGATGCATAGTGGCTGAGGTAGACATATTGTTAAGGTAATGAGGCTGAGCGGCAAACATTAGCAATGATTTGGTTGTAAATGTCTCATGATGCCCTTCCATCACCAGAGCAGGATGAACTCAAGGGGAGCTGGCCTTTCACTCAGAGCCGCATGCCCAATTTCAGGCCCAGACACACTGCGGCTCTGACCACTCATTACGCTAACGAGAGGGGCTTTTTCACCTGCTGCACAGGCCCTGTGTTTGGTTGGTTCCCCTCAGACTAAACCCCCCTCCTCCCGTTACAGCCAGCAGCACTCCCCCACACCCCTGTAAGCCCTACAGACAGGAGCCATTCAGGCTAGGCAGGTGGCCGCTTACGCACATAATTGCTAACAATTTTAGGCAATGAATAAAAATGATACATTACTTGTCAAAGGTTGTGCACACGTCGGCAAGTGAAATCTATAGAAGACCTCTTTAGATGGCGAAGAATGGTGCTTATCAAAGGTTGCAGCGAGATTTTAGATGGGAGGGATTTTGTGATTGTCTCAGGCAGGCTTTTGACACACTCAGATGTGCTTAGACACATATACACATGTTTATGTCAGCCTCTATATGCACAATATGTGTATCAGGTCTTACAAAAACAGCAGAACTTGTACTTTTCTTTTGTAGAGCCCGAGGATGATGTGAAATTAAAAGGACCTATTTTGGAAGATTGTCACTTCCTTAGATTTTTTCTTCTACAACATTTGATAAGGGTCTAATTTCTTTTGTTGCTCTCACTTTCCTTTGAGGTCTCCAGGTTTTTACGCTGCCTGAAATTTCATGGTTGCAGGAATATTTCCTCTATTGGCGCTGAAACGAGCGCACAACTTTTCCATAAGATATATTATCAAAACCCAATTTCTTAACCAGATTACATCCAAGATGACACACTGAACCTGCATTTTTTAAACACACTTTTTTACTTTTTTAATTAGGTTTCACCCATCACTTAAGGAGAAATAAGACCTAAATAAAACCAACTACTTTCTAACTTAGTTGTTTGATATACCACATCCATCTCTGATACAGAACTCAAAATATGCCTGATAAAAATGTTCTGTTTGAAGATTTATCCAAATTAAGTTGAGGCAATTTTGAATGTCAGAAAATTATTTAGATTCTTTATTTAATTAAAAATAGTACAAAGACTGAATGGTAGATGTGGAAACTGAGAAACTCATTTTGAATTTGGTGCCAGGAACATGTTTATACAAAGTTAGACCAGGACATTATTACCCTTGTGTTGCATCAACTTTACTTTAAATAACACTTGGTGAACCAGGGGGAAACCAGTTTGAGTTTTTAAGTGTAATGCTGTCCTGTTTTTGCCTGTTACAAGATTTCAGCTGTTTGTCATACTTTTTATTTCTTGAGGTGCCAAAGTTTTTAGTGGGTGACAAGTTAGGACGGCAGACAGGACAGTGGGTCACCCAGACTCTTAACTGCAGAGTCATGTTGTTGTATATAATGTGGTTTGGGATTGGCTTGATGACATTTGCAAAGTCCACTAGAAGAAAAGGAATGATCTGGATCTAGATTGCTTAAAAAACCTGCATTCAATATTCATCATCAATGATGCTCTCTCAGGTTTGTATCCCAGCTATAGGCACCCCCACACCACCATGGACGCTGTTTTTTGAACAGTGTGCTGATAACAAGCCGAGTGTTTCCTCTGCTTTTTAGAGTAGGGAACACAGTATCCATGATTTCCAAAAAGAGTGTCTGATTTTGATCCATCAGAAAAAAACACCCCAGTCCATCCTCAAGAGAGGTTGTCTGTTTTTGGTTTCCTCTTTGCATGGTAGACTTTCACCTACAGTTGTGGATTTCCACTGCAGAGTCAGATATGATTGTAATGCAGCTTTGCCTGAAGGCATGATGATCTCAGCCATCCAGTGTTGGTCTTTTTGCACAGAGGTTTCTCTGAATCTTGTTGTTATGTTCTTAAATGTAACCCATAAATTCTTTGCAGTTATCCACTGAACAACACCAGGATAAATTCTTGAACATTGCAGTCTTTCAGAGTTATAAACCCTCCTCTTATCTTTGCTTCTGAGACACTCGGCTTCTCTGGATTATCCTTTTTATACCCAGTCATGTCACTAACCTGTTGCAAATTCATCAAATTAATTAGGACATTTTCCTCTCGTTCTTTGTCATTACACAGCTTTTTGGCGACTTGTTGTCCCCATCCAAATCTTTTAGAGATGTGTTGCTGGCATTAAGTATTAAATGTACATATATTTTTCTTCGGGCAAATGACTTTTCAGTTTTAATGTTTGATTTATTATATTTGCACTATTTTCAATTAAATATAGGACTTGTACAATTGAAAACCATCAAAAAATTCACATGTTTTACACAGTGTGCCTACTTGGTGTTCAGATTTTAGTGCTCTCTGGTATCTCTCATTAATACAATGGCAGTATGGGAAATATCCTGGATAGTGAAGTTACCATGTAACATATGGAATCACAAATCCTTGTCAAAGCGCGACTGTATACAGTACATTGTTTAGTTTATAATTATACCGTGTACTTTGATACCTCACGCTCCCACTTCTAATTAAATTATGCTGGACTTAGACGTTTGTAATTTTTGACACAAATGAACCAAGAGTTTTAAGGAAACCTTGTTCTCATTTTTTTCCTTCTAAAATAAGACAGAGCAGCAAAATAAAATAAAAAGAATCAGAAGACGAGAAATGATAAACGTGATTAAAAATGATATAATTTCAGAGAAAAAGCCTTTAGTAGAAAAAAAAAGCAAATCATAAATTTGGGTTAATTAAAAAAAAAATAGCATATTATGGTTAAAATGTTGCTGTCAGGATAAAAAAAATTGTCACTCAGCATTTCATTGTTGAGCTGAAGCTTCATTTATATGCACACAGCAGCCCAGGGCTCATATATATGCATTGTTAGGAAGATTTAAATCCATTTTGCTGGTGCTGTGTTTACAAGAACAATGTTTCATTGCCTTTGTCCGTATGAATCCTCAAAATCCCTATCCTCACAAAACAATAATAAGAAGCCGGCCCACCAGCAGCGCTTCATGGTGGCAGGCATATGTGTTTGACCCCTGTGGGACCTATATGCCTTTTATTAACACCTGCCTGTTAGAGGAGCGCTGCACGGCGGCGGCGAGCTGATGAGGGAAACCTGGAGCGGGTTCAGCCTGTGTCACTGGCCGTTTGCTGTTTCCATTTCACAGATGATTAATCTCTCTGTGAAGACTTGGGACGGCGCGGGCGGAGTGTATGCAGCTCTTCCTGCGCTCTCTCCCGCTGGCTGCACTCTGGCTGCCTGACTAAAAGGCCTTTAGAATTCCTGCGGAGAGAGATGTGCAGAGAGTGAATGCAGCTGGCTGGGGGTCAGTGTGTGGAGCTTTTTCTGCCATTGTGTAATTGAGGCTCTGGCAGGATTTTTTTCCTCAGTTCTTTCAAAAGGGAGTATGATTGTGAAGTGCTGCAAGGGTTTTGGGGAGGGAAAGAGGAGGTAGGGGGAGTGTTGCAGGGGGTGGGGGAGTTTTTATATGAAGGGGGAGGTCAAGTTGACAGGAACAAAAAGAATGTGTTCCGCTAATTTCTGTGGGGCTGGATCAACAATAATAGGCTCAATTTCTTTATTACAAATTTTATAACTACCTCCCTCCCATTTTCCCACCCTTTTCCGCTTCCAGATCCTGTCAAGACCCAGTCGTGCCTGTGGTCTCAACCCACAAGTACCTCAGCGATGAATGTGGCATACAGGGCTGCAAATGCTCAATATTTTCTCCAGAAGAAGCGGCGAATAATTAGTCCTGTACCTCACTTGTGCATATTCAGTCTGACTACATTCTGCCAAGAGCCTGAGGAAGCACCAATAATTCACACCTAAACTTCCAATTAGTTCCCAGCTCTTTGCAATCTTATCTCCCCTCTCTCTCTGTGCTTTTCATTAAACAGTCCCGATGGAATATTGATGTTAAAACTCTAAGTGAGACACCCCAGAAGGCATTTTTGTCATGATTTAAAGGAGGGAAGGGGGTCTTGTGCGTGCCATCTCTGTTAAAGCCAGGCCTCTCCTGCTTAAATGCGAGCACAGCCATTGTTCATTTTGGCATCAGGATGCCATGCATTTAGGAAATAATTACCCCATACCCTGCTGGGTTTATATTCTTTTTCATCTCCTTTAATGGCTTCTTGTTCATTCTCTTTTAACCCCAAACAGGACGTTATGTGCAAAATCAAGAGCTGGGTAGTGGATGAAAAGAAACACGTCCGCTACTATCGCGATTGGAACGACAAGGAGGTAAGACTTTGATGTAACAGTCACATTTATTAACGCCATTTATCTCGCTCATCTTTTCATCTGACCTGAAAGTGCAACTGCTGTTTCTTCTTCTCTCTCTCTTTTTTCTTAAGCAACACGTCTTTTGTGCATATCACGAGTTAATATTATGCATGGTCTTTTGTTGGTTGTATTTTGACATTACTTTTGTACAAGCTAATGACATCTGGCAGCGCTGATCTTGATTTTGAAGCTTTAAAGTTGCACCCCACAGTGCCTATACACCAGATCCTAATTTGATTTGGCTTCACTTATCTCTGCCTGCGCCAGCCTCAAAGGCTACTTTGGAAAAAGTTTGAATTCTCAGTACTTGCTTTTTCTGCCTTTTACACAGATTGAAGTGTTGAACAAATACTTATTTTTGACATCCAAACCGATGATGTACCTCGTTAACCTCTCAGAGAAAGACTACATCAGGAGAAAGAACAAATGGTGAGTACTTTGAGGAAAGGCAAGAGCTGTCCTATTGATTTTCTTGTAACTTTGAAAAAAAAAAAAAAAACTGTGTGTATGTGTGTGTGTGTGCGTCTGTGAATGCATGTGCTAGGATGTAAGAAATGTGTGTGTTAGCCTCACTGATCTTCTCACTGTGGTCCCCTGCTGACAGAAACAGCCACATCTTTGAGAGAGGATCTGCCTGGAGGTGGCACTAACTTAGCTCCGACACAAAAACCAACCAGCCCCCACATTCTGCACTTCATTAGACACCAACACACATATGGTCCCGGTTTTCCCATCAAAATTTGTCATTACCTTAATATCAAAGAGAGCGACGGCTTTATACGACAAAAAAACAAACATGTTCGCACAAAGAAAAACATGTAATTAATATCATCTGGAGGGGGGCTATAAATCATCACATAACGCTCTTATGTCTGAAAGCGCTTTGTTCCAACTATTCGGTTTTGTCCTCACATGTTGTTGCTCAAGTAGCTTTTACAAGCTTCACTTTACAGCCATGAAATTCCCACAGATCATAATGACAGCTGAGGTTTCCTTGATATACAGTTAGCCGGGAGAAAATGGCATTTGCACATTTGTTTTGCTTTTTAACGCCACCGCACAGTGACTTTTATTTTTGACTTTGCAGGTGCAACGCTTTTCATAATGTAAGAAGATAAAAAGATGACCTTTAATGCACTAAATAAACTTCTTCTCTGTGTTTCCAGCTCCACAAGCCTGTGTTCTGTCAAAGATACTTTTTATAGTAATGTTGTCATGTGGCCACACTGAGAGCACATCTCCAAGGGCTGGTGTTAGACATCCATTATATCTGAAAGGGCTACTTTTCCACACTACAGCCGTTTTGTCAATAACACCAACTTGTGGATTGTTATCACACTTTTCCAATTGCCCTCCAGGCTTGCGGTGTCACTCCTTACAAAATTTGTTTTCGTGCTTTTACTTGGCAGCATTGTATTACACAGGAAGTTGTTTACCTAGGGACTGTTTGTTGAAATGTTCCTGACACGAAAGTATGACTGTCAGACGGAGGAGGGAGGGAAGCAAACTCGTAAATCAAATGATTCATGGCATGTGGAACGTCCGTCATCAGCAGAGGGAGAGGGTTTTTTTTCATGTTGCGTGTGTGCATGTGAGTGTTTTTTTAACAGTGAGAAATGCAATAAATCTCAGAGCGTTTTAAACAGTAGTGCTCAGGTGTCCCGAGGGCTCCTCGGTGAACAATGCCGACATCAAAGTGTTGATGTTTGACAAGTGATGAGTCACTTCCCTTGTCCAGAGAGGAGCTCACACCTGTATGGAGATGATTACAGGTAGATCTAGCTGGCCCTAATTGTACAATAAATGCTGCTCTCAGCCCTAATGGCAGCTAGTCTGCAGCAGAGACGCCAGACTGCCATTTGGCTGTCGCCATGCCCCCGTGTTTTTCCACCAGCACAGTTGAGATGATGATACGGTTAAGGACTATTCAAAGCAAACAGCTAGACAAATTGCAATCTCAGCTCTAATGTGAGGAGGAAAAAGAAGGCGAATCCCAGAATGAGGCAAATAAGCCAATCTTATCTGTGTCTCTCTGGACACCCATTCAGGCCATTTCACACTTTTGGTTCCCAGGATTTTTTTAAACACTTTTTTATATTTTTAGAGCTTTATTCTGTAGAAGCTGCCACTCAAGCTTTATGCAAATCTTTTTTTTCCTCAGCATTCTGCAGCACACATTTTTTTTGTTGTACCCTAAATGTATGAAAGGTAATATTCCTTATTTCAGTCACCCAGCAGACAGAACAGAATTCATTAAAGCTGCAAGTTTTGCCTCATATCAAGTAGTTGACTTTTTAAGCCTCTGAAAACATGCCATTGTTAACTGATCTCATCCTGTTTGGAGTATGGGAACCACATACCAAGCTGCCCTTGTTTAGACAAGAATACACAGTATTAGCTTTAGCGAGCCATCATTAATGCGAGGATCAGAAGAGGAGCGAGGCCTCCTTTCATCCCCAGGTTCTCTGCTGGAGACAGTACATCATTTACTGTTGAGAGGAGCACATGGCTCCAATCCTATACAGTGTATGTGTATGAGAATGCGTCCATGTGCATGTTTGAAGTCTGTTTCAGAGGCGACTCCACGCTCATTTGGATGCTGGCGTAATTGCGGTGTGGAGATCAAAGGCTCGCCGGCCGAGTGATGTTCCTGGAGGAGACTTTACCACACAGCCCTCTCCTCTGTGCAGAGGGGGCCGCCTGCTGCTCGCCGCTCCCCTCTCCCCTCTAACCATGCTCTGCCCCCTGCACATCCCCGCTCGTAAAAAATGATTAAGGCCGCATTTGTCATGTGTTTATGACTGAGAGGCATTGCGTGATAGGGAATGGCATCTACAAGAGTCTATCAAGAGGCTTTCTCCTCTTTTTCCCGGCGTCAGTGAGCTGCCTGACGACTGTTCCTCTGCGCCTCGTACCGTAGTTTGTGTGTTAAAGAGGGTCATTAGAGTACTGTTGATGATGCGGTGGCTGCAGCCTGCCCAGTGTTACTGTGTTTTCACTTATCACTTAAGTCTTTGTTTATTTTACAAGTTCACTGCCTCACCATCTTTGTCCATCTGCACAGCTTTTAATAGGTTTGATATCAGATATTTATTCAATCCTCCTCAGAGGCCTAAGAAAAGTCACATTTTGTGATGGGAAAAGATACACTTGAGGATACTCCAGATGCACTATGATGTTTTTCTTTCTTGTCATTTCTTTTTATTTTTTTCCTGCTTTTTTTCTTCTTTTGGACAATGTGCATTAAAGTAAATTGGTGCCTCTTAAGTAGATGAGGTGACCTTTAAGGAAACCAGCAAGCGTGACCTGTCTGTGAGTGCCTCTGCAGTGTGGGTTTTCCTGGTGAGTGTAAGAACTGCAGGGTACCATCGCGTAGAGCTTTCATTAACTCTGGTTGTGTGTACGTGTGTGTGTGTGTGTTTCTGCCTCTATCAAAGTGTGTGCGCGCATGTGTTTTCTCCCCGTCCACATTGACGTTCTTCTTCTCTTTCTCCACTTTTTAGTACTTCTTCTCTCTGTTTATTTTCAAATGTGTCTTACATTAGGTGCCTCGGCTGTCTTCTTTATACTTTAAAACCACATCTGAACAAGTCACATACCACAGCTGCTCCTCTGGTCAACCTTTTTAATCATCTTTTTTTCTGCCACCACAAACCCATAAATTGATCTTTCATAAATAACTCTCCCTGTATTTGTCTTGCATTGTGTAATTCACAGCGCTGTGTACCATGCTTGTGCGCTTGTCAGCAATTTCTGGTGAGTGTCAAAAGACAGCCTGAGTCTGGACAACAATAACAGTGTGTCAGCACTTCAGTGATCAAAATGTCTGCGTCGAGTTTGGTCTCTGTAAGGCTTTGTTGCATATGAAGTTTTTAGCAAGAAACTAGCCCAGTCTTGGTCTATTAAGTCATTAGAAGTTCAATGGTAAAGCTGAAGATCTGTATTTTCATACTTTAGGCGAATCTCATCAAAAATCCAAAACCAGGCATGAGCTGATCCGGCTTTCTGTTCGGCCTATCGCATCTTAATGCTGTGTACTGTGGAGCTCCGCTGGTCAAAAACAAATCTACTTTTTTTACAACAAATTTGAAAAGATTGAAAATTTTGATTGAATTGGCTTATTTCAAAGATTTAAGGCATTTGTAGGAGAAAAAAAAAGGCAAAGATCCACAACCAGGGAGGGAGTCAGCAGTTACTGAGAGCAATAGATCAAAACCTTCCTAACGTTTCATATCTGGTGGGTTTCCACATGGTTAACTTGTGGTGGAGCTTACTTAAAGGGAATCAAGACGTGGTTAAAGAGGGAGCATGGAGATGAGGGAAAGTCTGCGGTGTCTGATACTCGACTCGGCCTGTAGGAGGAGCTTTGACAATTAAAGTCAGAGAGCCCTTGCAGGAGTCGCAGCATGTTGCTTTTCCGTCTTGAGGGCTTGCACCCATTTTCCCCCAACAAGAGAACTCAATTCACATTTATCATCTTCATGCTCTCAGTTTTCATGCTGTCTCGTTTTTTTGCCATACCATATTTTAGAAGTATTGAAAAGCCCACTAATGAGTAAACTATGTATTTCCTTTTAATGTTATCACGCTGACAAACAGCCAGACGTTTCTGTCAGGATTTAGAGACAGTGGAAACACTCAGATGGGATGTGAGGGAAAGACTTTTATGATTCACCGAAAGCCACTCCATGAAAGCAGTCACTGCGGCCCACTTCAGCTATACTCCAGACCATAATTCCCATAAACACAACTGAAACTTTATTGAGTGCAAAACCACCGGCTCCATCCAAGTTTTTAGGAACTACTATCTGGGGAGTTCGAGTTCACTTTTCAAAGCCACAAGGGAGATATACGATCACTTCTTTCTTTTTTACTTTGTGCACAGACGTCCAGTTTCTACCCATTCAGTGTGGGATGCTCAAAACACTTTCCCATGGTAAGATGTGTACCCTTCTGCCCACAGTCTGTCCTAATGGACGCCTTCAGCAAGCTTTCAATGAGAGAAAACAACAGGAGAGGCTGTATAGTAAAGCTGAAACAGATGGTGCTAATAAAGTCCTGTCGTTCCAGTTAGCCAGGTTATTGACTGTCCCCAGTCCAGGTAATGAAAGGACGCTGCTGACATGTCACATGTCAACCTGTTGTCTTTGTTGTGTCCTGATGGTGAGGACTCGCTGCTGTTGTTGTACTAATGAGACAGACCCTAAAAGTCAGACTTTTTCTGCTCGTGTTTGTTCTTTAATGACTGTGTAAGGATCCGTTTGCGATCCACACTGGTTGTCACTTTTCCTCCTTCTTTGGAGGCTCAAACTTGAGGATGCTAATGCTAAGTGAGCATCCTGCAGTTCGAAATATATGTAGACTTTCCCAGCTGAACAACATGCATGCTGGGAACTCTTCCCCTGTGAAGCCTGCAGCCTATGGCGGACATAAAAAAGAAATGTCTGCAGGTTTCAAGTCAGTCTAATGATACATTTTGATAGCTTTTGCTTTGTTGAGCGGCGCTTTTTATTATCTTTCTGATAAGGTTAAGGCCAAACACATGTCGTAGTGAGCAGCCTGCAGCCTAGCTGCTCTAATGAGACAAATAAATGAATTTAGCGTTGCCACATACGGCTCCCGAACGCTTATTATCAGGATTATTGTTGAACTCTTTCGAACAGGGGGGAGAAAATAAAAGATGCCGGATGGAAAAGGGGCATGATTGGCTGATGTTACATATGTCCTTGATTACCTTTCTCTGCTTTTATTCTAATAAGTGGCATTCTTTGTACTCCCTGGGACAGCTAGACAGTCTGACACACGATGAGAATAAATATTGCATGTGGTAGACATTAAGCTGTCATCCTGGGAGAAAAAAAAGGAGAGATGGAGAAATCCGTGTGGTGTTCTTCGGCGCTACACTTTGCCTGCTCTTGTCACAATTGTCACATCTTGATGACTCCCCCCACTCCACCACAGCCCCCCTTATTTTCTCTCGCCCAGTCAACCTCTGTGAATGACAGCATGGATACCCCATATAGAGAATTATTTTGGGTGGTGCAGAATGTACTCATCTGGGTTATTTGAATTTCTGATATTTGCAATTTTGTTCACCCCCTCTCCTCCCTCCCAAAAATATCCTTAAACAAGGCCGTAGCTTTGATAATGCGACCTCACCAGACATGAACCCAGGGCTGGTGGTTTGTTTGGTTTCATCTATCGTGTGCAAACACGAGTCAAAAGATTTCTCTTTAAAAAATTAATGGTTGTCGTTATCAAAGGAAAAAAGTTTCTTTAAAAAAGCTTGTTACCATCACACCCTCGAGGCTTGTTTGAGGTATGTGATGTGAGATGATGCTCTTAATTAAAGCTGCTCCCATTGTGCCTGCACTGGGTTCTGTTTCCACCAGCCCCTGATTGCTTTGAAGGCTGAAAGAAGATGACAATATTGGAGATAGTATGTCGGTGTGAGTGTGTGTGTGTGTGTGTGTGTGTGAGTGTGTGTGAATGTGTCAGATCTCCCTCCTTCTCAGAGGCTGATGTGTAATGCCTTTCCATCCGGCTGTGGCCACAGGGTGCAGAGAGCGTCTGCACTCTTGTCGCTCAGGAGCTCACCACTGGGAGGATGAAAAGCTTCCCACAGAGCCCCCGACTTCTCAGCCTCAAAAGCCACCATGAGCTCATACCCCTCATTTCTGTCTCCCTTCACAGAGGAAGGACAGAGGAGGGGGCTCACTATGTACTACACATGGTGAAGCATCTTAACCCCCCTATGCAGCTTGACGTTGTGTAGTCCAGGACCAGCAACACGGACTGGACCCCAGGTTTGGGCTGCCCCTGACTAATGATTCATCTGGTCAAGTAGTGGTTAGTTTAAACTTAACAGTCCCATTCAGACATTCAACCATGCAATCACACCACTCTGATAAATCATTACCCAAAACAGATTCACATCACGGAGAAAAATAAGCTTCATGTTATTGAGACACTGCCAAAATTAATGAAGATAATCTAATCTCCAAACTTTAACACGACAAAACAACCTTATATCAGCGATTTGGAATTAACCTCTCACAACCCACCAACAGTTCATTGATAAACCACTAGGGGTCGTAAACAGTACTTCAGGTATCACTTATTTAAGCCTTTTGCTGCTTAATTATCACATGTATATAATCCTAATTCAATAATCAAATAATAAATATATGAGAGTATAAAAATGTTATGAGAAATCCAATACTAGTTTTATCGCCCAGTAGTTCAAGTACTCCACATGTAGAGGCTGAAGTAATCATTGCGGTAATCATTGATTTCCGGCCTTGACTTTGCCGTGTCTTCTCCATTTCCCATCTGTCCTATCTGCCTTATTTGGGCACAAATACCCAAAATCATAACATTAAAAAAAGTTCTGTATAAAACAAAGCTGTAAACAAAGTCAGTGCAATGACAACACATTGGTAACACAGTGCAGGCAGATAAGAGGGTATGAAACAGAATCATGAAATATGGAGGAGGCTGTGATTACAGCTGATCAAACCACATTTGTGGATTTTAATCACATGAAATCACTCTGAGCATTTGGCACGTTGGTTTACAAAATGTTCAAGATCCAACTATGTTGAATAAAAACATAAGAAACTGAGTATTTGGGATGGTTTGCCTAGCAGTCTAAGCATGTGCCCCATGTATATAGAGGCCCCAGTCCTCAAGCAGGTGGGTGGCCCAGTTTTCAATCCAGCCTGGGGCCCCTTTTCCCCCCAGCACTCCCTACCCTCTCTCCCAGTTTCCCTCTCTATCCACCCCACTATCATCTCCAACTTATTATCATATTAACCTCCCCCAAGTTGACTGTAGTCTGAAATGTTGCTGATTTATTTAGACGGACTCAGTTTGCTTTAGTGAGTTCTTTAGCGAGCTAGCACCTGTTAATATGAAGTGAAAAAGCTCAGTAACCAAACAGCTGGTGAATCCCTGTGCAGCTCCTTCGCTCTCCACCTGTGGGTGTGTGTGATGAAGCTAAGGTGGATGCAGGTAGTGGATTACTTCCCATGTCCGTCAGCGTTCAGTTGCATCTGAAAGGGGTTCTTAAACTGGAGGTGTCGGCCCACCTTTTACAGGCTTAAGAGGCTAAGCACTTCTAATAAAGCCTACCTGTATGAATGTATGTCAGACATAAGGCTCAGGTCATTGTCTCAGGTAGCTGCCCCTGTACTTTCCAAACTCCCATTGTTTTTCCCTCCTGAGCCATTTAAGCAGATCAAAGCTCTGACAAAGCCCAGAGAAGCCCCAGGCATGCGGAAACACAGGAATTATCCCCCCCTCAGGATTCCCAAACAAAAAGACAAATAGACTAGCCCCAGAGGGTGGCCCCCTGTGGGACATCTCCATTCAGCACCAGCCTGTTGTGGAAGCTCCAATTGTTTTTGTCATTGCGCGATATATTGTCCTTTGAATTAGATGTGGTGTTGATACAACAGGCATTAAACCTAAAGCTAGAACGAACGACATTAAAAGCCTTTCCCCAGTTAACACAACCAAAACATAAAAAAGTCCTCTGAATATGTGAATATTTTGTAAGAGCTCGAGTAAGAGAACTATTTCCCCCCCTCGATTCAAGAGCAGCAAGAAAAAGCACAAACAAGGCTTGTTCCTTAGCTTTGTTTGAGCCTTCAAGCTGCTGAATGATTAGCAGAAATAATGTCCCTGTCACCCTTAATCACATTAAAACGTGGTTAACATTTAATTTTTCCCACTTGATATGCAAAAATTTCCACTTGATTTGCAGCAGAGGCCATTGGAATTCCATTATAAAAAGAATAAAAATTTCAGGCATCATTTGTTCAGAGAGGGATATCAAGACCAGAAAGTGCTGAATCTTTCTATTAAGGGAGCAGTGAGAGATGGCACTCAATGCTGGGACATAATGGGAGAGTGACAAGATGCACACACACTCACACACACCAAACACACACACACTTTTTTTTTAGTGTGTGTATGTGTGTAGTTGATTTCTGCAAACCTCTGTCTTACGAGAGCTAGTAAAAATGTTATCCATCTCATCCGTCTCATTATGTAAGTTCTTGACTTTCTTCTCTCTGTGGATGATATGAAGAAAAACACATCCTCCAAAGCCACAGAGGAGATTGATATTATATTTACTCACTGACACTAAGGACTTATAGATGCAGCGAGATTATGGTCAAGGTTTACATGCATGTCTTCATAAATGACACAAGTGCAAGAACAAAGGCCCTGTAAAATCTGCAGCATGTTTTACATTAATGTTTTCTCCCATTTGCACTACCCCATAAAACTCCACAGCAATAATTGGAAAGGACATAAACACAAATTGCAAAGTGGCGTGAGTAGACAGTGCTGAATTTGACAGAATCGCTTTTGGGAGCCATGTTGACAGAGCATCAAAGCTCTTAATTGACAGTGCTTTGTTTCCGGAGTTGAGGGAAGGGGGAGTTTCATGTTCCTGTGGCAAGGTGTTTGTCTGGTCCCGTGTCACTCAGTGCAAGGACCCAGAGACCCCCGTGCTCATTTGCGGCTCACGTTCTCCGTCTCGGCTCTGCATTATTAAAATCATCCCTCAGCCTTTCTACCAAGAGCCTCTTTGTTACTGGGCCGGCTTGGCTCGGCTCTGTCAAGTCTTCACCAATTACAGTCTCAGGTACAATGGTCTATTCAAAGGATCACAGCCCTTGACTGGTGTGGAGAGAGTGATTTGTGAATCATTATTCAGCCGCCTGTAGAGTACGCAATACCTGAGGAATGCAAATAACGTGCCACCAAATAGACAGCTGTGCTGGGAAAAGTGACAAACTACATCTGTTATTATCTCAGATTGGATTTTTTCCCCTCTTGGAGCGCCTGCCATCTCCTATGTTTTCACATTTCAGACTTTGACTAAATGTGTTTTATTTTCCTGTTTTTATTGGTGAAACATTCGCGACTATCTTATTGAGGTGGCAGTCAAACGTTAGCCTTGAAACCAAAATACAAACAGATAGGGAAATGTTGGGCTGCGACCAGAGGGACAAACTGGCTCATGAGTACTTTCAAATGTACCCTTTAGTGTTATCCAGGGTGGTTGGGAAAAACATCCAGTCAAACTAAAACTGTGCTCTTCACACCTTTTCTTTCTTGTCATATATTGTATATTGATAATCATTAGGTAGGAGCAGTGATGTGCTGCTATAGGTGATAAGGGGTGACATTGTTATTGGAGTAGATGTGGTATTGAGGTGGTCGGGTCCCTCCCAGTCTTTGATTCCTATGGGCCTTAAACAGGAAACTAGGATTACAGATAATGACAGGGACCCCTTTCGAATCAATCCAGCCTAGGAGCTGTGTCAGGACCGGCGTGTGAAAATGGATTTATGTGATGCTGTTCTTTGAGACCCGTCCAATCCCAGCCTGAGAGCATGTGGGGCTAATCTCATAATTGCCCCTAACTCCCTCATATTGTTCCGACTGAGAGTTACTATTAAGTGCGAGGATATCTTTGTCCTGCAATGTCAGGTGTCCTGCTGCACCGAGAGACAAAAGGAGAAGGAGACTCGGGTAGTGGAGTGAATGACAAAGGTGTTTATGAGGGAGAAAGTGCTGGAACTTCCTGCCTGGTTGTTTGGTGCTGTTTGGTAAATTAGGATTACGGAGTTGTATTTGTTATGGGCAGAAAAATATACGGAGAAAGAGCTAACATACGAGTAAATTTACTCAGCTGCGGTACCTAAATGCAGGTCTTATTTTCATTGTCATTACATTCTAGTGTTATACTTCTTTCCCTCTAAACTGCTGTTTTGCAGATAATTTTCAGTGAAAAATTGATGATCAATTTATGCTCACAGACTATATTTAATCTTTCAGTCTTTGTTAATCTACTTTTATTCTGGCCCCACTCAAAGCTATTTTCTCATTTTTTTATATTTATTGTTTTTTCTTTGCCATTTTCCTTTATTTTTCTTATTTAAAGATAGAGATAATTTACTGGGGCATTTTTACATATTCTTGATCTAAACTTATGCAATTTTATTTATACAATTTACAAAGAACAGATTTTTTTTTAAAGCTCCCATGAAAAACTTTTTGGATCGTGTGGATTTTGGCGCCCCCTAAGGGCCCTCCCTGAGAGTGGTGCCTCTTAACTGTGCGCCAAGTTTTTCTTGTACATTTGTCAGTGATGTTTTTCAACAGAAAATCAAACCTTGCTTTATCATTTTTTAAGAAACTTTGCTGTTTAAAAAAAAAAAGGCAAGTACAGCAGCGCAACTCTTCACAACTAGCACCTAAACCTGCCAATCATCTATAACATTTATATTCACTATTTAAAATAGTCAGCTTTGATGTTGATGGTAGTATTTACATTTTTAGGTCATAAAGAGGCATCAGAACATATTTCAGTCGGTTTCGTGATCAGCTTAAATGGAGCTTTAAGTCGCTTAAAAAAATGAATGTTGTCACATAATCAACTGAATTTGATTATTTGCAGTTGTGGATTTAAAAGTTCAGTAATTTCACATCTTTAATTCCAAAACTACCATGCACAAGAGTACAACACGATGCAGTCCAAACACCCCTGTTTATCAGTGCATGAAGAGTACTTTCCCTTGGGTTAGTTTGAGTGTGGTTTGGTGACATTACTCTGTATTATAACTTTAGCAGGATTTTAAATGCAGGGTTTTCACTCATTAAGAAGTATTGGCTGCTACAGTGACTTTTTGAAATATGTTTGTGTTTATGCTGTTTTGTGTGAGCATGTCAGCTCTGATGTTATATAAAAAAGTTTTTCTAAGAGAAGAGTTAAACTCGGCGACAGAAATGCCGCCACTCTCCTGCAAACACTCACCTGTGCAGCTGCTCTCATGAATATACATTGACCGGCGTATTAATCAAGTCTTCTCTCTCTGTTATTTTTTTCCCTGTATCTGCTGATTTGACCAGGCTAGTGAAAATCAAGGAGTGGGTGGACAGTCATGACCCCGGCGCCTTGGTCATCCCCTTTAGTGGCGGCCTGGAGAACCAGCTCCAGGACATGAACGAAGAGGAGCAGCAGCAGTACTGCACGGAGCAGAAGACGCAGAGGTTAATTAGCATTCAGTCTCCCCACACTTTATTATCAGCTGTGTCCTCCATGCACTCCTTTAATTGCATGTGCTGATAGAATAATAAATGGCAGAGTAATTACCATTATAAAGCAAAGGATCCCTCTTCTTACCGAACAACTCAGTCAAAGGGTTTTCCTCTAAATTAAGTTTTTAACTGTCATCTGTCATCTGTAGGTATAATTATAACTTGGGCATTTTGGGTGTATTGTTCTCACGTGAAAACCTCTATGGAGAGAAAATTTTTGACAGTAGATTGTTTTTTTTTTTTTTTTCTCCCGTGAAGAGGGAGGCATGGGATTGAATTCTTAAAAATGCTAAATGAGTCTGCGAGCTTTGTAATTAATCAAAGAAACCATTGGAGAGTTGAATGTCTTGTGTGAAACCAAGTGACCCATCTTATTCTCTTAATGAGTTCATATTGGGATGAATGGGGCCTTTGCCACCGCATTGAACTTTGTCTTGGCATCAGTAGCAATAAATAACACTTCACCAGTTTAGACCTCCTCCATTCAAACTGGGATTTCTTTCCACCAGTGCCCTGAGCAAGATCATCAAGGCCGGATACGCAGCCCTGCAGCTGGAGTATTTCTTCACTTGTGGTCCAGACGAGGTCCGTGCGTGGACCATTCGGGTAAGAGCCAGCCGCCTGCTGTGCACATACATGTGAGCGTGTGTACCAGACACACACACGCAAGCACACACACACATAGACACACAAATGAATCCACACAGTGTCCCACGTTCCAGCCTGCTGGCACCCTCACTGATATCACACACTTTCAACTTTGTCATGGTCGTGCTTTAGCCAGTCATTACAGGCCAAGGATAACTTCAATTACATGTGAGCTGCTGAACAGTGAAAGTGGGGGCTACATTGATTGAGGAGGGCAACAATTGATTTTGCCCATTACGTCCATGAGAATGTTTCCATCCTGTGCAGATCTGCCTGCCCTCCTCCTGCCGCTGGAGATAAGGAGCCGCTGCATTGTGCCTGCCTAATCTGTGTGACGGAGGGTGTCTGTGCCAAAATTGATGTCGCTTTTCATTCGGCTGTTTGTGGGCCTTGCTGGGGGCTCCTCCCTCCTGTGTGTCTCAGTTTACTGAGCGCGGGCCGCCAAGAGCTTTGTGCAACAAGATCGCAGGATTTACATCAATACAGATGTTGGCTTTGCATGCTGGTGTTGTGAAGAAACGCTTTTTTGCTCTGCAGAAAATAGGAGGATTGCTTTCAGATATAATAAGATGTTTGGTCAGAGCTTATTCATCATTAGTTTATGCCGCTTGTTAAGAAATTATAAAAACAACTTTTCAAAAGACACTTTGTGAGGATCTAAGATTTGGGTTATGTCCCATGCAAAATAATAAATCCAAATTATTCCTCAGATGCTTGAAGTGATCAACATTTTGAATTGAATTTTACAACGCAGCAAACATACAATTTTCCAACAAACACTTTTTATGAAGTATTGTTTTCAGCAATAACATCAATTGAAAAAATCTGTCACCAAACAGATCCTCCCTTAATCCAGCGTTCACATATTGATGACAAAATGAAAGAACTTCTTCTGGTTTCTTTTGTGGACCGGGCAGCCACAAATGATGTTTATTTTCAAGCAATAACCAGAAAAACAAAACATGACGCACTTTGACCATAATTGCAGATGGTGCTAAAGTGAAAATTAGGCTTAAACTTAACAATGTGTGTGTGTGTGTGTGTGTGTGTGTGTGTGTGTGTGTGTGTGTGTGTGTGTGTGTGTGTGTGTGTGTGTGTGTGTGTGTGTGTGTGTGTGGCATATCTTTTGTGGGGGGTTTAAGATTATTTGAAGATTTTGATAAAGTATTTACATGTTTTAACATGTTTTTATGTTTTCATTGAAAAATCTGAAAAACAAAAAAAGTTCAATATTACTTGTTTGTTTGTTTGTTGCTAAATCAGATGAAAAAAAATCATGCATGCATGATTTATTAATGTCACCAAGATGTTTTGAATTATATTCTGTTACAAAGAACTATTGCTCCATTGAAATGTACGAATCAGAGCAAATTATTTCATTATCTCACAAATTGAAGGAAGTCTGTTAATATTCTGTCATGAGATCACGAAGTTCCCCTCTGAGATAAACGTGGGTGAGTCTGGATACCAAATAAACAAACATGATAGCTCACATTAACATTTACCAAAAATATAAACAAAAATTAAAAAAAACAAAATAACATACTATTCATCCAACTGACTGTGAGAAAATACACCGGCAGATGAACTATTTACCTCACAAAAGGACACCTTACAGAACCAGAATAAAGGGAATATTTATAGATTTAAGAATAAGATAGCAAATAATAAACAACCAGTCAACAACTGGACGAGCACAGGATATGTAAATAATAAAGCTATGTACAGAAATCACAGAGCATTCAGAAAAACAGTCAGTTGTGTATTTTTTTAACAGTAAGTTATGTATGAAAAGTGGAGAGAGTTGTGGAAATATGTCCAAGTGCAGTATGCAGCAGTGAGCAGTAAAAGGACATCTTCCAGTGCAGTGATGTTGGGAGGTCAAGTTTTAATGATGGATGTGTTACAAATTGTGACCTGAAATGACCTTTCAGTGTTTAACACATAAAAGAACTCAGCAGAGATTCAGGTATGTTGGTTTTAAAGACTGTGTGCTCTCTCTCAGCTTCATTTTAGGATGCTGCTTTTTCTTCATCGTGAGAAGAAACAGAGACACTGATGTTAAAAATAAACAATGCACGCAGCACACCACGCTTGTCTCCATGAGCATTAAACTGCATGAAATTGCAGATAAATATTTGCATTAAAGCCACAAACTCATTTTTATGTCATTTTTGCAAAAAGATGAGCCACCTGTAGATAAATAGATTTATATTTTATGTATTTTTGCATCAGGTCTTGTGTCAGTTAAGGTAAAACATGCCCACACAAGTTGGTAAACAGGAACTTTTGGTAAATATTTTCTCGATGGCTCCTTAGACCTGAGGGGAAGGTGAGCTCACTTCCCTTTTTTTTCCCTCCTTTTTTTACACAAGACACATTACATTTTAGTCAGATGACATCACCTGTCTCAGCATGACTGATGCCCTGGCTATTTACAAAAAAAGTCCTGAAACACTTCAAAGGCATCCTCACAAACAGGCCTGTCCTCCCCGACATAACTGATTACAGGCAGCCTTGATTGTGTGTGAGGGGCATTTAGTCAGGTAAGCATCAGTGGGTAACTATATTACGCCAATACATCTTGCATTGTAAAAACTACACTCAGTAATGTCGTGTTCCTAAATCCTTTAACATGCTTTATTAGGCAGCCTCGAGGTGACCATTATCTATCAGCCTGCTCTGCATAGCTCTTAACTAGGACAATGTGGCTCTCTTGTCTGAAAAAAATCCCTCCCTTAATCTATTTTTCTGCAGATAGACAAACCTTGATGCTGATTAATGGTAGTTAAACTCACAAGCACTCCGTCAATGAGATTGCAAAGAGATGGTAATGTATTAGAGTCATTAAATACGCATCATTCTTTTGGCATGAAATATGTTGACCCCAACCTGATTATATACATAATTAAAAGTACTCAACAGTTCCTGAGCGCGCACACACACAGAGCTGCAGAGCAGAGAGGGACGGAGGAGCGGCTCGACAGGCAGGAGTCACAATGATGCACAGCAGACACGTCACTTATTCTGGTCGTTTGTCATTTCTGCCCTGCATTATTCTAGTGCATATAAATTGCACATTTTATCAGTAACAAGGTGTGTTTGAGAGATTTAAAGAGGATTCAGAGCACATGAATAGACCCAAATTTAAGATTGTTGTTCAGAGTTTTTCTTTAAAAAAAAATCTGAATTAAGTAACAGGAGGGCAAAGTGATATACTCTATATGACACGTAATATAAACAGTAGCTTTGACCATACTCCTCTAAATGTCATTTAAATCCTGTTCAGCACCTTTTTTTGTGAGCGTGCTTCCCTCAAGTGCTTCAGATATGTACAAATAGGCAAAATAAGGGAAAAGAATTAGTACAGAAGTAGAGCATGATTTAAATATGAGTTTAAGATCAAATTAATATTTGTTAGAAATTGTTTTTTAAAAATTAACCTATTTACAGGACAGCACTATAGGTCCAGCAGCTTTAACCACAGTGAAATATTCTTAAAGTTTTGGATTTGAATGAGCAAACTCAGACAGAAAGGCCTAATGCAGTGTGGTCTACACTGCTCAGGCCTTTCACTGCAACTCTGGGTCGTCTTGCTGTCATGACCAGAGAGCCAAGCAGCGACCCACAATGAGGCGAGATTGCCTGGACAGAAATCAATACCAGCAGGGGATGGGAATCAGAAGGCATTGATAGCAGCACTGGGTCCTTATCGCTGTCCAGGCTGCCCTATAGCAGGGCCACAGCCGAGTGAAAACACCCCTGAGTGATGCTCACAACGCTATCACCCTATCAAACACCATGTCGCTCGCATGCTGCAATCCATCTTCTCCAAAACAATTCATTTGTCCTCTCTTTTCCTTCTCTTCCTGACAGAGAGGAACTAAGGCTCCACAGGCTGCTGGGAAGATCCACACCGACTTTGAGAAGGGCTTCATTATGGCGGAAGTAATGAAATTCCAGGATTTTAAAGAGGAAGGCAGCGAGAACGCTGTCAAGGTGAGCAGTCAGGGTGCCGAAGGATGAGGAGGAAGTCTCCTGTGATCAGTGGAGCTGACAGCCGGCACGCAGCTCCCAACTGCAAACTGCTCTTCACCTTTACTCAGGGGAAGAAATTACTGCACACACTCCAGCAGCACTCCTGACAAGCCGACTGATTCAGGCTCTAAACACTGGCAGTCTGCTCCAGCTGTGCATATCTTTATCACAATGTGTCTTAACTGGCTGATGGTGGCTCTCAGAGGCAGCACTTCTTCACCTCACCAGGCGTTTATCAGATCTATAGAGAGCACTGTTAGCTCCAAGTCCTCTTGCTGCACTGTAGGCGTGTGATAGTGATACAAAGCGGCAAGTTAAATAAAGTGTGAAATCCCTCAAATAAGAACTGTCTCATGGCTGGGTAGGGCAAAAATGTGACTTCTGTGTCTTATTCCTATGAGGGATTGTGTTTGTTTTGATCTTTTTAACAAGGGCCTCTGTGCACACTCGTGTCACACGTGATTACTGATTTCATGGTGAATTTGTGGAGACTGTGCAGGCACTGCATGCAAAAGCGCTACAGTGCTTTTCTTTTCCAAAAATCTTGATCTCAAATCTACATTCAATAACTGATACAATCATCTGTTTCACACTCTAGGATGCCTCAAAGAAAGAACTTTTTATGGGGTAATTTCCAAAAATACACATTTTTTCCTATCTTTGTTGTACCAGACATATCCTCACTGAGACACAGTGAAGCCTGGCCAATACAACATTATGATAAGTTTAAGATAAGATGACAAATAACAGGCTATAAACAATTTATTTGCAATGCTAAGGAATGAGACGACTACAGTCTACTGGATGTTGACTTTGCTCAGACCATGATGAGGAGACGAGGGAGTGTAAATTAAAAACATAAAGTTTGCTGCTGAAAGTTTTAGTAGTCAGTCCAGAACAATCATAAAAAGTCAGCTAATGTGGAGGAAACTGTTGCAAAAAGTAAGAAGCATGAGTATTAAGGCAACTATAACCTTCCTATGTGTGACATATGTGAGCCGCAGCTGTACCCATGCTGTCACACTCTCACTACTGCAACCAGCGACTCCATGTGCCCCCTTACACACTCCACTAATGTAATTATGGAGACACACAGAGTGGTAAAGGAGCACCATGAAAACATTGAAATCTCTTTCCCATTCAAGCCCCCTTTTTTAATAAGTATTTAGTATTTAATGCAGCGGCAGTGTATTGTCCACACCCTCCTTAAGCTGCAAACAGAGAGTGAAATGTGCGACTCTCTGGGGAGCTCCTCTATTGTTATCCCGGGCCGAGATCTGAGTGTCAGGTCCTTACTGCATGCTCTCTTACTAATCCCTTTTTGGGGCCTCATAAGAACATGAAGCGTCTCTGACTGTGGCATTAAGGTCCGTGCTATTTAATGCCAGTTGTGGGAATAGGCTGTTTGAATAAGGCCAGTGTACGGGGATATCACATTATTAGTAATCATATCTGCTTAAGCCAAGCTTGCTGCTCCAGATGGCTGCTTTCAAGTGCAAATGAACCAGTTAGACGTGTCTGGTTTAATACATACTCAGGAATCACAAATAGCCATTGATTTTTTTTCCTGTCTCCCTCTCCATGCAGTGTTTCTGGTGGTATTGAGCTCGGATTAAATGGTCTCCTGAGCCTTTAAAGGGACATTGATTCTTCTAATTAATTGTGCGCCGTGCAGAACCAGAATGCATAAACCTGTCCGTATTAGCACTTCAAGTCAATTATTTTGAGTTTGCCGGGAAGGAGAACAAACACATACTGTACACAAAAGAAATGTTGGAACTTATTTTGTTTCCTTGAGAAGTTTGACAGCGCTGTAATCAAAGCCTTATTAACATTTTGCGCTGGTGCACATGAAACCGAAATGGGCACAAGAGAGGATTATTCACTCAGTGGGAATTCAGACGCCCCTTGAACAAAACATGGATGCAAGTGTGTGTGTAAATGTGAGTGAGAAATGAGAGAGAAAAATAAAGGGAGGAAATATGACACTTTTTAATAGGAGTGATAATAATTAAGTTGTAAAAAAAAAAAAGATGAGACACTAATTAGGAACCTGTAATAATTTCACGTTTTTGCTCTTTTTTTTTTTTGTTGTAAGATGCTCTAAAAAAATGATGAGTCAAAGTGTATGTGACATTTTTTGACCTGTGCATCACTCACTCCTCTGTTTTAATCTTTTATGTTGATTATTTTCTGTCTTTGTTTTCTGCAGGCAGCAGGGAAATACAGGCAGCAGGGGAGAAACTACATTGTTGAAGACGGGGACATCATCTTTTTCAAATTTAACACTCCAAACGCACCAAAGAAGAAATGATGCAAGAATAATCTGACTGTTTACATAACTGACTATGCTTCTTACCCCCCACCCCTTCCTTTTCTTCTTTGCCTTGCTGCCACACTCTCACTTTCTGGGATCAACCCCCCCCCTCGTGCCAAAGCACAGGTTCAGTAAACTCTGACAGCTTTGCTATTTAAGATCAGGATCGGCCCCCACTCCAAATTGTAGCAGCATTTGAAGGAGCATATTACTCTCCAGATACTTCATTAATCTCCATCACGGGTGCCAGCGCTGACACAGCTGACAGCGGGGACAATGCCACCTGCTCCTCTCCCCCTTCAGCAGATAAAGCATGTTTTACAGTAGCCCAGATGTCTACACTCAATAAAACATTTGACAAAAACCAGTCTGTGTGTGTTTTGGGATGTCTGTATTGAGTAGGAAGCTGCATGGGGATGGTGATAGCGCTTCTGTCGACCACTGATTAGAGAATTAAAAGACACAGCTGACATTGACTGTAGCAGAGAGGGGACGATTACAATTAAATCAGTTAAGTGATGCTGATTTTGGAAGGGCGCGTGCAGGATGCAGGTGTTTCTCCCAAAAGAGCCGGTCAGTTTCAGCGATAATTTGTAAAGTGATTGAGTTAACCTTTTTATTTATGATTTTAATTTCTTTTTGAATTAATGATTGTGTGTCTTTCAACTTCTCAACTGTTACAACAGCACTCCTAAAATCCTAAAACTCGGACAAAAAGCATCTTTGTTATGTTTAAAGTGTCTTTCTACAACCTCTAAACAATGAGAGAAAATATACACCTCCAAAAGTGATAAAAGAAACATTCATTCAAACCAAATTTCCACAGAAAAAGTCCACATTTTTTGATATTCTATATAGTATGAAAATAGACGTTGGCACAATCCACAAGCCCAAGCCGAAAACGATTCCTTTTTGTCTGAAGTAGTGTTTTTCTCGCTCCCTATACTTTGTGTGTAAGTGTTTGTGAAGCGTTTATGCTGATGGAATTGTATGGCTGCAGCCGTGGTGCTCCAAAGTAAGATTGTGTTCTCGGCTGGAGTCCGAACAAAGAGCCGCAGATCAGCAGTGCTTTGCTTGAATATCTCGTAACCATTAAGTCTGCAGAGAACGAAATGGCCTTTTGATGGGAACAAAAAAAAAGATTGAATAAAAATGGTTATTTTGCAGCGATAGTATTGCATATCCAAGTTTTGGATGGGATGTTTTATGGAGCCGAGCCTGTGCTAGCACCACAAAGCACAGTGTTTGTCATGGAAATAAGGTGGATTATAGTCTTTAGGGTTTAAGATCAGTGGCAAAATATAGGATAGTGTTTATTGTGCTTAGATGGGACGAAAGACAGATGACAACATGTGTATAAAATCACATTAAGCCCACTTTTTGTGACAGTTTTAGCATTAACCACAGATTTTAATCATCTGAAAATTTTACATGCAGAAGACTTAAACATTAACAGTTTTCATTTGCAGCTCGCTTCAAAACAACAGGCTGTTTTGGGCTCACTGTTTTTAAGTGAAACCATACAAATCCTCTAGGGAGCACAATGGGGGCTTGAGACAGAACTGTTTTTGCATTCCTCCTGGGGTGGTGGAGCTGGTGGTGCTGGTGGTGTTGGCCAACCTAAACCCCACATAGAGGATCATTCATCTGCTGCAGTTTTGAGGCTCAGGGATTGATGAGTTGTTCCCAGTGGTCTGGCCTGGAGGATTTTGTTTTTCATAAAGTGACAATAAATCTTCTCTGGGCGAGTAATAAAGCTATTTAGAATCGTGCAGATGTAGAAAAGGAACAAAAGAGTTCAACAAAGTCCTGTCTTCAGTTAGTGTGTCCTGAAAAAGCTGTTTTCTGGTTTCATACTTACAATTTTGCTGTCAGAGAAGAGGCACGATTTAATGACTTATAAACTCATTGGATGTCTTGTCTGATTCATAAAAATATAACCCATATTTAACAGTAAAAACACATTTGTAAACATTATTATAGGTGACGTAGGTGGGTTGTAAAAGAAGTACGACATAACCCAGATGAAATAAAAACAAGTCCAGAAATGTGACATATTCTCTGTTGGTACAAATGTTCTGTCAGCTCCATCAATCACACGGTGCCGCTCTGCCTCGAGGCAAACCACAGTGGCATCAAACCAAGAAGGGCACAGAGTGGAAAGCTCACTTTAAAACACACACCCCACTGCCTGCTGCTGTAAATCACGCACACACACACAGACACACACACCAAAGACTTTTGAAGAATTAAATAGAGGAATGTGAGAGTTATAACAAATAAACATATAAATAACTTTGGCATTTTGCAGAACAGTAACTGTGCACAAGGGATTGTGTTGGTGGATTTGATGGTTGTTGTAAATGCATTGTATTATTATGGGGAGGAAATTATCTCTATAAAAAGTGTTGCCATGTTGTAATTATTCCTATTGTGTGACTTCTCTGTCTGACACATGCACCATATACGACACGGACAATACACATGAAATCAATATGTAACCAGTTTTGACTAAGATGACACTTCATTTTCATTTGAGTGTTTGTGTATAACTTCCTCTCATTCTTGTTGCACTATAACGATACTTTGATTTATTGCTGTGTCTTGCAGTGAAGAACAAACAGCTCAGCAGAGAAAAAATAGAAGATAACTGGAAGCTGACAAGTTTCCTTGTACTTTTGTTCAAATCTGAGCTGCCAAAGTAATTTCAAAAGACTACCTGTGCCGGTGTGGCGTTTTTGTTACAAGTTATTTGAACATTTTTTCCAAATAATATACAGGATTTTTTTTTCCCTTTTTGATTATAAAATTGTGCACAAACATCTCCAAGTGTATTGATGTACCTCTCTGTCACATTTCACTGCCTCACTGCTAAAAACATTAAACTGATTTAGTCACATTACAAAAGGGGACATTTGATCTCATGTTGAGGAACAGCAGATCCAGAGATGTGGTCAGAGGTAGCATCAGAACCCACTGAAGTCTCATTGGCTACCTCAAAATCCTAAATGATTGACTTTTTGCATCATTGAGGGTGGGACTCGGAAATGATGCTTGAAATGCTTCTGTGTTGCTATTACATTCAACTTGTAAACATGAGGGGTAATGCATTGTGAGCAGGAGGTTATGCAAATTTTAATCCAAACAACCCGAGCAGGACCTGGATATGGTGAGTTGTTTCAGTGTTTTTCCATCCTGGACTTATGCAAGGGGGACGTAAAGTACGTGTCTGAGATCCAAGCTCTCTTAATGCTGTCTTTCTCCTCTCTTCTTTTTTTCTTTGTTGGCCAAACATCTTAAGTTTTGTGCTCTCCAAATAAATAAAAAGTTGTATCAAAAATATCCTCCATGTTGTTGACAGATTTAGTCACATCATACATTTTTGCCTGACTCCTCTTCTGCATATTGACTCGATATAATGTGAGTATTACACCTGACATCACTTTGATTGGTTTGGTTAGTTTGGTTAGTTATGAGGTTTTGAATAATCAGAACCAACTATACCATTAAATTCAGGGATACAACATCTAGATAATTTGATGTTGAGAGAAAGTAAACTGACTTACAGTGCATTGTGCTTTTCTTGTCGTTCCAGCCACTTCAGGCGCTTTTACACTACACTTCACTTTCACCCATTCACACAACATTCACACATTGAAGGAAAAGCACTCTATACGTGTGTGCGTGCGCGTGTGCGTGTGTGTGTGTGTGCGTGTGTGTGTACATATACAGTCTATAGTACACATGTACTTTATGTCACCCTTGCATCAGGGCCTGAGTGCATTGAATCAACTCACTTTATTCTACATTCTTTCATTATGCACTGACACACACTCATATTGTAAGTAACTTCTAGCTCTCTCACACATTTCTTAGCTACAACTTTCACATACTTATCGTTTTTTCTATGTTTGTCTTGTGATTAATATTCCTATATGAAGAAATACCTCTTTATAGGCCATTACCTGTACACAAAGCTCTTTGTTCTGTTTACTTTGTCCAGCAGCCAATAAAGTTAATGCACAGAGTAAATGCATCTTCTAAGAATGCTGATCTTTAGCTGTACAATTTTTTTCTTAACCTTTTATGCAACTGCCTTTGACTCCAACCCTTACCATATATGTGCAACAAATGAATTTGTCCTCCGACAAAGAACTTTATAGAGGATTGTTGCTGTGCCTCAGCGTTGTCCATAACCCACATTTGATATTCCATGCACATGTCTCCGTGCTGCACCAGATTCAATTCTCGCTCTCAGGTCCCATTTACAGTGTCCCACAAGGTGCCTCCAGCAGGGCAGTTTCTCTCTGTGGGGTCACTCTTTCTCAGACTGGCCTCCATAAAAACAACTGTCAATATGTTAATATGAAACACTCAGAGCCATTGAACTCAGTCAGTTACCCATCTTACCCTTCAATATTTGTACATGTTGTCAAAACACTTGAGTTCACTCTAAGAAAAGACTCTTGTATTTGGGTACTGCCTCTAATCAAATATCCAATGTACATATATTTAAAAATAGATCTGTATCATTTATATCATATTCCTCTGCAACAAAGTGAAGCTGGGGAATGTGTTAATATTCAGAGACAAGATCACTGATACTCATATTTCCATGTATATGAGTATAGATGTGTTGAAAACTCCAACTAGGTAACAGCTCCTCAGACTTCACAGCTTACCCTCATGAGGTGAATACAAGGTCTGTCAATACAATTTCATTTCCTTTGTTTGCAACTCAAGCCAGGGACAACACTCAACGTTTGGGGACAAACACTGTGGCAGCTATATGTCTTGTGTAGGCTGTTGTGTCCACCTGGGTGTTGCATTTGTGCTGCTTATAGGATATTTGACTTTTCCCTTTAACTTGGAGGTCTTTGTAGAAATTGTTGATACGCTTCCAAGGACTCCTGGAGTAAGACAGACATAGCAGCGAGGTTTTTCTAAAGCTGTTTCCATTGGCCTGTGTTTACCTGACACTTGGATTGACAGCAGAGTGATTGGAAATATCCACCATTCACTGCCGTGAGCTCCTGAGTGCACGGAAAGTGCTTTTGTAGTCTGGCTGTAATGGGCCAAGTTTGAATTGAAGGTTGAGAGAAATAGCCTCACTGCGGTCGCGCACTGTGAGGAACTGACACACCACAAATAATACTCAGAAGTGGGGTCCTGATAGCATCACAGAGCAGGTACAATAGCATGCAGGCACTCATTTCAATGCACTCTCACAATGCTGCACAGTGCGCAACCAGATGGAGGGGAAGGAATGCAGTCAGACATAGACTGAGATTGTGTCTTGATTGCGTTGAAGTAATCAACACAAAGGACATCTTAAATTTATCTGCTGATAACAAACCTCTACTGGTTTGCAAAAGCATTTGAGAGCATGCACTGCATTAGCCCCATAAACTGAGTCCATATGGTTGTTAAACTTGCAAAAAAAAAAAAGGTGATTCTTCACAGGTTTTCAACTGTAACTTGGTTAATCAACATTACATGCTTTTCCTCTCCTGTTTTCTCTGTTCAGTGGGTCACATTTAAGCAGGTCACTTACTCAGTCTTATAAGAAACAAGTCACAAGCAGAAGTTAGTAAAATTAGTGAGTTCTGTGGAACTCTAATTCATCGTACCAACTTCACAAACCAGCGAAAATTTAACAAGTAAACAACAGTTTAGTTTCCTGACACTCCCTCAGTGGGAGTCAACGATCTGTCAGCACTCAAGTGTTGGTTAAAGCCCACGGCTGAGACTCTGACACGCTTCATTTCTTTGTCAGTTTTTTTTCTCCTTTTTTTTTTAATCTTACAATTACAATTAAATATCAGCAGAGTTAGCAGCTGTTACCACTGTATCACACTTATTTATGTGTAATTACTGATCATGATATTTAAATGGTCAGAGATGTTTCACATAAAAGTGCTGTTGTATTTTTTTTAAGGAACTTACATGGTCTATGGTCAACTTATTATGGTCAACTTACCCCGTGTTTGGGGTAGGTTGAGCTGTTTCCCTTCTACCCCCCCCCCCACTCTGCACCCCAGCCCTCCCTCACCATCTCTCTCCCTGAATAACAGTTGCTTCTACACATTCATGTGTATTTTTATCTATTATACGCTATTTAACAGGTACATTATTTTTTTTATCATGATTGCATATAACTGCTAAAAAGCTGTTCTGTAAAAAAAAAAAAAAAAAAAAAAAAAAAGGCGAGAATGTCTTTAAGTGATAAAGAACATTCACAGCTGTATTTTTGAAAAGAAAAAGTAACACATTTCAACAATCTGAACTGAAACTCTGATCATCTCATCAGACTCCTTTACTTTCTTAGTTGAAACCACTAGCTCAACTTACCCCTGAACTACTATTATGACTTTATTAGTCTTCTAAGCTAAAATGGTGGACTTTTGTGCTTGGTTTTTGACCTTATGTTGTAGCTCATAGATACCACAACTGATGTATAAAACAAATTTAAACTGATCTTTCTTGGTCTGAACACAATTCTAATAAAACTTATGACAGACTTTTTATTTATTTATTTATTTATTTATTTTTTTTTTTTTGGGGGGGGCGGTAAAATGTCTAACCCCTTCACACATTTGCTCCTATCCTTCACAGACGCCATGAATTGATGCCCGTCTCCTAAATATTTGGTCACATGATCAATTTCTTTTACCATTTCCAAACAACAGGGGGTGGCTCAACTTACCCCAGTCTCCCCTATATTCGTGAGGTTTTCACAAGCTTCATTTGTAGTTCAGTTTTCACAAGCTTCATTTGTAGTTCAGTTTTCACAAAGCTTGATTTGTAGTTCAGACACGGAAAAGATCACCTCATGGTCCCACTGCAAATTACAGTTTTGTTACTGATGCAAATAAGACTTATTTCAGGTTTATTTCAAGCCTATATTTACTACAGTCTTTTGTGTAAATGACAGCAAAACATAAGAAAATGAATTAAGGTTCATGGTTTACAGCTGCTAACACTGCACTAAATTCCACAAGCTTTTGTCTGAACAATGATGTAAGTTAAAGTACACCATGTAACTTCAATACCCACAACCATCTTCTCTGTTAAACTGATAATGCATAATAAACAGGAAAATACGCCAACAAAAGATGATTGGCATGTTGTCCGACCAATAAAAACACCGCGTGTGAAACAAGTAGCCAATCACGTTTGCGCAGTACGGCGGGATTTCCGGTGTGTGACGTAATAGTCCCAGTCAACAGTGGAGGCCCCACCCTTTGTGTTACCTACCGCCCGTCAATCAAAATAGAAAAAAATCCTGACACTTATCAAGCTTTTTTTTACGCGTACACAATCAATTTAATTTGCTGATCATGTCGGGTGGCTTGTGACCATCGGGACGCTCCGTTACAAAGCAATGACTGGTATGTTGTGTCTTATCTTATCCTTCACCCACGTAAGCTAACAGGCTAACAGGCTTCCTCCGGCTAATGTAGCTGCTAGCAGGTTAGCTGGAGTATTTGTTAGTGATCATGCTGATCAACGCGGGCTAAGGGAGCTATACCATCTTTAGCCAGAGCTAAACTAGATAGCTTAGCTTAAATGGCTAGTCTGCTTGATGCTCATCATCAGCAGCTGGCTCTGTTTAAACTCTACGGAAACTACATGTTTTCTCAGTGGGGTTCGGTGCAGTCGGGATAGAGTAATCAGCTGGTTAGCAGATGTTTATCAGCGTGTTTAAAGTAAGCTCTGTTGATTTTTAAGCTAACACTAGCTTATTTCTTTCTGCATCTCTGACATAGCCCCAGATCAACCCATGAAATCAGACGATATGGCTGCATTGGACGTGGACAGCAGTCAAAGCGACTTTCTGCAGCAGCAGGGGGACAACAGGGGCAATCAGGTAAGATCCCTCTCTCCACTACTCCTGTTGGACGTCGATGCTACGTCTGCAGCACCTGAGTGGTAACTCAAGTCCAAGCATTTCAGTCTCGAAGGGGGGTATAGTACCCTGATTTGAACCTCTCAGGCAACACGTCCTCTCAGACGGCTTAAAAATCCCGCCTCCTGAAGTGACAGGTTGCAAACTCCTGACAGACCTGAACTCTACATGGGTGTTACGCAAGTTGCTGCCTGGGGGGGCTCAAACACAGGACTAGAAACTCCTTTTAGCCTCAAACTTCAGACTTCGCTTTTAGGTACGGTGGCCGAGAACCTCCATTGCTACAATTAAAAAATGAATGCAAAAAAAGAAGTCACAACAGAAGTTACTGATGCAAAAAAGGAAAGAAACCGAAGCCTGCTGCAAATACAAAAAAAAACAACAACAAAAAAAAAAACAGCCACTACGGAAGTTGACAACGCAAAAAAGTTGTGATGACAAAAATGTTACCTATGCCAAAATAAAAGGATGCAAAGAAAAGCCACAACGGAAGTGAGCTGCCGGGGACCAATAAAGGTCCTTACACACCAGGGCATGAATATAGAATGTGAAATCACAAAATATGCGGAGCAGAATTCTGACGCGCCTGACTATACACATACAAGCCTGATGCGATTTTGTGACTTTCCGGGGGGAAAAGATGCGTCACGGGGAAGACTTTTCCGGGGGACGCCTCCTTCACCTCTGATTGGCTAGAAAAGCTGGAAACGTCATCACACGCTCAAGCCAAACGGTCAGCACTTACAGCCAATCAGAGGTGAAGCAGGGCGGGACCTTCCCTTAACAACCAGCATCCCGGGTGGAAGCGAGAGGACAAAAATGGAGTCTACTTCAACTTCAAGTGATGGCGAATTGGTACTCTGTTTGCTTTCTCAAAAGAAAAAGAAACGTAGCACATGGGTGCATCCAATATTACAAAAAAAGAAGAGAACTTGGTGAGTTTCACTGCTTGGTTCAGGAGCTGAAACTGTACCACGGTCGCTGGTTGTTTTCAGTTCTGGTTAGACACTAGTGTTGAGATGGCTTTCTGTCATGATAGCAAATACTGAGTCGGGGCCAGTACCAGATAAGCACATGAAACTATGGTAACAACCGTTACCTTGCGTTAGCACAGTTGAAAGTTAAAACAAAGACATTTAGCAAACTGTTGAAGTGCACAAAACATCGTCATATGAGAGATCCAACGCTATGACCTTCCACAAGTTGTCCTTCAGGGTGTTATCTTTGTAGTATTTGTGTCCTTTATCAAAAAGCACTCTGTTTCCCACATGTAAACAATCAGCCGGTCAGCCATGTTGGGTATCTTTGATATACCGGTGAATCTGACATCACAACAACACGCAATCTGATTGGTCAGAAGTGGACACACAGTATGTGTAACTTTAGAAAAATTGACCATGATCAGTAATTATAAATGTCACAATATCACAGAACGGGAAAACGTCACTGATGTGAATGCTTGTATTGACAGGATACAGGTTAAAAAAATATATTGATGTCTGAAATAATCGCACGACAAAAACGGTCCCAGTGTGTAACAACCTTAATGATGATGCACCGGTGTTTTACAATCTAGCCACAGAAGACGACGGCAAGAAGACGTAAGTGCAAAGGTTATTGTTTAATCCCGCTTCGTGTGTTTTTTGTCATTTGGGCCATGTAGCGCCTGAGTCGATATGAAGTTCAACTGAAGCTAACACAACACTAGCATCCTCCAGTTCAACTTCATATCGACTCCGGTGCAACATGGCCTAACCAAATGACGTATTGAAAAGCACACAAAGCGAAATTAAACAATAACCTTTCCACTAACTTCTTTGCTCGTCTTCTCGCCATCGTCTTTTGTGGCTAGATTGTAAAACACCGCTGCATCATCATTATTGGTCCCCAGCAACTCACATCCATTGAGGCTTTGTTTTTGCATCCTTTTATTTTCCTAGTAAGTAACTTTTTTTTTCCCATCGCCACTTTTTTTTTTTTTTTTGCGTTGTTAACTTTCATTGTGGCTTTTTTTTTTATCTGCACCGTTTCTTTTCTTTGCAGCGTGCCTCAGTTTCTTTTTTATTTTGCATCAGTAACTTCCATTGTGACTTCTTTTTTTTTTTTTTTTTGCATTCTTTTTTATTTGCAGCAGTGGCGGTTCTCGGCCACCGTACTTGAGTCACGGCAATGAGTCACCCTTTTGTTTGGCCCAAACTAACGGCCACCCACTTTCTTCCTTTTATAAACTTGCTCGGTGGGGTTAGGACACTCAGCCATCACCCCTCGACCTGCTTGCAACCACCTGCACTAGGGTTGGGTCACCGGCGGCAGAGGTGGAAAGAGGTGCTGCTGCTGATGTGGTAAGTCAGCACCTCTGCAAGATCTGTCACAGCTACAGCAGAAGTGAAGTCTCTCATCACAGAATTGGTGGTGGGACCTTGCACTTGCTTTTTCTTAATTACAGCCCGATAAAACAAGATGCTGTTTTATTGCTACGACTGAGAGTTTCCTGTGTTTAAACAGACCCATAAAGTGCGCCTGAAATCCTTGTGATCATATTACCAGCTCTTGAATGGCCAAACTCCATCCATTGGACTTTATTTATGCCATTTGCTTTTTCTGTGTGGTTATTTGGTTATGCATTCATGCTATGTGATGAGGTTGTGTGTCCCTGACTGCATAGGCATTTCTGAAAGCCAAATGAAAACTGCATCAAAAACAGTGGAATACATTTTTCCATGTTAGATTGAGCAACATTTGATTATGTACAGGCTCTGGAGCGAGAATAAAAGTTTAGGTAATCCCCTCTCTGCTGCCGATTTTTATGACCAAGCTTTGTTTTTATCCCTTTGTAAGAAAGAGTTTGCAGTAAATTGGTTTTTCTTTTGACCCAAGATTTTTGAACTCTACTGTAAATTTCCTGTCTGCATGCATGGCTTTTTACTGAATGTAGCTGGTTTCGCTCCATGTCTCCCTGTGTATCTGATGCTGATGTTTCTACTGCTATGAACAAATTTCTCTCTAACATCACGGGCTTTCAGAAACCTTTGGAAAGTAATTATCCATTAGAATTTGAAAGCAGCTTTAATAAGACCCCTGATTCATGTTTTACAAAACTGAAGGTAACTCAGTAGCAGTGTCTAACACATTTTGAAAATTTCCCTCTCCAGACGTCTGATCCATCAACACAACTCGCTGAGACTGATAAATGGGAGGTGCTGGCCCCCACATCAGTGAAGGATGAGTCTGGAATGATACAAATCCAAAGTCAAGGAATACTGACGTCAAACGGACAGTACGTTCTTCCCATTCAGAACCTGCAGAGTCAGCCAATCTTTGTGACATCGGGAACAGACACCCCCTCCGCCAATTCAGTGCCTAACATTCAGTACCAAGTGATTCCTCAGATTCAGACGGCAGATGGACATCTGAGCTACTCCACCTCTGGAGTGGAAGGGGCAACTCTGACTCAGGATGCCACGGGGCAGATTCAGATCTTGCCAGATGGAAGCCAGAGTCTCAGCGTGACATCCACTGCAAACATCCTTAATAACAACCAGAACCTCATAACACAGACTGGTAATGTCCAGCAGATCCAGGGGGTTTCTATTGGCAGCTCCACTTTCAACAACCAGGGTCAGGTTGTTACTAATGTGCCTGTGGGTCTGCCTGGGAACATCACTTTTGTTCCTATTAACAGTGTGGACTTGGACTCTCTTGGTCTGTCTGGTGCTCAGACTATAGCGACAGGAGTCACCGCTGACGGCCAGCTGATTATGACAAGTCAGCCTGTGGATGGCTCAGAGGGTCTTGCGAAGACGGATAATCAGCTCTCACAGACACTACCAGTTAATAACTCGAATGCAAATCAAGAAATATTTGTGCCAACGTCTTCCTCTCAGCTTCACATTCCAGCGAACAATTCAGGTCTGCTCACACAAGACACAACATTGTCAGCTGTGGCTACAGAGCAAGCCGACTCAAGTTCTGGTCTCCAGGAGGGCTACATCCAACAGAATCAGGAGCAAAGCGTGCAAGTGTCAGCAGCCCAGCCCATCATTCAGCTGCAGCAGGTTCCCATTCAGACCACCAATGGTCAGGTGGTGCAGTCAGTGGCAGCAGGAGGGCAGAACCTGCAGAACGTGCAACTAATCAACCCGGGAACTTTCATCATCCAAGCACAGACAGTCACGCCATCAGGTCAGATTCAGTGGCAGACCTTTCAGGTGCAGGGGGTGCAGAATCTGCAGAACCTCCAGCTGCCCACGACACCTCCCCAGCAGATAACCCTGGCTCCTGTCCAGACCCTGTCGCTGGGTTCCAGTCCAGTCAGCATCAGCACAGGGCAGATCCCAAACCTTCAGACGGTGACGGTCAACTCTGTCGCCCACCAGGAAGGAGATGCAGAAAACAGCGGAGGTACAGAAATAAAAATTAATCAAAGAAAAGATCTCATTGTTTAAGATACATGCAGGTTTGTGTTCATGTGGTTGCCTGATTAGATCTTCCGTTAAGTCACTTCGGGTTTGGACAGGCTATGTTTGACTCTTGATAGGTGGTTCATACCTTTTAAAGGTGGTCCAAATCTCAGCCCTTATCATTGATTAGTGTATGGATTATTGGGTTTTGGATATCTTAAAAACAGCTTGTTTAGTGTTAAACTCGAGCAGGAGTCTTATCAGAATAATGATAAACACTGGTAAGGATGTGAAGAGTCTTTTAGTCAAAATCAAATCAAGTCTTTTTTCTTATTCGTTTAATAAACATGTTAATTTGTGTTTAAAATTTTACCATCCCGACAATTTATGAAGGGTAGATCATAAGAAAAAACACTCTCAGGTTATTTTGCAGTTAATAACCACATTCATTTCATTTCACAAGGCAAATGAAAGTTTGTTTTTGATGCGTTAAGCAGAAGGTGGCATCTGTGTAATTTAATTATTTATGAATCCAGTGATTTTAAATTATTTGGTTCAGCCAATCGGTAGAGTTTTCCAAATAGAGACATTTGACATGTCACAGAGCTGTAGCTGTAGACCCTAAAACCTGTGTCTCAGTATTTCTGAATTTTTTGTATAAAGTAAAAATTATTCAAGTTGATCATTTTCCAAACATTCAGTTCTACTTTGTATTTGAAAAAGCAGGAGTTTGTAGTAATGTTTTAATCATGTGAGTGCATTAAACAGAGTATGCCATCTAAACCCTAAAAATGGGATTGTATTGAATGTTGAGTGTATTTTAGCATTAATTAAAACATTGTCATAACATTTTTTAAGTAGCTGCAGTCCTCCATCCTTTATCTGCCAATCATATTTGTCTGCAAGTCAACAGGGTGGATTTTAGTAAACAGTCAGAATTGTCATATGTACATTATCTGTCAATTAACTCATTATTTGATCACCTAAAATTTCCTGCAAATCTGTCAGTTACGTGCTGTAATCAGGCAGCTCTCTCTCTCCCTGTGTAGGCTTTTGTAAAAAAAAACTTGTCTTGACATAGGTGTATATTTATTATTCCAGACATTCGAATAAAGGAAGAGCCAGACTCTGGAGACTGGCAGCTGAGCACTGACTCCACCCTCAACACCAGCGATCTATCCCACCTCCATGTCAGGTTGGTGGACGAGGAGGATCAGCTGGGTCAGGAGGGCAAGAGGCTGCGACGAGTGGCATGTACCTGCCCCAACTGCAAAGAGTCGGGTGGGAGGTGAGTAAACATCTGCTTCCTTTCTCTCTGTTTAACTCTGCAGAGAAAAACACACACACACACACACACACACACACACCAGTGCCCTAACTGCCCGTACCTGTGTTTTTCAGAGGATCCAGCACGGGGAAGAAGAAGCAACACATCTGCCATATTGCAGGCTGTGGGAAAGTATACGGAAAGACATCACACCTGCGAGCACACCTGCGCTGGCATTCTGGGGAGCGACCTTTTGTTTGCAGCTGGATGTTCTGTGGAAAGAGGTTCACACGCAGCGACGAGCTGCAGAGACACAGGAGAACACACACAGGTGCCCTTTTTCTGCTCCCCCTGTGTTTGCACATCGGGAAAACATCAGTAAAATCAGCAAAATGTGTTAATTTGTGCCCTGCGCAGTGTGAGTCAGGTACAAAATCACAGTGTTTGTACCCCTTTAGATTTACATGTGAAATGTCAGGCTAGGATCGAACACCATAGTCATGAACAGTTTGATGGTAATTTTACAGTTCCGGATGTAAACAGCTCTGCTGTATTATTTGTTTGATCTGTTAACATCACATTATGTAAGTAACACATTAGAAGAAAAAGAAGTCTGAGCTGCAGCTTCTAGTTTCTCTTCTTTGAGTCTGAATCCTCTTGGGTCAGCTCACATTTTCAGTTGTATACAGTTATTTCCTGGATTTGGCATCCGTCATCATATTATGAATCTAAGTTGAATAATTACATGTATACAGCAGTTTATGAGCAAAACAAGTTCTGCACCAATGTGCTTAAAAAAAGAGTCCTTACAGATGCCAACAGAAAAGCAGACAATATACAGTTTATACAGAGGGAATATGAAAAATAAGACAATATTCAAATAGAAACATGTTTAAACAGGTCTGACACAGTTAAAGGAAAGTGTGTCTTTCGTAAAGAGTTTGGTAAAAGCCTGAACAGAGTCCTCTTGCCTAATGACCTCTAGTAGGCCTTTCCAGGCTGAGGAGCTGCTACAGAGACTACATAAGAAAGCATGGACGCAGGCTCTGATAGCCAATGAGAGTTCCTCTCAAATATAGCAGCACTTCACTATGATTTCCAGTATCTGACGACATTTGCTGCTGGAACAGGAAGATAAATGACCACCTGTTTGCACTGTATCAGATGTATTATTAGCATCTGACAGTACGGGCTAAAGTAGCATTCCATTATGCTGTCAGCTCCAAGCTCTCATATTAACAAGAAGTGTTAATAGTTAACTTAGCTAGTGGATACTCAGTAATTCTAGGTCTCTATAAGATGAAACTGTGGTCAGTCATATAGTATTATCAAATTGTCATTAGTTTGTCATTTTTGTCAGTGACAGGTTGACATTCAAGAACTATTTTAGCGTTGGCTCTGGAGTTTGTACAGCTCTGAGCAACAGGAGAGAGAGAGAGAAATATTCAAATCATGAGAGAAGCTGTCGAAGTTCTGTAGCACTTTCTCAAACTTGGAGAACAGATTCTCCTGATAGTTGATGTATTTGACCCTCTCTCGATGTATTCAGCATCCAGCTCTTCATCGTTCAAACAGTTTTTTTTTTTTTCTGTCCGACAGGAGAGAAGAAGTTTGTCTGCCCCGAATGTTCCAAGCGCTTCATGCGGAGCGACCACCTAGCGAAGCACATTAAAACTCATCAGAACAAAAAAGGCGTGAACTCTGGCAGCGCCGTGGTGGCCTCGATGGAATCCGCAGGGTCCTCAGACAGTATCATCACCACGGCAGGCGGGACCACCCTCATCCTCACCAACATCCAGCAGGGGTCCAGCACCGCCCAGGACATCCTAGCCAACGCAGAGATCCCTCTGCAGCTCGTCACCACGGTAGCGGCAAGCGAAGTCATGGAGTGATTTACACTCCACTTATGAACTTCTACAACCTCTCTCATACTGTGTACTCCTACCTGCATTTTTATTCAAGTTTTGAAGAAAACCTATAAATATATATATAAATATATATATTTTAACACAGAGATAGTCAAACCATGTCCAGTTTTTACTGAGGAAAAAACTAGAGGTGGAGACTGAAAGAAGATGGAAAAAGACATTGCAGTAAACACACAAGGAAATGCCTTATTTTGTACAATATTGTGTTGTTGAAAATGTAGGATGCCATTTTGTTTGGATTTACTTTTTTTGTCTATTTTTTTTGTTGTTTTTTTTTCACAAAGAATTATGGTAAGTTGAGCAAATTTCCTCGCCTTTTTTTTCGATGGTATAATCTTATGGCGTCCTAGGTAAGCAGGTTTATTCTGTAATTGTTTCAGTCAAAGATTTAATCTCACGAGAAAGCTACTTTTATCAGCTTCGTAGTTTTAATGCTTATGTCCATGCAGTTTTATTGGTGTTGTGTTTTGTTTGAATATTATGCATTAATTCTTCTCTGTGTCCTCATGCAGTCGGTCTGCTTGCAGAAAGGCGAGCCTTCTTTCTTGTCATCGGCTCACACCTACACACTTTGCAGATGAAAATCAAAACAATCAGAAATTTTGTATTGCATTTGATCTTGAACATAAACTGTTGATGATACTTATTATTTGCTTGTTAAATATTTTGACTGAAAGCTATTTATATCAGGCTTTACATAGAAGGATGCATTTGTGATATTAAAAGTCCAAAATATTTCAAAAGGCTCCACTATATGTGATTCAAATGTGCTTTTGTAGAAACCTTTTTTTGGAGGATTTTCCAAACAAAACAAAAATATTGCATTGTAATATGAAGAAAAAGCCATTTTTTTGGAGGTTATTGCCAAATTTGACTACACTCAGGGTGACTTGTGACTGTGATATAAGTAGAGTTAATCACCCCTGTAGCTTCTTGGGCCATAGTGGGATGTTGTGAAGGAAAGTTTCTTCGATGGACCAAAAGCTGAAGTGAAATAAGCTGTCACCATGTTACCTATGCTCGCTAAATCCTATCATGCCAGTTTTTTTATCCTTTTGTCCCATGAAGCTTTTTTTTTTCTTTTCTTTACTTTTTTTTTTGTCACACTGACGACAGCCTCGGTTCTTGTTATAAAATCAGCTTTGCAGGAGTCTCCACCAGGTTATTACTCCATCACGCAGTTTGAAAATCCGTGTGTGTCTAGAAGCGGTACTCTTTGAGCAGCACTATTCCCATCACTTTCATCGTGTTTAATCCTTTTGTACAAAAAAAAGTTTTGTATTCTTCTCAAGGAACTCTCCTTTCTATTCATTGTTAGTAAATGTAAACTTCTGTCTTTGTGTTGATATTTTTTCTTTGTATGTTGCATTTCTTTGTTACACGCTTTTACGTTTCTGTTTTTTTTTTTTTTTTTTTTTTTTTTATCTCTGAACTCCTAAACTGTTGAATTGTTGAATTGAATACACTCTGAACTCTGAATTATGGTGGCATATTTGATTTAATTTGATTTTTTTTTTTTTAATCTTTGGATATGATGAAAATTCTGTGATTTTAATTCTTCTTCTTGTTCGGACAGGTCCGCTCCACTAGATCAGATTCTATCCTCTGAGCTGAAATAGTCAGATGCTGTTGAACCGTTTAAAGAGCATCTTTTTCTTCTGTATAAATCTGTCAATATAACATCAATATAAACCTTTATGTTACACTTGATTTTTACCTTCATTTTGCTTTTGTTTGTTTTTACCTTCTAAGGTTATTTGATGTCTGTTTATGAGTGCAGATTTAGATTTCACACTAAAGTCACAGAGCGGAAGACAAGTTACCTTTTACTTGCAACCTTTTGTTCTCTGTCTTTTAAAGACTTGTCATCCAGCCCAGGTGTGTGTGTGTGTGAGAGAGAGAAAGAGAGATAGATGTGGACCCCGTGGTTTACACTCCGGGTTAGTAGTCCAGTAGATGTCACTACAGCCAAGGGAGCAGGATGAGAGGTATGTTTGACCCCTGACCTTCCCCATGTAGCTGCAGCTCAGATACAGACAGAAGTCACAGAGGCCAACAGGAGGAGTGGACCCCCAATTAACCACAGGATAATGTCACACAGAAATGTCAGGAACGTATTCTGCTGCTGGGGAACAAAGAAGTGTTTCATGACTTTGAACAAAACCACAGAGACATAAGAGAAAACTGTTTTAAGTCTGGATGTGATGTACTTAAGTGAACTGTCAGGATAAGTAGGTCCAAACTGTTACTGGTTTAGTTGACAGTTTTTGGTCTCAGTCATTTGCCAGAGTAAATCTTGTTACTTATCGACCTCAGCCTATAGTCAATCAAACGCTGGGTCACTATCTGCACCTTTATGTCTAAATGAGACATTTGACTAATTAGCCTCTGTTGCTAAATTTTCTTTAACATCAGGCTCATAGAAGGCAGCAATGAACTCGTCTTAGTGCATTCAAACATAATTAAAATGGAAGGCTATGAAAAGCATTATCTGTTAAATCAGAGTGGAAACCACATGCTTTTTGAGTCTTTGTCAATTCACTGAGAACCGGTCGGAAATGTGGTCTATAACTCTAAAGAGGGACTCGTCCGTTTTGTCGTTCCTTTCATTTGCATAATTTAATGAATTCAATTCATTGTAATGCAATACCAAGTGCAGCAGGAACATAGAATGACAGTTTGAGTTAATGAAATGTGTTAACGGTATCATCATTTACTTGTATGGTAATTAGTCCAATTAATTTCCCTTGCTCGGTAATCTGAATATTGTAATAATCTTTGCTCCCCTGCAGGAATGAAATCTGTGATACACAGACCTCTGGGACAATCTGCGTACAGAATCATGCCTTTCATTTTACGTCTTTTCTGTGCCCTGGAATATTTCTGCAATTTATAGGCTGTACTTAAATTTTGTTTACCAGTTGCTGTTAATTTCTTTAGCTTTTATGATGCAAATTACATCTGACACTTGGAAATATACGCAGAAAAAGTGAGGACGGTGCTGTGCCAGAGCCGGAATAACTTTGTCTTGCTTGACAAAGTGCCACTGCTTTATAATAACAGGGAGAGTTACGATTGTTCTGGCCATTCAAGATAAAACCTGCCATCGAGGGGAGGAAGAGGGACCAAGTGGCCTCTGAGTGTTACACTGCACACTATTAATACAGCTGACCACTTGGATCAGGAGCTGTCAACAAACTGTTGCACCTCTTCTGTTAGGGTACCTTAATGTAAGTCACAGGTCTGCAAACAAATTAGCAAGAGCTTAGTGAAATAAAAGAAAAAATCAAAGCACACACTTCGTTCTTCATCGTTACGGAAGTTTTTTCAGCATTAAGTGCGACAAATTTATCCAACTTGAGTCTTATTTTGAAGAGGTAAAGAAGAGCCTTTCTAGAAAAGTATCTTGAGAATTGTGTTTTTGTGATGGGCAGGTATCATTTCAAACACTTCGTCCTACGCTCGGAGTTGTTTGCTTGTTTTCATCGTAGCAAATAGCTGTGGATCCTGTAGCTCAGTTTGAAAAGTGGTGTAATTGTACACGGTGCTCAACTTCTCCAATTCATGTGCAAAATGCATAAATACAATAACTGAGCAGAGGGAGAGAAACACTGTAATCATGCAATAACATTTCCGACTGTATGTGTGATAGAATTCAATATGCTATTGGGATTATGGTTCTTAACCATTGGGAGGTAATGTGAACTGTTGGCAGAAATGACTTATTTCATTATAGCGTCCCAAATATACAAAATACTTCAGCGAGAGGGCTGCTTTCCCCTTCTCTGTACAATTTGAACTGTTTTTCCTCAGTGGTTGAAGGATAGGCCTGCAATTTTGCAAAGTGACTATTATTTGCCTTTCTCAAGGAATCAACAACTTCAAAGTACAGTGCAATGAATTGTTGGGGTGATGCAGCTGCATTTGTTTACAATATGCTTCCTCGGTAAAACATCTCAGAATTTAGACCTTTTTTTAAGCCCCTTCTGAAGTGAAAAGCACTTACCATCCTTAATATTTGTTTACAGAGGGTTTCTAATGCTGTTTTTCTCTTAAACCATTAGGACATTGGAAACGACATCAAAACGTCTCATGCTTCTACATTCCCGACACATTCTTGCCCTTGATCAACTGCAGAAGGCAGACAATAGTGCAGATCATTTTCCCCAGGCAGGGAAACACAGCATGGATCAACTCAATAACCTGATATTCCCTGTCTCCTGAATGTGGCCAATTTAACAGAAGGTCAGCAGCTTTTTTTTTTTTTCTTTTTATATTCCAGAGACAATTTGGTGACCTCCCTCTGCAGCCCCAGCAGGACCAACGGAGACAAACAGAACGGTGGAGGTAGAAAGTGCTTGTGTTGACATTGTGTCTAGGTGTGGACTCGTCAAGGTGAACAGATACCTGGTGTGGGACAGGGGGGCTATTATGCAAACCTTAGAGCCATCACCAGAAGTGGAATGCTTGTTGATTTGCTCTATCGTGTATTTTTGGCGATAATTTACAACGTCGGGGTGGATGGTTGAATATAAAGACGTGCACTGGGTAGAAAAGTATGGTGTATGTGTGTCTGCAAATCATCCTCCATCATCCTTTTCTAAGCAGAGATGTCATTCACAGCTTCAAATTAAACACTCTTGTTTCAGGGAAATTATGGTCTCACTTTATTTCAGGGAGGTGGAATTTAGATCTGATCAATCTTTCCTGTTTTTTTATTGTAAAATTTCTCTTTCCTGCTGTTTTGCATTTACTGTATGTACGTCCAACAGGGAAAATTGAACTGACAACAATGAGACACCTCCATCAAATTTGCCACATTATGTGCTTTTATTGCTCACTCACAGTATGGGCTTGTTTTAGCCAGGAGACAATTGCATAAGATGATGTTGCGTTGCATGAGAAGATTAGGAAGAATGGTTTTTAAGCGACAGTAGTTGTGTAGTTTTCTCACTGCACAAATAACTCTTTGTCTTTATTCTGCACCCCAAGGTCAGACTGACAAAGGCGTCCAACTTCAGCAGAATTGAGCTGAGGAAAAAACAGCAAGTGTGAGCTCAATATTTTCTTTTTTTGGTGACAAGAGCCGGCCTTTGGTGTTGTTCAGCCCATTGAAAACAATTTCAGATATGAAAGGAGACGTTTTTTGTATCTGAAAATGTACATTAAATGGTGTCAACAACATCCTGGAGGTCACAGTAGAGTCCCCATGGAGACTGAATCTGGCTGCGGCGCTTAAAGACTCAACATCCCCCCCACCCCACCCACCCACCCCCCCTCTGAGTGGCGGCTCGGTGATGGCTCTCAGTTTCTCTCGTCATGTCCCTGGCAGCTTTGACACAGGTAATATGCATGCAGGCTGACAGTGGCTGGGATGTGCGGCAGAGACAATGATGTACATATCATTTTCCTCCCTGACTGATTGAAGACTGTAATCTGTGCAGGACTTTCTCTCTGATTACACACGTCTCAGGGAGCAAAACAAGGACTCCCAGCTGCCACCGGGCACCGGACTCATCCAGGGCTTTCAGCCTTCAAGAGGACAGAAGTCCGCCTTTAAGGTGAGCTCAATTTTCGTCCCATTTACACTATTGTTACAAGTGTCGGATGGAATGCATCTGGGAGATAGTGGTCAAACAGTGGCTGTCTGAAGATGACACGGGGAACAGAGATGTATCTGGCACCCAAGGTCATCCTATTCCCATTTCCAGCTCTGAATGTTTCCAGCTACAGTAAAGGCACCCACAAAGAGAGAGAAACAATATCATGAATTTTACATTCACCTGTATTGTGTTCTGTGCTGACAAATGCAAAGTGTCTCCTTGAAGCCCAACAGGCCAACACTAAACCTGTCCAACAAGACCCGCCATGAATACGTTTCCTGTAGCTATAGCGCCGTATTGTTCTCACACAAAGAAAGCGCTCTGCTGCTTCATAATAAAATGTACTATGTCATGTTTGCTAACAGCAGATATTTAACACGCTCTTAACCCGCCTGTGTAACCTTGTGAGGTGAACTCGTGTCTTTATGTAAAAACCTGGGAGATTTCTCTGTTGACAATAGGTCAATCCTTTACAGAAGTTACCTAGCACATTACAAGGTTGGTCTCAGGGGGGAAAGTAATGGGTTCTGGGCAATTGACCAAGCTGCCATGCTTTACTGCACCTGCACTGAGTTAGAGCTGTCATCATTACCACTTCCTCTAACGTTCTCCCACAGCAACCCAGACACTCCCACTCTGAGCGATATTTCACTTTGCTGGAACATTTCCACTTTTTATCATGCATCCATTCATACAGGAGTGGAGGCAGTCCAGCTTTAACATTTGAAGCAGCAAGGTAACCTTTAACAGGCCTTTTTGGTCGCCGTACTAAAACGTAATGTTTCAAAAATGGCCCGCAGTCACCAGCTATGATTCCGACTTAAACTTTTCCGATTGAGAGCCAAAATCTTGCAGATAAAATGCTGTCAAAGGTGGACAACCACATTTACTCTTTGTCGAAATATGAAAAACATGAGCTAAGTCATTTGAACTGGATTTATCAGCTAATTTATTGATCCCTCTTATTTTAGTCTAAATGCTGAAGGACTGTACCGTCTGAAATAATAATCATGAGGTAGATCTTTAAAAATGAAGTGGAAGGGTTCTGCAAGATGTGCAGAGTTAATGTGTCATTTTTTCAGTTGTTTACTTTTTATTTGTACAATA